TCACCTGCTTCTTTAGCAATTTGTTTATTGTTTGTAGTGTTTGAGTGGAACAGTTAGTTTGCAAGTCATTTGAATATCAGGTTACATTTAGCTGAGTATTATTAGACACCCTTAGCGTTTCTCCACCTCCCTTCCATAATTTAACTATCACTGATCTTTAAAATTCTTCCATGACTCAGACTTCAATGAATTCTCAACTGTGTTGTTTAGACTTTAACATTTCAGCATGCTTCAGTATTTGGAGTACAAATAAGTGTTCAGGTTCTCACAGTTCTTACAGTTTACCTGACCTTTTAGCTCCTGTGAGCACATGTCCTTCAGATATTTTACACACCATTTATTTGTTCAACATCTTTTAACTTCAGTTAAAACTTCAGTTCTTTGATGTCAACTTGAAATATTGCTCTTTTAATATTATATCAATTATATCAGTTTAAGATATTTCCATTGTGTTTATTTATAAAAGACAGTAGCATTAAATCTTTTCATTCTTTTAACTGTCTGTTTCACGTGTAACATTTTCACCAGCCAGGACTTCATTATTTGAAGGCTGGCCTTGGAAGCTCCACCTCTTAGATACGCCCTTCTTTTCTTTATTGTTTTCACTCCTTTATTACCTCGCCTCCTGCTCTGTTTTGACACCACTACGAAAAACAACAATTAAAACAAAGATTTAGCTCTGGAGCTCAGCTTAAATGAAAAATGCCGAGCACATTGATGATGTCAAAGTTATATGTGGGTGATGCATGACGGAGCTAATTTGAATAGGAAGATACATCTCAGTGGCTCATTTTAATGCTCCATTAAAATGTGATGTGTGCCTGTGAGATGTGTTTAACGCCTGAAACTTTAATGGAGGCTCAAGTTACACTCTCAGGGTAAGCCAGGAGTCCTTGAATAGAAAATTCCTGCTAAAGCTTGAATAAAGATAATGTTGAATCCTGTTAGGGCATGATGCTACTGACTGTAAGCTGTTATATTGCCCCAGCTGATTGAATGTTTAAACAGAAAAAGTAATGCTGCTTTAAAACCTCTAAATGTGATTTACAATACCTGTTAGTCATTACCTACTCCTATATAATATGTTTATATACAAAATACAATACTATTACACTCTTAAAAGTAAATACTGCCCAGGGAGTGAGCTGCCTTAGTGAAGCTTTGCTACTTGGTTATTCCTGACATGTTGATTTTTTCATTTTTTTTTGTTTTGGACACCACCTCTGCAGCTACACAGTAGCTGGCACATGGAGGCACTACTATGAACTCTGCACCTATGAAATTGTTTTATGCCATGTGTTTATAGCCACAATCACATTTAACAATGAGAGCGATAGTCATATCCAATCAGACATCTGCATCAAAAAGTTTAAGAAGAGTAAGATCTTTGCAACTATTCCAAAGAGGCCATGTTTTTAAGGGATTTAATGACTGTCAGTAACAGTAAGGTTAGGCCTTCCATACCTGAAAGTCTTTCTTTTACTTTGCTGAGGTTTGAATTGACAATCTGTGCTGAACAAGAAAACATGAACCCAACTACAGAGATTACAGAAACCTAAGTAGGTAACAGTTAATGAACTCTGCTCAACCAGACTCATCTGAAATAGCTTTGATATGAGCACAAGGGGGGAAGAATAATACACGGCAAATAGAAGCATCCATGAAAAGCAGTTTCTGTGTCATAAAAAGCTCTCCTTAACCCCTTCTCTGAAGAAGAAGTAACACACATCTACTGCATTACATACTGGGCTGTGTTGCCAGTGCAAACTCCATTTCACTTTTCTGTATATTCAAATATCGCAATGTGAAACAAAATATGGGCAGGGCGATAAATTGCTATGATAAAAAAAGAAAAGCAAAAGAAATCATCAAAAATTGAAATGTTGTGTGTTGTCTAACACCTCCTAGTTCCATTCAGCAGTAGCGTTTATTACAAACCAAATTCTAAAATGTTGGAATGCTGTGTAAAATGTAGATAAAAAAACAAAAATGATGCTTTGATTTGCATTTCTTATAAACCAAAATGTCAAATTTCAGTGTGTCTGATGACAGAACACTTTTCTACTTTTGCTCCTTCTATTTAAAATGCACTTTGGCCCTGAGAAAACGGCAGCATTTCTGGGTCATGTTCACATATGGCTTCTTCATTGCGTGATAGAGCTCTGCATTTTGCAGAAGGCATGTCTTGCTGTGTTCAGAGACAATGATGAAGTGTTCCTGAGCACATGCCGTGATTTCAGTGACAAAATCATATCATATCTTTTAATGAAGTTCTGCCTCTGGGCCCAAAGATTATGAGCATCCATTATGGATTTGTGGCCTTGTGCTTTGCTGATATTCTGAGACATGCTGCTGCTGTCAATCTCCAACATTTTTCATGAAATGTTAAAATACTTGAACAGTTTGAACACATGATATGTTTTCCATGCTCTATTGTAAATAAAATGTGGGTTTATGAGATTTGCACATCAATAATTCGGTTTTATTACCATTTGACACAGTGTATCAACATTTTGGAACTATAATTTCCTCCTTGCATCTCTTTGTGAATCATCACAATGTCAGAAGAAAAGTCTGTCTTGTTATAGGTCTTGTTGCATAGCATTAATTATTCTGTTGATTTATGTCAAACAATATTAAAACTTTGATTAACAAAGCGATAATAGCTTCAAAGCAGGCTTTTATTCCTGATGGCAGTTACCAGATGTGATGTAGTTTAGCATTTTTTAAATGAGAACCCATTGATTTGGTGACTGTAAGGGCAAAGGTTAAAGAGGTTAAAGTTTTTCAGATGTCCGTGCTACGGCTTTTTGTCAATGATATCTATTTTTTGTTTATGTGGAGTCCATTAGTAGACTTCCTCAGATTATTTTGCAGTCCTTAAAAAAGCTTTAAAAAAGTTAAATAAGTACATTTTAACAAATTTTGACACAACCTGAATAAAAACAATATTAAATAACTGTATTACGTCTATGTGACTTTGAAATTCATCATACTGAAAAAAGACTGCGTGAATGTAATGTGGGCTTGTAAAGTGTGCCAACACAGTCAGCACAGAGACAACTGAGGTAACATTTGTCTCTTGTAAATTCTGGGAGGGGGCTGGTCCCCCTGGTGGGCGGAGCTTACCTGACAGGTAAGCAGTTGTTGTTCCACGCTGTCTTGCATAGTTGCTACACCGGCAACACCGGCAGCTTGAAGACTCCTCTGGGATTTCTGCAGCCACAGCTCCAGCTGGCTGAGCCTCTCCAGGCACACATGGAGGACACCTTCAAAGAGGCGAGGTCCAGACTGGGATCCAACCTGCTGGTCTGATTCCTGACAGACAAGCACAACACACCCAGCTAAGCCTCTCTGCTCCAGAGTTTCAGGGTAGAGAGGGAGTAAAAGCTGACTGGTTCCTGAAGTTTGTAGCTCTAATACTGATATAAACAAATATTTCTAACCTGTTTCTTTGTTCTCACTCTACCACTCCCAGTAACTTACCCCCCGCACTGGTTATCTCTCTTTCCCTCGCTCTGTTTCACTCCTCTTTCTTTCTCTCTCTGAGCTCCACCCACCTGAAACCACTTCCTGGAGCTGTGGCAGGGCCGCAGGGACAGAATGACAGAGGAACAGAAAGAAAAGAGCCCTCAGGCGACAGGGGTGGAGCTGACTGAGGACAGAGGGCCAGGTAAGCTGAGTAAGCCTTAAACGCAGGATCCAAACACCCTCCCACTTCCTCCAGAACCTGTCAGGGAAATTTGTAGCTGGGAAACAGCTGATTGGTGCTTGAATGCTTTTATACATTCTGACGTCCTTTTCACTGTTTTTACTACATTTGTAATCCTTGCTTCACTTTTACAGTGAATTATTCTCACTTTTCACTGTATAAGTTTAAACTGTTGTGTAAAATAATGGATTGATTTCCTTTCATGACTGATCTCTGTGCACACAGTCGTGAAGGAACTGCAGAGGAACCTATGCAGCCTTAACAGGAGGAATGTCAAAATTACTCACACTGTTCATTATTCATCAGCCTTTGATGTCAGGAGGTGGTGTGGAAAATATCCTCTGTAAAACCATTCTTACATAGATTATAAATCTGAACTCAGTGCACCCATTTCACAATCATAAAACAAGTTGCTCCCCTCAGCTCTATCATTTATTAATTTGAAACAATAGATCATAATTTTAAAATACTTCCTGACTTTGCTTTTGTAATTTTAGAGGGCTGTTTTTCATCAAATCAATCAAGTATGAATGGCTTAATTTAGTTAGGAAAACGTTAGTATACTGTGTGCATAAAAATTCACTTTCTTGCCACAAAAAAGGGATGTTTGGAACACAAGTTTCAAATATTCTGCATGGACGTGAGTTCAAAAATGTAAGTGAGAAGTGCATTAGGGTGCATTCATGATAAATGCAGATGAAACACATACAGCAATATGAGTAAACTGAGAAAACTTCACATCAAGCTGCAATGTTGCATCACAGGTTAAGATATGAAATCAGTGAGTTGTAGATAAGTTTAGATAAGTTTCTCAGTCCAGCCTGTTTGTCTGCAACCACCACCTCATCCACCCCTGAATGGTTAGGATGTTAGCAGGAGGACAGCGCTTTTGGTGTGCTTCAACTTGATGCCAATTTAAAAATGTATCGATTTCAGTTCGGTCCTGAAATCGTAAATGTGAAGGTAGAGGTGCTGATCCTTCACTTATTTTAGGAAGTGTGTGTTGGTCAGTGTTGCCTCTGTGTCAAGAGGGTTTTATCAGAGTCTTTCCAGATGTTAATGTTACAGAACTGGACTTCATTCATGCCTCCATTAATCAAGTAGCACTGTCTCCCTCTTTAGATTACTCAATCGCTAATCACTAGCTCTCTTGTGAATGTATTTTTGGAAAGTGTTATGCGTGCTTTATGTACTGTATATACCCCTCTGGGTGTCTGCCCCCCGCCCCCTTCATGCAAACCCCCTCTGTCCCTTCATGAGCTCCTGACACAGAAAAAGAGAGACAGAGGAGTGGATCACTATTGTGGGTTTATTTGTATTTGTGCTCTTTTTTCTCTTTCTTTTAATGATATGCAGACAGAATGGGGGAAAAACATGAGGAAAACGATGTAGTACAGCACATGCCAGGTAATGTAAGATGTCTGCTGCTTTCAGATGAAAACCTTGTATCTCCAAAAATTGTAGATTTTTCTTTCTTTAAAAAAAAAAAGATTTCCCTAATTGTAAACACACTACTGTAACGTAGAGATTGTTTTAGGACGATTTATTAAATGCTTACTTCTGAATAAAAAGTAAGCACTGCAGTGGGATTTACAAAGTTTCCATCTGTGCACAGCAGCCAGTGACTCAGCATTCATGATAAACCAGTGCATTTTCATGGCCAACAGTCATCTTCACAAGATAATTAAGGTCTTAAGTATAAAAGGTGTATTTTAAAGAGTGATAATATTTATTAGTTTATTTATTCATGACAAAGCAGGAATCATTATCCACACTGTCCTGCTGCAGGGCAGTGATCGAGTCAATCACATCTGTAAACAACACACCCCACTTTATGAGCTTATGGAAATACAAATGGCAGATGCACAGAAGCAACTAAAGAAATATTTATTTTATCACATATGCTCTGCATTTGCTGGTAAATCAGCCCAGATGGTAAATGAAAAGGTCAACAATCAAAAAGTTTTAACATTTTAAATCACCATTCCCTATAAGATACATTATAAAACATGGCTCACAAAATGTGTCTATTAATACACTTTGTTTCTGTTTTAATAAAACTAACCCATCAGAATAAAGGTCCATGCTAAGGCAAAGGCTTAATACAGACTGTTAAAAACATCCACCACACATACAAAATACCATCCGCCTACTTTCAGTTTTCTTGGGGGGTAAAACGGTAACCATCAGCAACCACTTCTCATTTGTAGCAGATGTAGTGCTGTGTCATCCTGAACCACGTGTCAGTGGTGTTGACTTGTCAAAGAATAAGCAGATTTCTCTGCAAGCTCAGTAATCCTTCGTCTAAACTCAGAAATAAACTTGAAAAGTACTTATTTGGCAAACCTCTGCTTTGGTTCTTTCCTGCACTTTAGTTTTTGCCATGCAGTAAGACATAATAAAGGATTCAAATGTAAACAATTTTAAGCAATCATCTGCCATGTAAATGCACTGTGAGACATGTCTAAAAGAACCCTAACATCAGGAGCTCTAGAACTGGTTCTAGAAGAAAAAGTGTCCTTGGTTTACTTCTACAAGAAGACAGGAGCTCTAAGTTTTGCTGTCAAAGAAAAACAGGAACAAACAGGACTCGTTCTACAACATTCTAGAGGAGAGGGGTACTCTAAATGATTTCAATGATAAGTAGGTGTTCTAGAGTTGTTTCTTGTAAAGGAGTCATTTGGTTCTACAAAGGCTTTACAAAACCACTATTTTGAGAAAAGCGAGACGCTACCGCTCGCTCAAAAAAAGAAATGACTCCCAATATGAGTACAACAGAAGGCAGTAAAGCGTCTGGTCTGGAGTAATGTGGGAGGTCAATCCAACACCTAGTGGCTCAGAAATAGAGGCTAGAATAGAAAAAGTTGGAGGAATCAATCTAGGGGACTATAGAGAAAGAATAGAAATCTTGATTCTAGAACTGTTTTCAAACTAGATCCAGAAAAAGGTGACAGATTTACGATGCTGCGTAGACGCTATTGCCAGCAAAGACATGAAAGGTCTATAAGTCTTCAAACAGTGGCCTCTAGGCTCGCTTTGAGGTGTGCTTGGAGATTTTGCACAGAAATGGTTCTAGGTTTAGATTGATGAGAAAAAAAAGATGCAGTTCTACAAGTTCTAGATCTAGGAGACTACACATTTCTGCTGTGACCCAGAGCTGGATTTGGAGACTTTTACGGTCGGCGATGTGTTTACCATACTCTCAGGCAGTGACTGAGTTGTGACTGCGCCCAGGGGTTTTGATAAAGCTTCAGATGAACTTGTTTCTGTGGTGTCAGTGGTGCCCTCAACATCCTGAAGAAATATGATCAGGGTTAGACGCTCACTCAGGTCAGTCAGTTAAATACATTGACCACTTAGTTCTACCATGTCACCAGATAAGATATCACACGGTTACTCATACACTCTGTTAAGGAACTATGTTACATAATGTTAGAGGATTTTTGATGTTATGTTATCTAGTACAACCCATTGTATTATGAAAAAGAAATGCAATGAGTCTGATTTATTTTCAATCCTTTTTGCCAATAAAACCTCAAATAAATAAAATCAATAAAACAATGTAATGCCGTCTTTGTTTTCTATACATATACTCACAAATGTATATATTATATACATAAAGGCTTAGTCATAAATTCATTACAAGTTTAAAAAAAATGTTAAAACTAAAACTAGAAAAAAATGTTGTTACACTGTAATTTTTGTGCCCACTTATTCAAACAATGACCAAAACGGTTTAGGAGTCCAAAATAAAAAATCTTTTAATAACTTACATGATGGCTTAAGATATTCTTGATTTTTATTATTTTCATTCTCTACCATATTTGATTAAAAACAGCATTGCATTTGCCCAAGAATACGTCCGTGTAGGTTCTCAGTTATAAAGGTCACGGCAGTCTCAAGAGCTTGAAAAAGAAGGACTTCTCATCCAAGAAGCTTCCTCAGTTCTAAAACCATAAGGTGGATCCCAGGTATTTAACCCCTGGTGGGAGTTATCACCACATGAGCTAACAAGTGGAAAAAGACATGGGTCATTACCACTACAGGTTTCCCAGGCGCCTTAACCCCCAATCCTCAACCTCCACTCACACCTTACTTAAGGTGACCTCAATACATCACACAATAGGCTGGGGCAAGGTCTCACAGTGATTTCACCTAAAACCCCTGGTGGTACTGACCCACACATGTTTTCATATCTTGGCCCATGTGATGATGCCTTCTTTTTTGGGCTCTTAAGATGTATCCATGAAATACTTATTAAATTCATTACTAATTCATCACTCAGTGGCTTCTCACTGATGAAAGTTTATTTACCTTTGTGTCTTCTGTAGGCTGTTCAGTGCTTTGTCCAGTGGCAGCTTCAGTCTCTTCTGAGGCAACAACCACAGGTTCCTGACACCACAATGACAAATGTTATAGCCTTCTATATAACCAAGCAGACCAAAATGTTAAGCTGCTGAAAATAAAAAACATTTTTGAGTAAAATGAATTCATTCATCTAAGGTAACACAGTATCCATCTGTAATACATCCATATGCGTGTTTGATACTGTCATATGGATCAACAAATCCAGTGTGCAGTAGGGTGGAAGAAGGAAAAGAAATAACTCAAATCTGCAGCAATAGCAGAGATGTATTAATGATCAGGAAGGAATTTAATATCATGAGTAGGGAGATGGTAGTAGGGATGAGGAGGGTGAGGGGACAGTGCCAGCGGTGGAGATCAGAGTGACCCAGCTCAAAGAATGGCAGCGACTATTCATACAGCTGTTACAAATGATGTCATTTGACTGGATTGGTGGGAATCGTGATGTCATGATCAGTCATTGGGTCTCAGGTGTGTTATCAGTTTTAAAAATTTCAAACTTTTCCTATAATTTGTTCCACAACTTGCGATGGAATTTATTATAGCAGATCCCGCCCACCTACACCATAAGCGGGTGACCTCGGGTCACAAAGAACTCCACCAGGAAAAGAACTGTTGAAAACGAGTGAAGGACAGAGGAAGAACAGAGATTTATTGATTTTCCACAGCAGCTCTCACTCATCTTTACCTCTGGTGAAGAGCCCAGGAAAACATCCCAGAGCCACCAATAAAAACCTCCTCCACCTTCTTCCACTCTCTGTTCCTCACTGCTTTTTTTTTCTGTGGCTTCTTCAGCCTGGAGCACGCCTTGATGCTTCCGCTGCTGACACGGAAACACGCTTACAGTATGTGTAGAGTGACACAAGTGGGGGTTAAAAATCTAGCCTGGCCAGTTTTGAGTTTTTATTGTTTCCAATATTTTCTTTGATATTAAGTAAAATTAACATTTTGTTTTTAATGGCCACTAACAAGTTATACAACAGTAGAAGACTTCTTAGGTGTGCAAAATAGATCATGTGCTTCCCTGTAAAGCCTTAGATTGATATGACTCATAATGTTATATCTACTTGAAGCTTCTAGTAAATACACTGCTCAAAAAAATTGAACTGGAAAGGATCAGCCTACAGCTGGCTCAATTCAAACACGCCCTGAAAATCAAAGTAAAAGAATTTGTGTCAGGCTAGTCAAATGCTTTGTAGCAACTAGTTTTTTCATGGCCTTTGGATGCTTGTATGTATGCCTGACAACACTGGTGTATGCTCCCAAAAAGGCAACAGCTGGTTTCACCTCCCATAATGTCCCCGAGCTGTTCTGTATTCTCACCACATGAAGCTGGGCATTGTGGTGCACCAGGAGAAACCCAGGACTCACTCTACCAGTGTAGGGTCTGCCTAGCCTGTAGAGGTCTGTGTGTTCTTCCATGGATATGCCTCCCCAGACCATCACTGACCCATGCATAGCTGAATCGGTCATGCTGATCAATGTTACAAGCAGCATAATGTTCTCTGTGGCTTCTCCAGGACGTGGGCCCTCAGGCCATCCTCATGAAGTCTGTTCCTGATTTTTTGGTTACAGACACTCACACTAGTGACCTGCTGGAGATCATTTTGTAGCATGTGGTGCTGATGCAAGCTGCTCATGGGTTAAGGACTTTCTTTGTCCTTTTTTTCAGCTGTCCTAGAGTAACTGCCTGTCTCCTGGAAACTCCCCCATTCTCTTGAAACCGTGCTGGGAGTCACAGAAAACTTTCTCTGCAACTTAACTGACCAGATCAACATCCGAGAAGTATAACTGACCTGATTAAAAAGTGTCCATTTTTTTGAGCAGGTTACAATGCAGATAATTGAAGCAACATATTTACTTGAAGTATTTTACATATCTTGCCAACCTTCAATATTTATTGGTTTTTTTTTTTTATCATTTATTCAAATTATTTTCTCTAAGTTCAAACTAATCTTGTCAATAATTAAAATATCTTTCTGTTAATGAGTGCACAATTGTCCTAGTCTGAGAACTTGAAATGTCTTGAACACTCACACACACACACACACACACACACACACACACACACACACACACACACACACACACACACACACACACACACACACACACGCACACATAACAAACAAACAAAAAAAACATTTCTTGGTAAACATTAGTAATATTAAGCATGCACAGGAAGTTAAATGACACTTTGGGGATTTTATTTTTAATTTTTTACCAGTTTGTTAATAACACATGTAGGAACTACGCATGCGAGTACCAGGTATTGCACACTTTGTCCTGACACGCCCCAAAAGGCCAATCTGTTCAATTTCTTTGCTTTTTTATTTTTTGCAGGTGTTCTTGTATGCTGGTATGTGTCATAAAGAAGAGCTTTTTCAATGAACTTAATGAATTAACTGTGTGATTATAAGCTTCTTTTTTCTCTGTCCATGGTATTCTTACCTGGGTAATATCAGGTGTTGGGGCCTGCCTTTGTTCAGGTGAGGACTGCTCCACAGTCAGCAGTGTAGCTCCAGACCTCCGCAGTACATCCTCCTCAACACGAGCAATTCTGATCTGACCCTGCTCTTCCTTTTGAGAGAAAGCACACCGTACAGGTTCGCTTAAATTATGTTCCACATATGAAGTGTTTGGAATATCACATAATGACTGACACAATATAACTGAACTTTATCCTTCAACTACTGTCGCTGCCATTGTAAAATAACTTGCATTATAATAAAGAACTTAAATGACATTCACTTTTATTTTTTGTAGTTTTATACATATTATAATTCATGTAACAGTGATGTTTCATGATTTTTTTTAACTTGTATTTACTTATTTATGTTATTTATAGACCAAGCTCACCTCAGCCTCCTCAGATGTAGCTTTTTCAGATGCAGATGTTTTGAGTTCAGTGGTCGTCTGTTGGGCCGCCTGAGCTTTGGCTTGTGTGGGAGTTGGAGGCTGCTGGATAAATAACGCAGGAACCTTCTACAAACAGAGTGAAGCAGAAAGTTCGCACCAATCTTCTTGTAGATAAAATATCTGAGCAGCTGACTGATGGATTAACTAACTGACCTTCTCCAATTCCAGCAGCAGAGTCTGGAGCTGGTCCACCACAGTAAAGACAGTCAGAGTTTCTTCAGCCTTCTCAGGAAGACAAAGGCCTGGCTTACATTTCTGGATCTCAGCTACTGTTCTCCTCATCGACTGGATCCTCTGCTCAACCGCCTGCACACATAGAAGAGGGTTGAGAAAAATAAGAAAACGATGACTTTTACATTTATCCTTTTGTACAATTTGGGCAATCACGTCACGCTAATCCAAATGAAAACAAAGAAACTAACAAACCTTTAAACTGTCCTCTCTGGGGCTGGGAAAACTCTCTGGAGAAGATAGCAAGTTCTTGATCTCTGCGACATCATTCTCCATCCGCTTGACTTCACTCTCAATCGCCTCCACCTCCTAGAGGTTAAGACATTATCAGTCTAGTCTGACAGTAGAGAGTACAGTCTAGATAATATCCACTGAAGAGTAAAACAAAGAAACCAATCGAATCTCACAGCGGCAGCATGCTCCAGCTGAGACAGAGGAGCTGTGAAGCTGTCCTGAACGTCGGCCACTTGGCGATCTGCTTCGACCAGCTGTTCCTGGAGAGCTGTGACATCACAAACCTGCGACATTTCCTTCAGGACCGAGCTGAAGCCCTGCAGTGTGTTTCTGATCTGGACTGAATCATCCAGGACCAACTGCATCCCCAAGAGACAGAAAGAGCATTTTTTGGTTAAAAATGAATCACCACAAAATGGTTTGCTGTGCTGTGGAAAGAGCTGTGCAGACAGCAGAGTGTACCGACCTGCAGGGCGTGAACGTGACTGCTCAAACATTTAGCTGTGGTGTAGGTGCAGGGAGCGGCAAGCCACGACTGAGCCTCGGACATCCAGCTCTTGGAGCTTTTGACCATCTCTTGATGTTCCTGAAGCCACGTTTGAATCTAAAGAGAAACAGAACGTTTAAATAGGGAAAAGCTTAGACATTTTTAAACTTATCAAAAGTATCACAGATGATAACAGAGACAGTAATGTGGAAGATTTAGGTTAAAAAGTCTGAGCTTGGTGATTCAAAGTCATTATATTTTTGGTGTTTGACACTAAGCGGACAAACCATACAGCAGGGCAGTGAGGAGTTAGACAGCTAACAGTTTTAGGAAGCTTTTCTCACCTTGCTGATCAGGGTGGTCCTCTGCTCTGCCTGTTTGGCCAGCTGGGAGTGAAGCTGCTGAACCTCCACTAGTCTTTCTGTGAGGATCAGCACCTCCTCAGGCTTCTCTAAGTCTTGCATGTCCACTTCCAGCGCTGCCAGACGCGAGTGCCACGCATCCAGCTCGTCCCAGGCACGCTGAGCACACACACAAGGGGAGATTTATAATATTTATTCACTGACACACAAGCTGATTAGCCAGCCCCCTTCAGAAAGTGTTTCCCTCACTCACAGTTGACTTGTGAAGCAAGTCCTCGCTAAAGAGTCATTTCTGTTTTTGCAATCTATATTTTACATGAAAAGATGCACATAATGCTACGAAAAGAAAGTGGAATTTGTTGGTGTATTTGAAAACAGAGTAGGAGGATGAAAGCAGCATGAAAACTGAAAATAGAAATAGATGTACGCAAAAAAAAAAATCATAAAAAAGAAAACAAAACAAGACTCAGCCCAAACGGCTTGTGTTTTCTCAACAAAAGAGCAGCGAAGTGATCACACATGTAGAACATGACACACACACAAACACACACACACAGAAGGCAGCAAAGACGCATCCCAAACAGTAAAACTTACCACGGATCTTCTGGCCAGCAGAGGACAAATGTTATATTGGACATCCTGTTATGTTTTCCTCACCCTCTTACAATCTATTAAATAATGATTTATTGTATTCTACTCAACAAGCTGTAACAATGAACCAGACACCCTGTTTCCTCATCACTCCCCACCTTCTGAGTGATCTTTGCTTGAGTCACAGTGGGACTCCTCTGTTCCAGTCTCTTCTGAACAGATCTCAGGCCAGCCTCGATATCAGACATCCTCGCGCCCAACCTGTGAACAGGACCGCTCCTCTCTATCGCCTCTCCCACCTGATGGAACAGTCAGGAAAAAACATTATCAGCTAGACCTAAATGGATGTTGAATTTATTGTTTTGTTACAAACATCTGCCTATCAATAGATTATTGATCTCTTAAAGGATCAATACACTCCTCATCATTAAAATGTCCAAATTAAGCCTTTTTCACCTTTTCTTCTACTTGCTGCAGAGACTTAGTGATGTCCTGCATTTGGCTGTCAATCTCAACCGGGACCAAAGTGTACATATCTGAGTATTTCATCTTCAGGTTCTCCATGATACGGTGCAGCAAAGACTTCTGGGTACACAGCTGGCTGTAGAGCGCCTGAAACCACACAGATAGGCAGCCTTTTAAATAAAAGGGATTACAAAAGATATTAACAAATAAATAAATAACAAGAAAGAATAAGTGTTTTGAAGAGTCTGTTAGAAGAGAAAACTAATCATAACAACAGTAATATTGATGGATTTTCTTGATGACTCATCATAACCATAAACTATTTTGTTTGGGTCATTGTACTTAGCACCAAAGAGAGTTTCCTCTATCAAATAACACTTGTAAGCAGATGCTTTAAAAAATGCTGACACTTGACTCTCTAACCAACATCAGCAATTTCTTTTGCATAGATGTCTACAGTTTGGGGGTTTCATTTTATGCAGAGCAGAAATCTTATTTTGGCACAAAATATCAGTCTCATGTACAAGTCTCACTAAAGAAAGTCCTTCTTGTAAGCTTTTAGCTCCTTGTCAAGCCGTCCTCTCGCTGTGTCCTGCTGCGCTGCCGTCAAACACAGTCTGCCTCACTCCTTCATTTACAAAATACTTAAAAGTGAACTCATTTCACCTCACTATGATTCTACTGCACAATAAAAACAATATAAAGATCAGAAAAAAGTTAAAATATGACAAATAACACAGTGGAGACTACCTGGGTCTGAAAGCGTCCGATGGTCTACTATACGGGGAGGCGCATCTTGATATCACGATGGGAAACTGAGCTTCTGTGTGTGTGTGTGTGTGTGTGTGTGTGTGTGTGTGTGTGTGTGTGTGCATGCGTGTGTGTGTGTGTGTGTGTGCATTTGTGTGTGTGTGTGTGTTAAACAAAGCAAGGGAGGAGGAGAGGGTATGCAAAGACAGTTTCTTTGCATGAGAGAACAGGAGATGAAGAGTGCGAATTGTGTGTGTGTCCTGTATAGCTATCTTTGTAAAAATCAAATAGTGTTTTATGGAATAATGAACATTTTTTAATTAAGAAGCCATCTGAGGTCATTCTAGATTTAAAACACATGAGGTCAATGTAGAACATTTAGAGATTTTAACAAAGAGAGACGACATAATTGCAAAACCTGTGTAATTTTGCAAAATTTACATTTGAGGAAATTTATAATTTTAATGGTCTCTGTCTTTAATAAAGATATTTAATGAACTCTATATATTTTAGAAAAGTGAGGATATTTTTATTCCTGCTTCTGACAAAGGGATGTTTGCAAAGTTAGCATTTGATTTTAGAGTGAGTTAGTTTTACACTGAGGTTAGCTAAAAGCTAAAATACATCAACATATGACAATGAGTGTCCTCACAAGTGCAACAGGAGAAATGTGTGTGTCTTTGTGTGTGCCCATGAAATGACTTGGCTACAACGGCCACCTGGAAGATCCACTTACAAGACAGAACAAAAGGTGTCTGGTACAAGAGCAGGATGAGGGTGGAGGGAGTGATGAGGGGGGGGGGGGGGGGGGGGGGGACCGTTGGATGACGGAAAGGGGGTCTTTCAGAAAATGTGTGTGTGTGTGTGTGTGTGTGTGTGTGTGTGTGTGTGTGTGTGTGTGTGTTTGAATAGAAAGCTGGAGTGGATGAGATGTTGGCCTCTGCTCAGGTTTCAGGACAAGGGGCAGAGTGATTCTGTGGGTTGGTGGGTTCATAGACACAAGCACCAAACAGCTTCTGGGTCTGAAGCCAAGCCAACGGTTAGATTGAAAGATTTAATATTTAGTGACACTTTTACTACACAGCCAACAAGCTGCTTCACTCTATATTCATTAAGGTTAGGGGTAGAAAAGCCCTGATGACTAATTCCTGGATTCATCAGCAAGGCTTTGGGAGAGTTCTGACCAAATCTGTGGTAAACATCCTTATAATATCTGCAAAGTAGTTCCTACCAGCTGTCATAGAAAAAAGTATTTAAACTTCTGGGATATTGATCTATTCACTTAAGCAGTGAAGGGGGTTGTTAATCAATTTTCAACTGCTTTGTTGTTCACCACCACATTTTGTTTGAGCGGCTGAACAATTTGGTGGGTGTATCTAGATCTGCTTTGGAGTGATTGTCATCATATCTTTCTGAACAAGTCTTTTGGTGGCTGTTTCTAAATACCAGTGCTCATCCTGTCCTCTTAGCTGTGGTGTGCCACAAGGTTCTGTATTGGGGCCCTTATTGTTTCTATTACATCTACTCTAAGCACCTCGGCCAGGTTGCTCTATTATTTTTTTCACTTTGAATTTTGGGTGTCTTTGAATATAACCCTCTGTAGGTTCATAATTTTTATTTTCATCAAATCACGTGGCATCCTTCAGTTCCTGACACATTGTCCAGTATAGATATCTAGCATGATTTTTTCCCCCATTGAGATTTTATGTGTTTTCAAATTGTTCCTTTAATCTTTTAATTTCTTTGAGCAGTGTATAAGCATCACTCTCAGTGTTTAGTTGTTGTCATGCTGTTGAGTGTAACTTTTCTAACTGAGAGCAAAGACAAGTGCATCATTATAAAAATAGCTATGATGTTACACTGAGTACAAATGCATCATTGTGTTTCATTTCAGATGATGAAACTGTCCTGTCTCATTAGAGGCTGATTATTTCCACTCCAGTGGCTGGGATGGAGCGAGAAACTGTGAGCACACTGATGTGTTTTTAGATTAGAGGATTACAAAGTGGGACCTCGATATACCCAGAGGTCCTTCAGTGAACCAGAGGAATGGCTTGCCTAATTAGAAACACTTAAATTTCACTAGTGTTTTCTTTTCTCTACAAAGGTTTAATTCGCAGTTGGGGATGATTTCCTCATCTCCAAAATTCTTTTGGGGAGGAATATAACTGCATTTCCAGCTCATGGTGGATTTTAGTCATCGACATGCAAAACTTATGGTATCATTGAAAAATTAAGACAGATCTAGGCTATGTAACCTTACAAGGTTCAATGACTGGCATGACCATTCACAAAAACTACTCTGTCAGAAAATGAATGACATTTTGTGTGCCCTTGTGAAAAAATTAATGGCAAGTCGTGTTATCACACTTAATGTATTGAAATGTAAAGCAAGTTTTAGAAGGAACTTCAAGGAACTCCACAAAACCGTGTGCAGGTGTGATGTAACTCTGAAAAACAAGAACTCAAGAGTCTCACCTGCAGCTCCTGTGTGCTGCTGCTCTGCTCCATCTCTGTCAGAAGAGATGCAGCAGCCTTCAGCCAAACCCGGATACCCTGCAGCTCCTCTCGCACCTTTTCTCTGTCCTCCAGCTCCTGCCTAGCTGCCTGCAAACCCTCCCTGCTTCTCTGCTTCACACTGTGAAAACACACAAACATCCAGCCATTTAAACAGAAGCTAAGCAACTTTACGGCTGCTTACCTAACATCCATAAGAAAATGACTGAATACAACATGACTATTGAATACAACATATGGGTCCTAATGCCAAGTGTAAGCTGGGAAGACCTTATACACCAATCGCCTTCTATGACTAACCTACTTAAAGCTGACTGCTTAACCAGGACTTATGGGTAACTTAGTCTCTGTGTGCCTAAAGAACAGAGATCATAATGAACATGGCTCATTTATGCATATGAAAGAGGAGAGCAATGAAAGTTTGTCAGGAAAAGTATCAATGCCTTCTTAATACTACAAAACTCCTCTTCTTTCTCAAGCATACTGCATCACTAAACACACATGTGTCTTGTAGGACGGAGAAAGTCCTCCTTTTTAGAAACATCACACTGCTCTTCTTTTATTACAGATGGATTATACACGAGACCACACATTGTCCAGAGCCACAATGATAGCTTTAAGTCAGGTCTTTCAGCCTTTGTGTGGTGAATGTTCCAGGATTAAATGGATCTGATTTTGCTGCTGGAGTCAAAAGATTATTTTGGTGGTTGTAATTACCTGCACAGTTATGCATGTTGGTAGAACTTGGACTGTAGTTTCATTTAGAGTACATCAAAACATAAAGGGAGTAAAAACTTGCAAACAGAATAATGAGTTGCACATCAAACAATATCTCACTTGTCATATCGGCCCTGCATTGCTTGCAGCTGCTGACAGAGTTGAATAGGAGGAGCCTGCTCCAGGTGGGCAGGGACACCCAGCAGCCTGGCAGTGCGCAGTTCCAGTGCAGACAGCGCTCTGTGTTCACAGTCCAGCCTGTCCTGGTACTGTTCCCAGGACTGCAGCACGTCCTGAAGCTCCTCGGTAGATGCCTTCACCTTGGAGCTGTCAGGAAGCTCTGCCTCCACTCCCTGCAGTAACACAGAGGCCTTCTCCACCTGAGAGGAAGAACCCAACAAAATTGGCCATTTATAATTAGGGTTAGCTAAGCATGCTCAAAAATGCTCAAAACACATGTCGATGTAAACTTACGCTGTCTGAGATATCACTCCATTCTCTGATTCTCTGTTTGCTACGAGTTGTCAGCTCCTGTGTGCAGTGACGTAGTCTTAATACCCATCTCCAGATACAAGTCATGGCGGTCTCCCTGCTTCCGCGACAGCCCTGCTCTGAACACCACTCCTGCAGCTCTTCCAGACGTCTCAGGAGGGCCTCCATCTCCTCTGCAAGTGCCTGATTAGGGGTATCAGTAAAAATGAATTCTGTTTCTGTGTGGAAATTTTCAACTTTTATCCACAAAAGCATTAAAGTTTTTTCAGAGGAGGTTTATACTCACTCTAAGATTTGCCTCCTGGTCAGTGCAGTCAGTGAGACAGGTGACCTTCTGAGTGATGAGCTGTAAGAGTCTGTTCGCTGTACTCTTCACGCTCTGCATGATTTCTTCTTTGCACTTGATGTAATTTCTGTGCTGCTCTGCACACCTGAAAGACAAATATGTTGATCTTTTAGTGTCAGATTTAAAATAAGGGCTCACATTCACAAAGGCTCTGCAGCTTAATGCCATTTGCAGGTCTTGTAGTTTCTATCGTGCAATGACTGTTTAGTAAATGTAGTAAAATGGTGTTTGAAACATGCTAAATAGCTAAACAAGAAAAACAAATATTTCCAATGAAGTTTTTTTTTTTTTGATAAATAACTGTTACTTGTGGGCACCAGTTTAGCTCAATGGGTGAACAGGAAGAAGTTGACAACTGTTGGTGTGATCATTCGTAAATGGAAGAAATATAAATGATCATCAGTGTCCCTCAGTCTGGAGCTCCGTGCAACATCTTGTCTCGTGAAATGAGGATGATCATGAGAAGGAGGGTGGATAAGCTCAAAACTAAAGGGAAGGAGCTTGTTAACGATCTGAAAGCAGATGGACCAGTCACCAAGAACACCACTGGTAACCCGTTACACTGTAATGTACTGAAATCTTGTGGCACCTGCAAGGTCCCCTTGCTCAAGAAGCCACATGCACAGGTCTGTCTTAAGTTTGCCAGTGAACAGCTAAACGATCAGAGAGTGCTTGGGAGAAAGTGCCGTGGTCAGATGAAACCAAAAGTATTTGGCATTTTAGCAAAACTAATACGAAGAAAGATAACTATCATTATTTCTTTGTTTTATCTTTGCATGTGCAATCACATACTTCTACCAAAAAAAGCTTTTCAGGAAGATAAATCTGACTTTTAGGACTGAGCTGAGTACCTGCTGAGACACTCCAACTTCACATGGCCCTTTGCCTGGAGAGTGGACATCATCACCAGGAGTTGGCTCAGAATACTCTCTTGGAGCTGCTCCACCTTCAGTGGGGACAGGTATGGATGCAGAGCAGTCTGGTCTTGGAGCTGTTCTACATGAATTTGAAATTGCTGCTGGAGTGAGGCCAAAGCCTGCTGGGTCTCCTCGACTCTGTCACCGCAGACCCCAGCAGAGCCCTGAGGTGGCAGCATAGACACCTCAATATCCCTCAGGAACTGTACAGCCTGTTTAACAGAACAGGTGTAGCTTCTCAGTGACTCCCTGGCCTGAGTGATGTTCTCCTAAAACAATAGGAAAACAAACAACACATTTTTTCAGATTGGCAGGTTCACTCCATAGTGTAGATTTTTTTAAACCATCTGCGTAATTCCTTTGCTTTGTATTTTGCTTTTGTGGTTTGTTCTATCAAACTGAACTTTAAAACTGTGAAAAAGAACACATTGTTTGTATAGACTATATTCAAAATGACAAGACTGAAAGGGTGTTTGCTCCATACTGCTCTACCAAATATGGTGTAGTATTGCTGATGCTCTCTAAGTTTGAAATTGTTATTTTATATTTATACCTACTGGCACATAAAGACACAAATGAACAAATCTAACTATTGTGGAGGCTTAATTCAGCTGTATTGCATAGTAATATAACATATGCTTCACTCTGATTGGCTAAGCTTATTACAAAGCAATTAAAAAAAATACTGCAAAAACAAATTGAGAAATACTCAACACTACTTGCCATGTGGGATTCACATTGACCGAGGACTGCATTCTTCAAGTCCATCAAGTCTTGAGATCCACTTCTTTTTTTCTTTCCCTTCTTTTGCTCCAGCACCCCCAGTGCTCTCATTCTTGACTCCGCAGTCTTTGTCAGAGACACCACTCTCTCATATTCTCTGTTAATTGCTGTGTCATTTGGCTCCAACGTGGGAAGTTTCTCAAACTCTTTCTGGGTCTTTAAGAGGAAGGCCTTAGTGGCTTTCCTCTCTGATTCCAGGTCCAGGTCCATCAGCAGGTTCCACTCAATGATGCTGAGGTTGTTATAGAGTGTCATCTCCAAGGTGCTAAGACTCTCCTCATTTTGCTTAAGCCTTTGTTGCTCTGCAGTCAGCTGTGAAGGGTAGAGGTCAGCAGAGATTGTGTGTAGTTTTGAGCGAGCCTCTTCACACAATCCCTTCATCAGATGAAACTGGATAAGAAGGTTCTGACAGATTCTGTACTTCTCGTCTGTGTCATTGCCATCTTCTTTTGTCTGGTGCACCTGTTCCTGAATGCTTTCCCTGAGATCCTCGACGCATTGCCTCATGTTTAGGTACCTCTCTTGGTCCCTGGCTTTCATTTCTAGGGCACACATTTTGCTGTGCAGCTCAGAGATGACAGAGTTCAATTCTTTTGTCTTCTCATTGGGAATCCAGGGTTGCAGGAGGTCAACTTGCGACTTGTGTTCCAAAATCATGTGCTTGAAAGGCTCTAAAGCTTGCAGGGACTCTCTTGTAATGGGGAACCTGTGTCTGCTTAGATCCACCAACATCTGCCTTAGACTGTTTTCAACAGTGACAAGTTTTTTCTTGTTTGAATCTAAAGTCTGGGTGAGTTCATTCAGCTCCTTCTTGTTATTTTTTTCTTGGCTGCTAATGGTTCTGATATTCTCCTGGAGGTTGGTAAGCTTGTCAAAAAGCTGACAGTTCTCTGTGACACTGAATTCAGAAGTGATATCTTTGCTCTTAATAAAAAGAGCCTCACAGACTGCTTCCTGCTTCTCAGCCTCATCCAGGGTTTCTTGGATTTGGCGGGTTCTGCGATCAAGTTCAGCAGGGCTCCTGAGCTCACTGTCTGGACCCCGGGATGCTTCTCTTTGCAGATAAGCCACAACCCAGGAGTCTAGATCGGCAATCTGTTCAGATAGCTTTTCTCTGGTCTGTAGTCCTGATTCCACTTCTTTCACAGCTTTGGACAGCTTCTCATTGGTGGACTTTGAGAGTTCTTCAAGACATTTCAGAAGACTCTGCACCATAGGTACCTCTTCAACCTGGTCCAGCTGTGGAAGGAGCTCAGTCATTTCCTCCGCCAGTGACTCCAGCTGACCTTGTTTGGCCATCACCTCAGATTGCAGCTTCTTCAGATCCCTGAGCTGCCGGTGAACTTCCTCGGGGAGAAGAGCTACTCTCTTTTTCCTGCCCTCAATATCACTCTCTGTCTGCCTGGCCCAGGCCAGGCCTTCCCTCATCACTATGACAATTTTCTCCATGATAGGGCTGTTGCTGTTCAGGGTTTGGGCAGCCAAAAGTTCCTCTGTATGAGAAATTTTGTCCTTAACTCTCTGGAGTCCCTGATGGATCTCCTTTGTTTCCATCTCCCACTGTGGGCTAAATAGCAACAGCTCTGACAGCTGTTGTAAATGGAGGTACTTCTGCTGGGCTGCTTTAACCTCAGCGTTTGCCTCCATCAGCTGTCGAGCCTTCTTGCAGTTCCACTGAGTAACTGATGGAAACTTGGCTTCAAGGTCTTTAATGATCACTTCCAAGTGTTCCTGCAAATCTGATAACTCTGACAGGAGGTTGCTGGTCTTGTGAGAACGGGCATGTGTGTGATGAAGCATACTCTCCACAGTTCTTTCCAGAACTCTCCACCTCTCTTGTAGGTTCTTCTGCTCAGTCTCTGCAATTGCTCGCTCATACCGGGTAAGGTGGGGGCACAATTTGCTATGGGTCACAAGCAGCTCTCCAAGTGCTGTTCTGTTCTCCTCCATACTTCTTTGTAAGGAGCCTAGTCGCTCTGCCTCCTTGGAGCTGCTCTCCTGAGGGGATCTGAAAGAAAAACAACAAAAAGTTTGCCGCAACAAATTGTAAAAGATTTTAGGGGCTTATCAGTTAGTTTTACAGACAAAGGAAGATGACAATGTGTGAAATAAAAAGTGTTAAAATATCTTAAAATACAAGTATTAAAGACTAAAATGAAACCATCGGATGGCAACTCACGTTTGAAGAGCGTCCAGTTCTGCGGTTGCTTTGTCCACCGCATTCTTAGCTGTTTGGATGTGCTGGCAATAATCAGTGACCATCTGCAGCTGAGCCTCCTTACTCTGGATAATATTAGCTGCATCCTGGGCAGCACTGCTCCACTGGTCCTCCAGATGCTCCAGAGTGTCCCTATTCTCAGCAACAGCCCCTCTCAACTGAGAGAGCAATGCTACCTGGGCCAGGGCAGCCTCTCTGCACTCCTGTATGCAGCAGGCAAGAGTGAGACACACAAAGGCTGAATTTTAAATTCAGAATGAGCTTATCTGACCTTCTGTGAACTCAGGTTCATTGTTATTTGAATTGCGAACACAAGGGCCTACTGTGAAAATGCTCTGTAAAATGTTTTATTATTACAATTGTCATGATTTTTAAAAAATATTCTTATTCTTATTATTGTTGTTGTTGTTGTTGTTGTTGTTAATAATAATAATAATAATAATAATAATAATAATAATAATAATAATAATAATAATAATAATAATAAGGAGGCACTTTAGCACCATGGATGTTTTTCTAGTGATTCATGCTGCATAATCTCACCTGAGCCTCCTCCACCTGCTGGGCCATGGCTGTTGGGCTCAGCTCAGCTGAGCGGTTCTTGCAGTTCAGGAGTTTAGATATAACCCTACTTAGATGACTGTCCATGCTACTGGTAGATGAAATCAGAACCTCTGGAGCATCCTCAAGTGGTTTACCCTTCAGACAGAAAGACACGTCAGATGCAGAACAGGATTTGTTAAGGCACAAGCTTTGGTTTTGTTGTTTAATTTAGGGCCTATATGAAAATATATATCAGAAAAAAACAGTTTGAGGGAGGAATTGTTATGATCCTCTCTACAGAGTAAGATATGTCTTGACCATATAAATTGCCTCAAAGGTCTCACAAACAACCTTTGCAAACTCTGCTTTGAGGTTTTTCTTGAGTTTACTTCATATATCTAAAACTGGATTGAACTGAACTGATGTGAAAGAGGATTAAAAAAGAGTCAAAATAACTAAGAATTACGATCTACATTTCAGCCAGTAATTATGATAGTACATGTTCATCACCGCTTTATTTGAAAGATTATTCTGTATTTTAATCCTACATATAGAAAGTGACCATTTGGAACTTCTGTGACTTTCTTGGTTCAAAAACAAACACAGAGCCAATGACAGATAATATTTATTTTACCTCAATGAGTTGACTGCTGGGTCCCATGTCTTTGAGTAGCTGTATCACTGTCAAAATGGATGTTTCTCCTGGTGACTCCAGTACTGTTCTCTCAGTTTCCATGTCATTTGCGTCTATTTTGTTTTCTTGAGGGGTCAGTCCTTTCAAATGGGGTTCTTCACCCAGTACAGTATCACCTGATGATATCTGAACCACCTGCAGTGATGTGTCAGTACTGAATACTTGCTCCTATAGTGGACATGAAACTAGGTATTAATGCACATATATATACTCCATGTCAGCGGTCCCCAATCCCCGGGTCACGGACCGGAGTCGCTTGGTACCGGGCCATGATAGTTGAGGTTCGGGTGTGAAATTTATGGTTTTCAGGGTTTTTATTGGTTTTTATCGCTGGCTTCCCTAGGTCTTTTCCAGTGTGTTATGAATAAATCTACTTCTTTTTTTTTGGTACCAGTTTTATTTTGTTGGATTAATTCGCGACAACGTAAAGGCCGGTCCGTGAAAATATTGTCAGACATAAACCGGTCCATGGCGCAAAAAAGGTTGCGGACCGCTGCTCTTTGTGACCAAATTTTACAAAAACATTAAGTTGTATTAAATAAGACTTGACTAACAGGTGAGGCCATTAACGCTGAAGAAGTGAAATCATACACCAATTGAGAAATTACATTTGTTTTTTGAAAGACCTCTGCATAATGCAACTTCTTTTAGCAATCAAGAAGTTCCCTTTGCAAGATTGAAGGCTTTTCTGGACTGGCTTTGGTAGACAAGTTCATGTTTTACATGTAGGCTATGCATTAGTCTATATATGATGCAGGGTTAACATAATTGCACTTTATCATAGAAAAATAGGTCATCATAACATACCTGTGGCAGTTTCTTAAGCCTTGTTCCAGTGGCCTCCATGGTAGTGATGGTGGTTGTTGTGCTTATGCTGAATGGCAGTTCTACACTGGTGCTTCTTTCTTTTTCCTTTTCTTGAATTTTCTTCTTCTGCTTCTCTTCTTCTTCTTTCCTATTTGTTGCATCTGTTTGGACTTTAGGATACACAACTGGTTCTGACAGGAGTTTGGTAAAGCTTTTTGGAGCATCTGCTTTATTCATCTCAGATGCAGGTTTTTCTTTCTCTGCTTCAAGAGACCTAAGCTCTTGGGTTTGTGTTATTTTTTCAGACTTCGTAGTTGTTTGATCACTGTCAGTCCTTGCACTTGTTGCTATCACAACAGATGTGGTTATGGTGGCCGGTATATTTGGCTGTAGAGTGGGTACGCTAGACCCCATGCTGAGTTTTTCCACTGTAACAGACACTTCATGCTGGCCTTTAGGTGCATCAAGTACATCTTTAGTTACAAACTCCTCTCGCAGATTGACGTCCTTTGGTCTCTCCTCTGTGGTATTCAAGAACTTCAACTTATTAAGAGTTTCTGGTTTTACAGTGTCTCGTTCAGATAAACTTATTTCTACACATGTTGACTCTGTTTCACCTGCATGTATCAGTACAGATTGAGCTGTGTCAGCCTGAGCTACACCTTCCTTCATTTCAGTCCTAAATTGTTGGACTTCTACTACTCTGGTTTTAACTTCAGCCTCTTTAGGAAGAACCTCAGCTGCACTCGTATCTCTGTGTTCTTCTGAACTTTCACACTGGATACTTGATCGAGATGTATCTGTTCTTGACACATGCTCTTCTCGAACTGCTGGTATTACAAGCACCTCAGGGTCCATCTGAATTTTCTTCATTTTAACAAATTTGACATCCAGGCTTGTGGGTACGTCTTCCACTCCATGTGTTAATACTTTAGGGTGCTTGTCTTGGACAAATTCCTTAGTCACAATAGGTTTGTCTTCTGTGGTTTTCAAGAGCTCTCCACTGACCTCTGGCTCTAGCAGAGCAGGCTGAGCGGAGTCACTTTTTTCTATCATGAAAGATGTCTGTTCATGCTCATGACGACTTGTTGGTACTTCTACTTGTAAAACAAGCACCTCAGGCTCAATCTGGGTTTCGTCTACTGTAACAGACTTGCCACTTAGGCTCTTGGGTGCATCACCCACTCCATGCATTAACAATTTAGAAGAGCCTTCTTTGACACCAAGTTTCTTAATCCCTGTAGGTCTGTCCTGTGCGATTTCCAAGATCTTTAGCTCAATCAGTGTTTCTTGTTTTACAATGTCTTGCTCAGGTAAGCGTATTTGTGCAGATGTTGTCTCTGCTTCACTTGTTTGCTCCAGTGTAGTTTGAGTGGAGTCACTCTGAGCTGCAATTTTTGGTCTTTCAGCGCTAATTTGTTTCTCCTTCACTGTGACTGAAGCTTCAGAGGGCTCTGCTTGGACCACAAGGTCCTTAGTCACCATAGGTCTATCTTGTGTGGTTTTCAAGATTTCTTGCTTAGACACTATTTCTGATTTTACATTGTGTGGCTCAGATACAATTATTTTTGTAGAACTTACTGCTTCGTTTTCCAGCAGTCCAGGTTGAACAGAGTCAAACTGAACATCCTCTTGTCTTTCAGTAATGATTTGTTGCTCCTCCATTCTAACTGCTGCCTCCTCAGGATGAACCTCAGCTGTTTTGTCTTTCTGTTCTTTTTCTATTTCACCGTGAAATATCGTTTGACCCGTATCTGTTCTTGATGCTGCTGCTGTCATGACTAACGTTCTTTCATGCTCCTTGTCGCTGGTTGACATATTGAGTTGTAAAATACACACTTGAGGTTCTGCCTGGATTTTCTCTGCTGTGACTGATAGTTTGTCCACACTTTTTGGTGAATCAAGCACAACATTTGTGGAGAACTGTGTAGTTTTCATGAGTTCTTGCTCAGTTACTGTTTCTGATTGTACAGCTTCTCCCTCAGGTAAGCTAATTTCTGCAGATGCTATTTTTCTTGGCGGCAGCACTGCAGGTTGAGTTGAGTCCACCAGAGCTACATCTTCTTGTGTTTCAGTGCTGATTTGTTGCACCTCCATTCCAACTGTTGCCTCCCCAGGGTGAGCATCAGCTGGACTCACATCTTTCTTTTCAAGTTCTGAATCACATTCGATATTTATTTGAGACATGTCTGTTCTGCTGTCTGTGGTCTTCAAGAGCTCTTGCTCAGTCACCAGTTCTGGTTTTACAACATGTTTTTCAGATAAGCAAATTTCTGCAGAGACTGTCTCTGGTTCACGTGTCTGCAGCAGAGAAGGTTGAGTGGAATCGCTCTGCGCCACATCTTCTGGTCTAGCAGCTTCCTCAGGTTGAACTTCAGCGGCAGTCAAATCTTTGTTTACTGCAATGATTTCAGACTGGATACTTGAATGAGCTACATCTGCTCTGGGTACATCTGTTACCACAACAAATGTTCTTTTATCCTCCTCCTGGCTGGTTGGTGAAACAAGGACCTCAGGCTCCCCCTGGACTTTCTCTTTTGTAATCGTCTTGTCATCCAGGCTCATGGGTATGTCATCCAGTTCATTTGGTTTGGGCTGCTGACCTTGGATCACAAGTCCCTTAGTCACAGTAGATCTATGCTTTGTGGTTTTCAAGAGCTCTTGCTCAGTCACTGGTTCTAGTTTTACAGTTTCTTGCATTGATAAGTTTATTTCTGCAGAAGCTATCCCTACTTCAGCTGGTGGACCTGAGTCGCTCTGAGTCACATCCCCTTGTCTATCAGTGGTGATTTGTTGCACTTTGATTATATATTCAGTCTCCTGTGTAACCTCAGCTGAAGTATCATCTTTATTTCCCAGCTCCCTTTCACGCTGGATACTTAAATGAGCTGTATCTGGTTTTGGTTCTGCTGATGTCTTCACAAATATCTTTTCCTGTTCTTTTTGACTGATTGGTATATCCAGCTGTAAAACTTTCACTTGAGGCTCCACTTGAATTTGCTTTATTGCAACTGATTTTTCATCCAAGTTTTTGAGTGAATCAAGCACATCTTTTGTGGGGACATCCTGTTTCATGTTGTAATCCTTCACCTCCACTGATCTAGCAGTTTTCAAGGTCTCTAGTGCAATCATTGTTTGTGGTTCTGCAGTGTCTTGTTCAGGTAAGCTTATTTCTGCAGATTGTGTTTTCTTTGCTTCACCTGGCTGAAAAAGTGCAGCTTGAGTAGATTCACACTGAGCCACGAGATCCACTGGCATTTTAGTCTTCATTTGCTGCACCTTTATTGTAAAGCTAATTTCTTGTTCAGGTTGAACATCAGCTGAAGTCAAATCTTTGTTTACTTGAGAATGTTCAGACTGGATACTTATATCTGTTCTTGGCACATCTGCTTTCGAGACAAATGATCTTTCATGCTCCTCATGGCTGGCTGGTAAAACAACATCAGGCTCCACTTGGACTTTTTCTGCTTTTTCATCCAGGCTCATGGGTATATCATTCCCTCTATGTATTGACAGTTCAGAGCGCTCTTTTTGGACCCCAGTTTCCTTAGTTATCATAGGTCTGTCCTGTGTGTTTTTCAGGAGCTCCTGCTCAGTCAGTTTTTCTGGTTTTACAGTATCTTGTTTGGATATGTTTATTTCTGCAGACATTGCCCCTGCTTCACTTTGCAGGAGTGCATTTTGAGAGGAATTACTTTGATCCAGATACTTTTGTGTGTCCAAGGTGATTGGTTGCACTTTGACTATAACTTCAGCCTCCTCAGACGGTACATGAACTCCTTCACACTGCAAACTTGATTGAGCTGTATCTATCTTTGGTTCGGCTGCTGTCATGACAAACGTCTGTTTCTGTTCTTCATTACTGGTTGGTATATCTATTTGTAAAACTCGCACTTGAGGCTCAACAAGGTTTTTCTCTCCTGTAACCAGTTTTTCATCCAAAGTGTGGGATACATCAGGTACATCTGTTTTGGAGACCTCTTTTAAGTCGTAATCCTTCAGCTCCTCTGGTTTCTGTGTGGTTCCCAGGATCTCTAACTCAATTGCCGTTTGTGGTTTTACAGTGTCTTCCTTAAATAAGCTTATTTCTGCAGATATTGTCTCTGTTTCAACTGGCTGCAGCAGAACAGTTTGAGTAGAGTCACTCTGAGCCACATCCTTTGGCGTTTCTGTGCTGATTTGTTGTACCTTGACTATGAGTGTAGCCTCCTCAGGGTTAACCTGAATTGCAGTCTCTTTTTGTTCCCACTGCATACTTGATTGAGCTGTATCTGCCATTGGTACTGCTGCTGTCATGACAAATGTCTTTTCCTGTTCTTCATGACTCGTAGGTATATCAAGCTGTAAAACTCGCACTTGAGAGTCCCCCAATATTTCCTTTTCATCCAAGCTTTTGGGTAAATCAAGTACATCTTTTTTAGAGACCTCCTCTTTTAAGTTGTAGTTCTTCAGCTCCCCTTTGCTATCCTGTGTGGTTTTCAAGATCTCTAGCTCAATCACCATTTCTGATTTTATAGTGTCTTGCTCAGATAAGCTTATTTCTGCAGATACTCTCTCTTGTTCACTTGCCTGCAGAAGTGCAGGTCGAGAAGAGGCAGACATCTCCACATTATCTTGCATTTCAATGCTGATTTGTTGCATCTGTACTCTGACTGTAGCTTCCTCTGGGTGAACCACAACTGCGGTTTTATGGCTGGTTGGTATTTCATAGTCCAAACTAAGCACTTTAGTCTCCACTTGGATTTTATCCCCTGTAACAGACTTGTCATCTGGGCTCATGGGCACATGTTTTTCTGAGGTGAAAACAGTTGCAGTAGGCTGACTAGAGCCTTGGTCAGCCTTAATATCATTCCCTTCAGCAATGCTTACTTGCAGTTCTACACTGGTTGTCTCAACGTTGCTTTGTGGTGTGGTCTCACACTGTACAGTCAAGTGCTCCATGTGCATCTGGGGGTCATTGTGCACTGAGACAGTAATATTTTCAGATGTGTGTATTCTTGTCTTTATACTCATTTCTTCAGCTTTGAATGCTTCATCTTCAAGAGACTTTTGAACCTTGATGCCTAAAATATTTTGCCCATCGTCATGTTGGATGTTGACTTCAGGTTGTATTTGTAAGTTATCTGAGACTGTTTGCTGACTCATAGTCTCATTTAGCTTAGATGGGGCTATTTCTGTTACATCTGTCTCTGTCTCATGAGGCTGCTCCATTGAAACAATGGCAAAAGTAATAGATTCCTTATCAGAAATTCTTGTGTCTGGCTGATATTGGTTTGTCTCAAACAATTGTGGGACTGTTCGATCAGGCAGCTCAAGAACTAAATACCTCTTCGGAACTTCTTCTGTGTTACTCCATAATTTGTTAATACAATCTGCAATATTTGTTGTATCTGTAAAACTAGAAGAAAGACATGGCTGCATTTGTGGCGCTGTGTCTGAATCTCTTGCATCAGATTGAGGTGCTGTGCATTCTGGTGCCTTGTTATCAGACTGAAGAGAAACTTTTGGACTGTCTGACTTTCTTTCACATGGTGAAAACTTAGTTGATTCTATAGAAATACTGTCAGTTGTTACAGTGACTGTCTGCAAACTTAAATGTGCTTTTCCCTTTTCAATTTCTTTCTCCATTTCGTTGTACTCCAATAGACTCTCTGACGTCTTCTTTGATGTAGGAAGTTCAGGTTTTTCCAGGGAAAGGTTCTGATCCATATTTTCTCTATCTGGATGTCTATCAATAGGTGGGACTGAATCAGAAGCAATGGAAAGTTCAACATCATCTGACTTTCCTCCAGTTTGTATGGGAGATACGTCTTCCAAAACTACAGCAGTAACTTGCTCTGTAGATGAGACTGACAGAATCTCATTGTCATGTTCTGTTTGAGTTGGAATCTGGTCCTTGATTGCAAGATCAGGAGAAACCTTTGGAATCTCTGGTTTTCTTTCACTTGGTGAGAATTCAATTGACTCTACAGTTTCAGTTTTTCTAGTAATCACCTGTAAATGCAAGGCTATCTTTTCCCTTCCACTTTCTTTCTCTGTGTCCTCAGACTCCACAAGACTCTTTGAAGTTTTCCTTGTTTGGGGGGCTTCAGGTTTTTCCAAAGTGATAATCTTAGCTTCAACGGTGGAACCCACAGATTCAGGTTCTTTCAAAGTCGCAGGCAAATCTGTACTAATAAGTTCTGAGGAAGCTTTACGACTCTTTGACTTTCTTTTGGGTGGTGAGTGCTGTGTGGATGAGACTGACAGCGTTTCACTGTCATGCTCCTTTGTAGTTGGAATCTGGTCCTTGCTTGCAAGCTCAAGGGAAACCTTTGGAATCTCTGGTTGTCTTTCACTTGGTGAAAATGCCGTTGACTCTACAGCAACAGTTTCAGTTTTTTCAGTAATCACCTGTACATTTAAAGCTGCGTTTTCCATTTCTGTTTCTTTCTCTATTTTCTTGGACTCTACAAGACTCTCAGAAGATTTCCTGGTTGGGGGGACTTCAGGTCTTTCCAAAGTGGTAATTTTAGATTCCTTGGTGGAACCCGCAGATTCAGGTTCTTTCAAGGTCTCAGGCAAATCCGTACTAATAAGTTCGGAGGAAGCTTTACGACTCTTTGACTTTCTTTTGGGTGGTGAGTGCTGTGTGGATGAGACTGACAGCGTTTCACTGTCATGCTCCTTTGTAGTTGGAATCTGGTCCTTGATTGCAAGCTCAAGGGAAACCTTTGGAATCTCTTGTTGTCTTTCACTTGGTGAAAGTTCAGTTGACTCTACAGCAACAGTTTCAGTTTTTCTAGTAATCACCTGTAAATGCAAGGCTATCTTTTCCCTTCCACTTTCTTTCTCTGTGTCCTCAGACTCCACAAGACTCTCTGAAGTTTTCCTTGTTTGGAGGGCTTCAGGTTTTTCCAAAGTGGTAATCTTAGCTTCAACGGTGGAACCCACAGATTCAGGTTCTTTCACGGTCTCAGGCAAATCCGTACTAATAAGTTCCGAGGAAGCTTTACGACTCTTTGACTTTCTTTTGGGTGGTGAGTGCTGTGTGGATGAGACTGACAGCGTTTCACTGTCATGCTCCTTTGTAGTTGGAATCTGGTCCTTGCTTGCAAGCTCAAGGGAAACCTTTGGAATCTCTGGTTGTCTTTCACTTGGTGAAAATGCCGTTGACTCTACAGAAACAGTTTCAGTTTTTTCAGTAATCACCTGTACATTTAAAGCTGCGTTTTCCATTTCTGTTTCTTTCTCTATTTTCTTGGACTCTACAAGACTCTCAGAAGATTTCCTGGTTGGGGGGACTTCAGGTCTTTCCAAAGTGGTAATCTTAGCTTCCTTGGTGGAACCCACAGATTCAGGTTCTTTCAAGGTCTCAGACAAATCCGTACTAATAAGTTCTGAGGAAGCTTTACGACTCTTTGACTTTCTTTTGGTTGGTGAGCGCTGTGTGGATGAGACTGACAGCGTTTCACTGTCATGCTTCTTTGTAGTTGGAATCTGGTCCTTGATTGCAAGCTCAAGGGAAACCTTTGGAATCTCTGGTTGTCTTTCACTTGGTGAAAGTTCAGTTGACTCTACAGCAACAGTTTCAGTTTTTTCAGTAATCACCTGTACATCTAAAGTTGTGTTTTCCATTTCTGTTTCTTTCTCTATTTTCTTGGACTCTACAAGACTCTCAGAAGATTTCCTGGTTGGGGGGACTTCAGGTTTTTCCAAAGTGGTAATCTTAGCTTCAACGGTGGAACCCACAGATTCAGGTTCTTTCACGGTCTCAGGCAAATCCGTACTAATAAGTTCCGAGGAAGCTTTACGACTCTTTGACTTTCTTTTGGTTGGTGAGTGCTGTGTGGATGAGACTGACAGCGTTTCACTGTCATGCTCCTTTGTAGTTGGAATCTGGTCCTTGATTGCAAGCTCAAGGAAAACCTTTGGAATCTCTGGTTGTCTTTCACTTGGTGAAAATGCCGTTGACTCTACAGCAACAGTTTCAGTTTTTTCAGTAATCACCTGTACATTTAAAGCTGCGTTTTCCATTTCTGTTTCTTTCTCTATTTTCTTGGACTCTACAAGACTCTCAGAAGATTTCCTGGTTGGGGGGACTTCAGGTTTTTCCAAAGTGGTAATCTTAGCTTCCTTGGTGGAACCCACAGATTCAGGTTCTTTCAAGGTCTCAGACAAATCCGTACTAATAAGTTCTGAGGAAGCTTTACGACTCTTTGACTTTCTTTTGGTTGGTGAGCGCTGTGTGGATGAGACTGACAGCGTTTCACTGTCATGCTTCTTTGTAGTTGGAATCTGGTCCTTGATTGCAAGCTCAAGGGAAACCTTTGGAATCTCTGGTTGTCTTTCACTTGGTGAAAATTCAGCTGACTCTACAGCAACAGTTTCAGTTTTTTCAGTAATCACCTGTACATCTAAAGTTGTGTTTTCCATTTCTGTTTCTTTCTCTATTTTCTTGGACTCTACAAGACTCTCAGAAGATTTCCTGGTTGGGGGGACTTCAGGTCTTTCCAAAGTGGTAATTTTAGCTTCCTTGGTGGAACCCGCAGATTCAGGTTCTTTCAAGGTCTCAGGCAAATCCGTACTAATAAGTTCCGAGGAAGCTTTACGACTCTTTGACTTTCTTTTGGGTGGTGAGCGCTGTGTGGATGAGACTGACAGCGTTTCACTGTCATGCTCCTTTGTAGTTGGAATCTGGTCCTTGCTTGCAAGCTCATGAGAAACCTTTGGAATCTCTGGTTGTCTTTCACTTGGTGAAAGTTCAGTTGACTCTACAGAAACAGTTTCAGTTTTTCTAGTAATCACCTGTAAATGCAAGGCTATCTTTTCCCTTCCACTTTCTTTCTCTGTGTCCTCAGACTCCACAAGACTCTCTGAAGTTTTCCTTGTTTGGAGGGCTTCAGGTTTTTCCAAAGTGGTAATTTTAGTTTCCTTGGTGGAACCCACAGATTCAGGTTCTTTCAAGGTCTCAGGCAAATCTGTACTAATAAGTTCGGAGGAAGCTTTACGACTCTTTGACTTTCTCTTGGGTGGTGAAAGCTTTCCTTTATTCATAGCAGTAATTTTTGTTGTTGCTGTGGAAACCTCTGGAGATACAGGAGATCTCTGACTATCAGTCTCTTCATCTTTCTTTGTCAGTTCCCCCATAGCATATTCAGTCTGCGCAGTGACCACCTCTGAATGTGTGCTAGATTTCACACTATAGAGCTCTTTCTTAGTATATTCATTTTCTGTATCAGGCTGTCTTTCAATGGTTAGAAGTGACTCAGGAGCTATGGAAAATTCAACAGGATCTGACTTTCCTCCAGTTTGTATGGGAGATATGTCTTCCAAAACAACAGCAGTAACTTGGTCTGTAGAGGAGACTGACAGAATCTCATTGTCATGTTCTGTTTGAGTTGGAATCTGGTCCTTGATTGCAAGCTCAGGAGAAATCTTTGGAATCTCTGGTTTTCTTTCACTTGGTGAAAGTTCAGTTGACTCTACAGCAACAGTTTCAGTTTTTCTAGTAATCACCTGTAAATGCAAGACTATCTTTTCCCTTCCACTTTCTTTCTCTGTGTCCTCAGATTCTACAAGACTCTTTGAAGTTTTCCTTGTTTGGAGGGCTTCAGGTTTTTCCAAAGTGGTAATCTTAGCTTCCACGGTGGAACCCACAGATTCAGGTTCTTTCAAGATCTCAGGCAAATCTGTACTAATAAGTTCGGAGGAAGCTTTACGACTCTTTGACTTTCTTTTGGGTGGTGAGCGCTGTGTGGATGAGACTGACAGCATTTCACTGTCATGCTCCTTTGTAGTTGGAATCTGGTCCTTGATTGCAAGCTCAGGAGAAACCTTTGGAATCTCTGGTTGTCTTTGACTTGGTGAAAGTTCAGTTGACTCTACAGCAACAGTTTCAGTTTTTTCAGTAATCACCTGTACATTTAAAGCTGCGTTTTCCATTTCTGTTTCTTTCTCTATTTTCTTGGACTCTACAAGACTCTCAGAAGATTTCCTGGTTGGGGGGACTTCAGGTTTTTCCAAAGTGGTAATTTTAGCTTCCTTGGTGGAACCCACAGATTCAGGTTCTTTCAGGGTCTCAGGCAAATCCGTACTAATAAGTTCCGAGGAAGCTTTACGAGTCTTTGACTTTCTTTTGGTTGGTGAGCGCTGTGTGGATGAGACTGACAGCGTTTCACTGTCATGCTCCTTTGTAGTTGGAATCTGGTCCTTGATTGCAAGCTCAAGGGAAACCTTTGGAATCTCTGGTTGTCTTTGACTTGATGAAAATGCCGTAGACTCTACAGCAACAGTTTCAGTTTTTTCAGTAATCACCTGTACATTTAAAGCTGCATTTTCCATTTCTGTTTCTTTCTCTATTTTCTTGGACTCTACAAGACTCTCAGAAGTTTTCCTTGTTTGGAGGGCTTCAGGTTTTTCCAAAGTGGTAATCTTAGCTTCAACGGTGGAACCCACAGATTCAGGTTCTTTCACGGTCTCAGGCAAGTCCGTACTAATAAGTTCGGAGGAAGCTTTACGACTCTTTGACTTTCTTTTGGGTGGTGAGCGCTGTGTGGATGAGACTGACAGCGTTTCACTGTCATGCTCCTTTGTAGTTGGAATCTGGTCCTTGATTGCAAGCTCAAGAGAAACCTTTGGAATCTCTTGTTGTCTTTCACTTGGTGAAAGTTCAGTTGACTCTACAGCAACAGTTTCAGTTTTTCTAGTAATCACCTGTAAATGCAAGGCTATCTTTTCCCTTCCACTTTCTTTCTCTGTGTCCTCAGACTCCACAAGACTCTTTGAAGTTTTCTTTGGTTGGAGGGCTTCAGGTTTTTCCAAAGTGGTAATCTTAGCTTCAACGGTGGAACCCACAGATTCAGGTTCTTTCACGGTCTCAGGCAAATCCGTACTAATAAGTTCGGAGGAAGCTTTACGACTCTTTGACTTTCTTTTGGGTGGTGAGCGCTGTGTGGATGAGACTGACAGCGTTTCACTGTCATGCTCCTTTGTAGTTGGAATCTGGTCCTTGATTGCAAGCTCAAGGGAAACCTTTGAAATCTCTGGTTGTCTTTGACTTGATGAAAATGCCGTAGACTCTACAGCAACAGTTTCAGTTTTTTCAGTAATCACCTGTACATTTAAAGCTGCGTTTTCCATTTCTGTTTCTTTCTCTATTTTCTTGGACTCTACAAGACTCTCAGAAGATTTCCTGGTTGGGGGGACTTCAGGTCTTTCCAAAGTGGTAATTTTAGCTTCCCCGGTGGAACCCGCAGATTCAGGTTCTTTCAAGGTCTCAGGCAAATCCGTACTAATAAGTTCCGAGGAAGCTTTACGAGTCTTTGACTTTCTTTTGGGTGGTGAGTGCTGTGTGGATGAGACTGACAGCGTTTCACTGTCATGCTCCTTTGTAGTTGGAATCTGGTCCTTGATTGCAAGCTCAAGGGAAACCTTTGGAATCTCTGGTTGTCTTTCACTTGGTGAAAATGCCGTAGACTCTACAGCAACAGTTTCAGTTTTTTCAGTAATCACCTGTACATTTAAAGCTGCATTTTCCATTTCTGTTTCTTTCTCTATTTTCTTGGACTCTACAAGACTCTCAGAAGATTTCCTGGTTGGGGGGACTTCAGGTCTTTCCAAAGTGGTAATTTTAGCTTCCTTGGTGGAACCCACAGATTCAGGTTCTTTCAAGGTCTCAGGCAAATCCATACTAATAAGTTCCGAGGAAGCTTTACGACTCTTTGACTTTCTTTTGGGTGGTGAGCGCTGTGTAGATGAGACTGACAGCGTTTCACTGTCATGCTCCTTTGTAGTTGGAATCTGGTCCTTGATTGCAAGCTCAAGGGAAACCTTTGGAATCTCTTGTTGTCTGTCACTTGGTGAAAGTTCAGTTGACTCTACAGCAACAGTTTCAGTTTTTCTAGTAATCACCTGTAAATGCAAGGCTATCTTTTCCCTTCCACTTTCTTTCTCTGTGTCCTCAGACTCCACAAGACTCTTTGAAGTTTTCTTTGGTTGGAGGGCTTCAGGTTTTTCCAAAGTGGTAATCTTAGCTTCAACGGTGGAACCCACAGATTCAGGTTCTTTCACGGTCTCAGGCAAATCCGTACTAATAAGTTCCGAGGAAGCTTTACGACTCTTTGACTTTCTTTTGGGTGGTGAGCGCTGTGTGGATGAGACTGACAGCGTTTCACTGTCATGCTCCTTTGTAAATGGAATCTGGTCCTTGATTGCAAGCTCAGGAGAAAACTTTGGAATCTCTGGTTGTCTTTGACTTGATGAAAATGCCGTAGACTCTACAGCAACAGTTTCAGTTTTTTCAGTAATCACCTGTACATTTAAAGCTGCATTTTCCATTTCTGTTTCTTTCTCTATTTTCTTGGACTCTACAAGACTCTCAGAAGTTTTCCTTGTTTGGAGGGCTTCAGGTTTTTCCAAAGTGGTAATCTTAGCTTCAACGGTGGAACCCTCAGATTCAGGTTCTTTCACGGTCTCAGGCAAATCCGTACTAATAAGTTCGGAGGAAGCTTTACGAGTCTTTGACTTTCTTTTGGGTGGTGAGTGCTGTGTGGATGAGACTGACAGCGTTTCACTGTCATGCTCCTTTGTAGTTGGAATCTGGTCCTTGATTGCAAGCTCAAGGGAAACCTTTGGAATCTCTGGTTGTCTTTGACTTGATGAAAATGCCGTAGACTCTACAGCAACAGTTTCAGTTTTTTCAGTAATCACCTGTACATTTAAAGCTGCGTTTTCCATTTCGGTTTCTTTCTCTATTTTCTTGGACTCTACAAGACTCTCAGAAGATTTCCTGGTTGGGGGGACTTCAGGTCTTTCCAAAGTGGTAATTTTAGCTTCCTTGGTGGAACCCGCAGATTCAGGTTCTTTCAAGGTCTCAGGCAAATCCGTACTAATAAGTTCGGAGGAAGCTTTACGAGTCTTTGACTTTCTTTTGGGTGGTGAGTGCTGTGTGGATGAGACTGACAGCGTTTCACTGTCATGCTCCTTTGTAGTTGGAATCTGGTCCTTGATTGCAAGCTCAAGGGAAACCTTTGGAATCTCTGGTTGTCTTTCACTTGGTGAAAATGCCGTAGACTCTACAGCAACAGTTTCAGTTTTTTCAGTAATCACCTGTACATTTAAAGCTGCATTTTCCATTTCTGTTTCTTTCTCTATTTTCTTGGACTCTACAAGACTCTCAGAAGATTTCCTGGTTGGGGGGACTTCAGGTCTTTCCAAAGTGGTAATTTTAGCTTCAACGGTGGAACCCACAGATTCAGGTTCTTTCAAGGTCTCAGGCAAATCCATACTAATAAGTTCCGAGGAAGCTTTACGACTCTTTGACTTTCTTTTGGGTGGTGAGCGCTGTGTAGATGAGACTGACAGCGTTTCACTGTCATGCTCCTTTGTAGTTGGAATCTGGTCCTTGATTGCAAGCTCGAGAGAAACCTTTGGAATCTCTGGTTGTCTTTCACTTGGTGAAAATTCAGCTGACTCTACAGCAACAGTTTCAGTTTTTTCAGTAATCACCTGTACATTTAAAGCTGCGTTTTCCATTTCTGTTTCTTTCTCTATTTTCTTGGACTCTACAAGACTCTCAGAAGATTTCCTGGTTGGGGGGACTTCAGGTCTTTCCAAAGTGGTAATTTTAGCTTCCTTGGTGGAACCCGCAGATTCAGGTTCTTTCAAGGTCTCAGGCAAATCCGTACTAATAAGTTCGGAGGAAGCTTTACGAGTCTTTGATTTTCTTTTGGTTGGTGAGCGCTGTGTGGATGAGACTGACAGTGTTTCACTGTCATGCTCCTCTGTAGTTGGAATCTGGTCCTTGATTGCAAGCTCATGAGAAACCTTTGGAATCTCTGGTTGTCTTTCACTTGGTGAAAGTTCAGTTGACTCTACAGCAACAGTTTCAGTTTTTCTAGTAATCACCTGTAAATGCAAGGCTATCTTTTCCCTTCCACTTTCTTTCTCTGTGTCCTCAGACTCCACAAGACTCTCTGAAGTTTTCTTTGGTTGGAGGGCTTCAGGTTTTTCCAAAGTGGTAATCTTAGCTTCCCCGGTGGAACCCACAGATTCAGATTCTTTCAAAGTCTCAGGCAAATCCGTACTAATAAGTTCTGAGGAAGCTTTACGACTCTTTGACTTTCTCTTGGGTGGTGAAAGCTTTCCTTTATTCATAGCAGTAATTTTTGTTGTTGCTGTGGAAACCTCTGGAGATACAGGAGATCTCTGACTATCAGTCTCTTCATCTTTCTTTGTCAGTTCCCCCATAGCATATTCAGTCTGCACAGTGACCACCTCTGAAGGTGTGCTAGATTTCACACTATAGAGCTCTTTCTTAGTATATTCATTTTCTGCATCAGGCTGTCTTTCAATGGTTAGAAGTGACTCAGGAGCTATGGAAAATTCAACAGGATCTGACTTTCCTCCAGTTTGTATGGGAGATATGTCTTCCAAAACAACAGCAGTAACTTGGTCTGTAGAGGAGACTGACAGAATCTCATTGTCATGTTCTGTTTGAGTTGGAATCTGGTCCTTGATTGCAAGCTCAGGAGAAATCTTTGGAATCTCTGGTTTTCTTTCACTTGGTGAAAGTTCAGTTGACTCTACAGCAACAGTTTCAGTTTTTCTAGTAATCACCTGTAAATGCAAGACTATCTTTTCCCTTCCACTTTCTTTCTCTGTGTCCTCAGACTCCACAAGACTCTTTGAAGTTTTCCTTGTTTGGAGGGCTTCAGGTTTTTCCAAAGTGGTAATCTTAGCTTCCACGGTGGAACCCACAGATTCAGGTTCTTTCAAGATCTCAGGCAAATCTGTACTAATAAGTTCTGAGGAAGCTTTACGACTCTTTGACTTTCTTTTGGGTGGTGAGCGCTGTGTAGATGAGACTGACAGCGTTTCACTGTCATGCTCCTTTGTAGTTGGAATCTGGTCCTTGATTGCAAGCTCAGGAGAAAACTTTGGAATCTCTGGTTGTCTTTGACTTGGTGAAAATTCAGTTGACTCTACAGCAACAGTTTCAGTTTTTTCAGTAATCACCTGTACATTTAAAGCTGCGTTTTCCATTTCTGTTTCTTTCTCTATTTTCTTGGACTCTACAAGACTCTCAGAAGATTTCCTGGTTGGGGGGACTTCAGGTCTTTCCAAAGTGGTAATTTTAGCTTTAACGGTGGAACCCGCAGATTCAGGTTCTTTGAAAGTCTCAGGCAAATCCATACTAATAAGTTCCGAGGAAGCTTTACGATTCTTTGACTTTCTTTTGGATGGGGAACGCTTTCCTTCATTGAAAGCAGTAATTTCTTTTGTTGCAGTTGCATCCTCTGGAGATAAAGGACATTTCTGACTATCTGGCTCTTCCTTTGTCTCAGTTGGCTTTGTCGTAGGCAAGAATGATATATCACTCTCATGTTGTATTGTAGTTGGATTCTGATCTTTGCTAGCAAGACCAAGATAAACCTTTGGATGCCCTGACTTTATGTCCATTATTGAAACCTCTATCAAGTTTTCATCAGTAGTTTCAGCTCTTCCACTATCCATAACTCCATGTAAATCTGGCTTTTTACTTTCAGTTTCTTTTTCACTTGGTTCTTTGATAACATCCGGAACTGATGGTGATGTCTTCTTTTCAGGCTGTTTCTTGGATTGTGTCTGTGCCACTGAAGGAAATTCTGGAGAACTCATTAAAGCCTTTGACTTTCCTGTGCTTGATGAAAATTGGCCTTTTTCTGTATCAGTTATTTCAGCTATCTTTTCTGGCATATTTGGAGTTTGAGTTGAAGACCCAGCAGGTATAGGTTTTTTCTTTTCAGTAACAAAACCTTTGTTCTCGCCATTAAAGTCCAAAGAAGAAGTTTTGCTTTGAGGATCTTCCCTAGTCTGAGGTAACTCAATATCACCAAGATCAAAGCAAAGTTCTGCGCTCTTTGATTTTCTCGTCATAGGCAATATTCTAGATTTTTCCATAGGTATTTCAGCTGACTCTGATGTTACGTTATACTTGTCTGATTCACCTTTGGTCTCTGTTGACTGCACACTAGCAACTTTTTCCAGTGGAAACATTGGCTCTGCAAGCTGAGAGACCTCAAAACTCTTTGACTTCTTACCTTTTTGAATGATTTCACTTTTTTCCACAGCCACTTTAGTTTGCTTACAAGTCATTGGAGATTTCTCACTACTAGGCTTTTGCTTATTCTCTGCCTCACCCTTGGTTATTTTTTCAGCATACAGCTGTTCAATTTCAGTTTCTTCAGTAACAGTAGGAGTTTCAGTGACCTTGTGCATCACAGTGGGTTCCTCAGAAGCAGGCTTATTTGCCTCATTTGTAACAGGCTCACCTGTGATATCTAACCTTACAGTTTTGGTCTGTGGTTCTTGAGAAGTAGTATAGCTTTGTATCACCACAGATGTTGAAGCAGAAGTAGGATAAACTGTTTTTTTCTCAGATGAGCGCTTGCTTTTTCGTGGCGGTGCCACCACAGAGGCCTTTGTCTCCTGCAGGTTCTCTGACGACTGGTTGTCAGGCAGTTTTTGTTTACTTCTTTGATTAAGTTCCTTGAATAGAGAGGTTAAGAAGCCATTAATTATGACAAACATATTTCCTTAATCCAATTAAGATACAGCAATATATTAGATATTAAACTGCTTTGTTGTGTCAAACAATGGATGTTTACGAGTTTTCTTATGAAATGTTCAAGGCCAAATAATTTAGCACAAATACCTTTAGGCTCTGACTTAGAGAAATTTTCAGTGTGTCTGCTTCTCTGAGAGCTTCTGAGCCTTCTTTTTCTTGTTTCTCAAGCAAGTCCAATGTCAGACAGGCCATTAGAAAATGTCGGTGCGAAAGTGCCTCCTGTAGGCTGGCTTGCAACTTTTCACCTTCCTCTAACATCTGCTAACATCAGAAGGAAAAACATTTAAAAGTGGTTGTAGCATATGTCTGATATTAAGAAAACATACAGTACTCAGGCAAAATATTAATGTCCATTATTAATATTTAGGAACAGTAATAAAATCAGCGTGTTACTCAAATAAGAAGAAAAGAGACCTGCACAGAGGAAAGGGACACAGATGGTTTGCTGTAGTTCCATTTTTGCAGAGCATGAAGACAGTCCCTGAGACATGTTGCTGTGTTTGTGCAGCAGGTAACCTGATGCTCACTCAGCCTATTTTTTAGACTGTGGATATAATGAACAACAATTTATTGTAATCTCAGCACTTAACATGTTACCTGACTATAATATATGAGAAAGAAAACATATTTTTACAGGATGAAAAAAAAGATAAAGAAGTATTTGTTTTTCTAGTGCTATAATTATACATCTGTGTGCATCTATATACATGTGAATTTTGTTTTTAAAAAATGTCTTTCAAAACCAGCTGAAACATTTATATAAGGTTAATATCTAGGTTATAAATACAGGGGAACTCTGTGTGTCCATGCAGTTGAGCAAGAGCAGAATGACCCACTAAGAATTCATTACAAAATATCTATTTAAACAGGGTTACAACTTAAGAAACCCTAGTTGGGAGTTTGGCAGTGTTTTGCTGGATGGTATCTTTTTTTCCCTACTTTTTATACCATGAGGTAAATTTCAAAAAATATATATATAAGAAATAAAATGTCATAACAATTTGGATTCAGAATGTTTCATGGTCTAACAAGCAGAGTCATAAAAGTCATCATTTTCACAGCAGGATACCTGGCATGCTGTTCCCATAACGAGTCAACCCCACTGATGATTTCTGCTGGCAGCTCATTGGTCGAAGATGCCAAGTTTACTTCCTGTTGCAGGTCATGAATTTTCACACCCGAATCCTCCAGGGACTTCTCACAATTCTAACATAAAGAGACAGCAACATCACAAAAGAGCATAGAGTTGATATTTCTGAATGGGAAATGCAATAAAGCCTATTCAAAAGGTGTCTTCCCAAGATAGAATGCAGAAATGCAAATTATTATTTTTTTCAGCCATTACTTTTCAAAACTTTCTTGCTACTATAACTTAAAAAATAGCTGAAAATTCCATCTGTGGTAATTACCTGTAGGCTGTGCCAGTGCTGTTCAAGTTGAGCGATATTGTTTTGTGGTTCACTATAACTGAGTGCCTGGTCGAGAGAGCGGAGCTCCCACTGCAGGGCTGCAATTCCGTCCTTCAGCCCCTGGGTCCTTTTGGCCAACTGACTGTCCTGTTCATTTAGTTGCATCTCACAGACCCTCAGACGCTCCCTCACCTCCTGCTCTGAGACAGAACAGAGGTCATGGAGATGGCTAACCTCTAGGGTCAGGGCATCCTGACCCCCAGGAGTGCAGAGGTACAGCAAACTGTCTCTGGCAGAGTCCAGCTCCTTCATCTCTCTCTGCTCTCTGTCCACCGTCTGGAGCAAAGCCTGACACCAGAAGGACAAGAGCCGGGATGTGAGAAAGTCTAGTAAAGTATTTTAAGACTTTAAGTTTAAAAGTTGTAAAAACTTCTGTAATAGTCAAACGATCAAACATTTCTACGTACTTCAATAACAGAGAAAGAATGAATATGGAATTTTTAAAAGACAAAAACCCAGTAAATTCTGCAGTCTTCATTTATTAGATTGTCTAATGGTGCAGTTTATTTGAGTACATTATCTTTATTGTAATAGAACATATTTAGTATTTTATATGTTAGTTACTAACCACAGATGCTTAAACACCCGTTTGAAAGCATGCCATTTTCTCACCTTAAGGGTGTTCACAGCACTGTGCAGACTCTGTCTGTCTGCAGGAGGAGGTCCCAGGCTTTTAACCTGCTCCCTCAGCCAGTCCTGGGCTGCTTCATGCTGCTCCACTAGCTGTGTGCACTGCCGCTCTGTCACAATGCCCTGCTCCAGGTTGGCTACTGCATCCTGAAGGCGACAGGTTTTTTTTTTGTGTTTGTGATTAATATTTTTTTGAATTTTTCAGAACAACACAGTCCACTGTACATGCAAATCACATCAGGCAGAGATTGCATCAGCACAACAGTAGAGGAGTGGGGAGAACAGAACAAACAAACAAAGAGAAAAGAAAAAAAGCGGGTGGGCGGGTGTCATGGGGGACAAAAATAACCAGCCAGCATTTATCTATGTGGGACTTAAGGTGTATCTCACTCAGTGTTGTCATATAGATCCTCAGGATCCCAACGTCCATCCCACTCTAAGTTTTAGTTTGATCTTTTTTTTTATTTTGAAAAGGTAGGGATCCCCCTTCAGGTGGAAACTCTCCACTTTATTTAGTATCCTAGTTGATTATATCATAGAGTAACAGGTAAGTTGGAGCAGGCTCTCCACTGGGAAATAATGAGCTTATGCCTTGACGTTAATGCAGTCTGCATCCATTCGACAACATTAGTTGGAAGAAGTTTGAGGAGTGATGGAGCCCTTAGAATGAATAATCTTGGTGAAAAGGGAATATCCCGTCATATAACTAATTTGAAAAATTCATGAATCTCAGTTCAAAAATTTGGGGACTTAGGACAGATCCAAATATCATACAGGTCAATGTGTCCACCCCAGTCTGACATCACCAGCATTCGGGGGTCTGTATGATGTTCACCCTGCATAAATCTATGTGCTTACCAGTAAATCTGATTCACCAGACTTACACTTATATCAGTAGATTGTGTCGATGCAAGTCATAAATATTTGGACAGCGAAGAGTAAAACAATAATGTAAGTAAGTAAAAAAACATTTACTTTTAAATAATTCACTTTTTTTTCTCAGAATGATGTGAAGACAGATTGCTGAACTCACAGTGAGCTCTTTCAGCAGAGCAGGGATAGACTCCTCCTTAGCTGTCCAGGTGGGGTCTGACCAGCTTTGGTCCTGTGTGACTTCAACCAGCTCTGCAGCCTTGAGAAAAACAGTGAAATACATTGAAGACACTTAAAGTTTGACTGGTGAATTTGATCAAATTTCCTCTTTGATTAATGTGTTGAGATTTTATATAGCCCTCTCCTAGTCGTACTGAATACTCAAAGTGAGTTATAGGCTTGTGTTTTTAATCATATTACTCAAGCTATAACAATCCCAGAAGTTATTAACTGACACAACTTTAGCTAAAATTTCATGTAAGGTAATTACCTGCGTGCGGACGTTTGTGAGGACGGGGGCTAAGGCTGTAATCTGATCAACCAGGGCTCGGGCCTGTTCCACAGCTTGCCTCCGCTCTCCCAGGCCTGGCCAGGGGAAGACACGTGGAAGATTGGATGTTTGCTTCTGAAGCTCAGCCAGACGGGCCGCAGCCTGGTCTCGCTGGTACTGACAGGATACCAGGCGTTCCACAACACTCTGCAACTTGCTAATGGGTGATAGATATTAGAAAGTCAAACTTAGAAATGAAATGTAATGCAACAACTGAAGAAATAATTGCCTTTGCACTTGCCTAGAAATACCATGGACATAAATTCCAAACTGAGCACTGCAGATGGCCGCCCCTCCCTGAGCCTGGTTCTGCCAGATGTTTATTCCTGTTAAATGGGAGTTTTTCGTTCCCACTGTCGCCAGGTTCTTATTCACAGGCAGTCACGTGACTGTTGGGGTTTTCTGTCTGTTGTTGTAGTGTGTTTACGGTGCAATATAAAGTTCCTTGAGATTTTGGCACTATATAAATTGAATTGAATTGAATTTGGCTTTTTTGAGGATTTTGCAAGAAAATCTGAACAGAACCTTCTGAAAAACTGATTAATTACAAAGTTTGACCTAATCTATGGCCTGATAAACCTGAATTTATCACAAAGTATGTCAGCTTTATGTAGAGGTTTATTTCAGTCACATTGTAACCTTGCTCTGTAACCTTGCAGCCACAAAGGGTTGAACCTGAGCACTATGAAAAGATAGAAACCCTAGCCTCTACGTAGGAAACAGAAGAAATCTCCCTCCCCTGTAGCTCAACACAGCTTTTTCTACCTTTGTGTCTCCTCAGCAGCCTGCAGCACTGCCCTCCACTGCTCCTCTGTATCTCTGACTGTCTGCTGAACCTCCAGCTTCTTGTCCTTTTCCAGGTCTATGTGGTCACAGAGACTCTGCGCTCGCCTCATCAGCTCCAACAGTTGTGTCTCACCACTTGACTTTGACCTCAAGGTGACCTAAAGACATTTTTTTCAGTTAGTCATATATGTATATTATGTATAAAAACTCAATACCTTTCTCAATAATTTCAGCTTTGTATTGTGATTTTATAATATTGTAGCATAGAACACTTTCTATAGTTCGCTATTTTCCATGTTTCACCTGTGCTGCACTCAGTCTGTCCTGTAGCTGAGCCTTGCTGCCCTGAGTGCTCATCCCCATGGGATCAGCTTGTTTCTGCAGGCCTGTAATCCAAGCTTTAGTGCTTCCCGCATGAGCACAGAAAGCCCCTAGCTCCTTGGAGAGTGAGTACTGGACCTCAGCTTTTTGTAGAGTGTTCTCAGCGGTTTCCAGGACTGTCCTCCACTGCTCCTCTGAGTCTTTCACTGCTTGCAGAGCCTTTTGCCTCACAGTCTTAGGCAAGTCCTCTTGGTCAGACAGACTCTGGCTTAGTCTTTTTAGTTCTTCCAGCTTAGAGTCTCCCTCAGGCTTACAGCTCAGGATGGTCTGGAAATAAAAACAAGTCTTAGCTCAATTTCTCTTTTATTGACATGCAAAGTAGCCATATAAACAAGCAGTGAAGATAAAGCATGGCAGTGACTGAGAATGCAAAAAAACAAAACAAAACTCTTTTAGAAATAAGTTCTTGTTGGTTATAAATATTACCATCAATAAGACCAACAAGAACATTTTAAAGTGTTCAAATGAAGGATTTAGACTTAAGGGAATTTTACAAATCAAATACTTTAATCTAATCTTTAACCAAACAATATACATACATTTTATGTCAGCATCCTGTGTATCATATATGTCTTCACCAAACTTTTTATTGTCCAAACTCACCTGTGCAGTGCTTATGATCTGTTCTGGGTCTTTCTGACTGCTCAGAAAGACAAGGCTCTGCTGCTTCTCTTCCAACCACATTCTGGTCTTTTCTCTCGTGGCTTCAAAGTCTTGCAGCTGGCTGTCCAGAGCGCGTTGCCTTTCAGCCAGAACCATTACTTCTTTAGCATCTTTCTGGAGTCTGATCCACTGTTCCTCAGTGTCTCTTACTTTTTGTTGAATCTCTTGTTTTTTATGTTCATCATACTCGTGATCAAGGAAACTCTGGGCTTTTATCTTGAGATTTTCAAGCTTGAAGTTCATAATGGCCTAGGAACAAAAATCATCTTTAAAACTGGCTTCACATGACTGATAATGAAGCAACACTATACCATGCTTTTAGTTAGATACAAACCTACAATTATCCAACTATGCTTATTATATTATATTTATTGCAATAATGCTACAGGAACAAACTGTGCATCCAGCAGACACAGAGTGACTCTAAGCTCACCTGTGCTACATGCAGTCTGTTCTCGACTTTGGTTCCACTGCCAAAAGAGTTCAGCTGTTGTTGGAGGTCTTTTAGCCAGCCATCAGTTTCCCGCTGACAGGTATTAAATTCTTGCAACTGTCAAAAAGGAAAATATGTGAAATACACTTGATTCATCAGAAATAGAGGGGACTTTGTTTTACTCCCACCTGTTTATGAATGAGTACACTGTGCAACAATGCCACACCACAAGATGGCTAAACATTTCTATTATAAATGTTGAATAATGAATAATGCTGAATAATCCTAGAGTACCTTTGCTTGACTCACAGTTCAAAATAGACCTTTATTTATCTTACTCTGGACCCAAGTCAATTCAGAGTCAGACAGAAGATGTTTTAATGCTGAGTTAGCAGCCATCTGACAATAAGTTCTCTCACCTCCAACCTTCTCCTCTCAGTCTCCTGGGCAATCTCAGCTTCTGCTGCGGCTTCAAGCTGTTTAGCATCCTGCAGAGCTGCCCTCCACAGCTCCTCCACATCTCTGACTCTCTGCTTGACCTGCTCTTTCCTGCCCTCATCAGCATCTTTGTGGTCACACAGACTCTGTCCTTGTCTCCTCAGGTTGTTCACCTTAGAGTCACCTTCAGGCCTCAAGGTCAAGAGGGCCTTAAGAAAAAAACAGAAAGAAAGAAAAAAGTATTAATGACAAAAGGTCACTATATCATCTAAATCAAATATACTGATCAGGTATAACATCATGAGCACTGAGAGGTGAAGTGAATAGGACTGATTATCTCGTTATTGTGGGATATATTATCAAGCAAGTGAACATTTTGTAATAAAAGTTGATGTGTTAGAAGCAGGAAAAATGGGCACATGTAAGAATTTGAGTGAGTTTCACAGGGACCAAAATGTGAAGGCTAGACAACTGGGTCAGAGCATCTCCAACATGGGCTGTTTTGGGTCTGCAATAGTTAGTATGTGTCATAGTGGTCAAATGAAGGAACAGTGGTGAACCATCGATGGAGTCATGGGCAGCCAAGTCTTACTGACCCCCTGTGAGCGACGGCTGACCCATGTGCCCAGGTCCAACAGACAAGCTGTTGTAGCTCAAACTGCTGTAAAAGTTCATGATGATTCTGATAGGAAGGTGTCAGAATACACAATGCATTACAGTTTGTTGTGTATGGGGCTGCAGACCTGCAGACCAGTCATGGTGCCCATACTGACACCTGTCCACTGCCCAAGGCTACGTCCACACTAATGCGTTTTCGTTTGAAAACACATCGTTTTCTCTCCGTTTTGGCCTCTCGTCCACACTGAGATGGTGTTTTCCCCAAAGGAAAACTCAGCACTTTGAAAACGCTTTCAAAAACAAATACATGAAGACGGTGCGTTAGCGTCACAGTGTGGACAGCGAAAACGGAGACTTTCGATGACGCATTTTAGTGATGTGATGCAGTCATGTGACCGAAGATAGCAGAGGGCATTATACAGCAGTTGTTTTGTTTTCGCTCAATTTTGACAGCCCTATTAAAGATTAATATCACTTTGTACCTGCTTCAGATAACTTTTCTTCAAATTCTTTAATTCTCACTCGCTTTTGCAACTTTGTACTTTTGTGTTACTCGCACCAACAACTCCACCTCATTGTTAGTCCATTTAAAAAACTCGGTGCTTTTCCTCGACATTTTGCTGCACGTTTCAAAGAGCTGGAAAGTAAATAAACGGCAGACAGAAATGAGGCAGGACGAATCTTCTTGCGCTTCACGCATGCGCAGTACTGGAATGTAAGCGTTTTCGGACGTTTCTATGTGGATGCACAACTCTGTGAAAACGACTGAAAACGCTAGTGTGGATGCGGAGCGTTTTCAGACGAAAACGCAGTTTTCAAATCTATCCGGGCTAGTGTGGACGTAGCCCAAAGCACCAACAAAAGGCACGTGAGCATGTGAACTGGATCATGGAACAATGGAAAAAGGTGTCCTGGTCTTGATGACTCACATTCTCTATAACATCACATGGATGTCTAAGTGCGTGTGCATTGCTTACCTGGGGGAACCAGGATGCACTGTGGGAATAAGGTAAGATTGCCAAAACAGTGTGATTGGGAAATCTTCTGCTGGAAAACCTTGGTTTCTGCCATCCATGTGGATGTTACTTTACCATGTACCACCTAGCTGAATACTGTGGCAGACCATTTACAATCTGTCATCAAAACAGTATCCCCTGATGGCTGCGGCCTCTTTCAGCAGGATAATGCATCTTGCCACAAAGCAAAAATGGTTAGGAATGGTTTGAGGAGCACAACATGTTGGAGGTGACTTGGCCTCCAAACTCCCCAGATCACAACATCTTACAGGACTTGAAGGATCTGTTGCTAATATCTTGGTGCCATATTGGTGCTTGGGCGATCGTGGCTCAAAGAATTGGAAGTTCGTCTTGTAACCGACTCAGTCGGGGCTCGAACCGACTGTCCGAGCCGGGGCTCGAACCGGCTCGGACAGTCTCGGTCGTTGTGTCCTTGGGCAAGACACTTCACCTACCGCTTACTGGTGAGGGGCCGATGGCACGATATGGCAGCCTTGCTTCTGTCAGTCTGCCCCCAGGGCCCCGAAAAGCGCTATATAAATGCAATCCATTATTATTTACCACAGCACACCTACAGGAGTCTTTTGAACTCCATGCCTCAATGAGTCAGGGCTGTCTTGGCAACAAAAGGGGGACCAATGATCATAATACTATGCCTGATCAATGATTGATTCACTCTTTTGAAACTCGGTAAAACAACAATTGTCAGAACTGGCTTACTTGACGTTTATGATGTATCCTGTTGGAATCATTTGTTATTGTTCAGAACAGAATGGTGACTTTAGTTTTCACTGTAATTTCAAGACATGATCAATCTAGATGTCTTGTTGAAGTCACTGATAAAAATTGAAAAACAGTGCTACTTCTGTACCCTACTTACGTAGTTATATTGAAACAAACCTGTGCTGTGTGGCATCTCTCTTCAGCTCTTGTGTGACTGCCCACAGCCTGTAGCTTCTGTTGCTTCTCTTTGATCCACATCTCTGTGTTTTTACTCTGGACGTCAAAGTCATCAGAAAGACTCCTGACTTCTGCTTGATTGGCAGCCTGTTGAACTGTTGTCCACTGCTGCTCTGTGACTGTTACTAGCTGCTGAACCTCTAGTTTCCTACTGTCTTCCAAGAGCTTGCTCAGATTCTCACCCCGTCTCTTCAGGTCAAGCAACTGGGACTCTCCCTCAGGTTTGGAAGTCATGACAGCCTGAAGGCAACGACACAATCAAATAAATCAAAGTAAGAATTCCTGTTACAAACTGCAATTAAAAACTGCAGTAGAGATCTACAGTATGAGCATATATCAGTTTTATAAATTTTACAAATTTCATCAGTTTCTATAATATATTTTGAAGTTAGGTCCCAACTTGTAAACTCACCTGTACTATCTCGGACCTTTCTTCAAAGTGCATATGACTACTGAGGGACAGCAGTTTCTGCTTCTGCTCTTTGATCCAGGATTGGATTGTTTCACTTTGGGTTTTGAAAGCATCAAAATCTCTTTTAGTGGCCTCTTCAGTCTCTGCCTGTTTGAGAGCCTCTTCAGCACCCTGCAAGGCTTTCCTCCACTCCTGTTCTGTGTGTTTGACTGCATCATGAAGCTTTAGTTTCCTGCTCTCATCCAAACTCTGGTTGTCACATAGACTCTGGCACAGTTGCTTAAGCTCTTGGAGCTTTGACTCTCCATTAGGCTTGGAGCTCAGAAAAGCCTTAAGAGAAGAGATACCCTGTTAGGTAACCACTTTGTTTTGATCCTTGAAAGACAAGCCCGTACAAGTGATTCTATAAACTACAACCCACCCTTACCAAACTCATCTACATGTCAATTTACACTCACTTGTGCTGCCTGAAGCTTTTCTTCAACTTGCACATGGCCACAGATAGACTTGAGGTTCTGGTCCTGGTCTCTGATCCAGGACTGGACACTTTCATTGTGGGTTTGGAAAGCTTCAACGTCTTTTTCTAAAATGGCTTGCATCTCTGCCTTTCTGAGAGCCTCCTGAGCAGCCTGCAGGGCTGTTGTCCACTGTTTCTCTGTGTCTCTAACTAGCAGCTGGACACTTTGTTTCCTGGACTCGTCCAGGCCTTCCTTCTCACACAGGCTTTCGCTTTGTCGTCTCAAGCTGCTCACTTTAAAGTCTCCCTCAGGTTTGCAGCTAAGGATGGCCTGGTGACAAAATCATAAAACGTGTCCGACATTTTTAACTCCAGACAGAATATCATTATTTTAATACTTTAAGAGATGAGCTAACAATACACCAAAATATTCCCAGAAGAAAGCTTTATTAGATTAGACACCACTTTCACTAACTTGTGCTTTGGACTTCATCTCCTCCATGTTGGTGTCTCTGTCTGGAGTGGTGAGAGGCTGTGATAGTTCACTGATCCAAGTCCTGGTGCTCTCTGCCTGAGTATTAAACACATTGTATTCTCCATCCAACACACTCTGGGCCTCAGCCTGATTCAGCATCCTGCCCTCCAGGTTTCTGTAGCGCTGTATCAAGTTATCAGCGTCCTTCAGGAGGCTCTCAGATCTGACACCTTGTCTGCGTATTGATGCCAGCAGCTCACTGAGGGTCTCGGCTCTTCCACTGTTGCATGGACAGACAAAGACAAGTAAGACGGCATACAAAAGAAATAGAAGGGATAACGTCCTCACGCAGCATATTATGCATCCAAATTTTTCTGTAATAGACAGGTTTAGGTCTATGTTGTGCTTAATTCTATTCTATTCTGACTCTTTCCGTTAACATGAAACAACTATAAAAATTAGAGAGATGTGCATATCTTGGAAGTCAGCAAACTTTACTGCTCGTGCGATGGAATATTTCTGGTTCTGGTTTTATGAATGTTGAGGATCACCTCTCATCCTGAAGGTCTTTCAGAAGTTGTTTGACTTTCTCAGACACCACAGACTGTTTTTCTTTGTTCTGAAGCCACTGACGAAGGCTGTCATGCTGCTTCTGCAGACTATATTTTAAAAAAGAAAAAAAAAACCTTAAAACAAACACATTCTGTTTGTGGAAATGCTCAAAAAAATGTTTTATGTGTTGTTTAACAGTATAGCTATTATATTAGCAGAAGCAGGAATGACCTGTCCAAGTCGCTGAGCAGTGACTCCATTTGTTTCTGCCGGTTTTGGCAGTGGGTTCTGAACGTAACCACTTCCTCTTGCTGCTCCTGCATCCACCCAGTAAACTCAGAGAGCTGCTGAGGTGGAACCTGCTCCCTGCCTCTCTCCAGCTGATCTTTCAGCTGGTCAAGACGTCTCTCTGCATCCTTGGACTTTAAGAAACTCTGATGAAAGAAAACATGAACATCCATCTGTCATATAAGCATCTATAGCATCTATCTAACTTTAAAATTATCCATCAACTTACAGCCAGTCTTTGCAAAAACGTCTCCACATCTGTTCTACTCTCAGGGTTCTCGAAGCACTCATTGACGGCTAGCTGCAAGTCCTGGAACCATTCTTCGAATGACTGCTTCTCATCTGGGAACATTTTTTTTTAATTACTCATACACACAATTGAATTAAGGAATACTGAGACCAAAACATGTCCCTGCCTTCTAATATCTGAGTCAAATATAAAGAGAAACAAAGACAATATCCTGCTTGTTGATCAGACACGTGGAGATCCCGGTCTGAGTGATGTTAGTGTCCAGTGGTTGCCAGAAAAAGTTACGCTGACAGTATCAGGCCTGTTATCCTTTTAATCTTTCCTTAATAGCCAAAAGTCTTTTATTTAATCTGCTTTAATTTTTGAACCATTTTTAAAAGCACGTTTCATTTTCATTTGTTGTACTTATGTTGTGCCTATATGTGATTGATGCTTGTCTTCTCTCTGTATTTCCTAATTCAGTGCTTTTTGCCAGACCTCTGATAAGCAACTGATTAAAAGCACATTTTCAATACTAACCTCCGATAACCTTGAGCAGGCCTTTGTCCCTCTCCTCTCTCTTCAGCTGGATCATGTCTTTGGTGCGCGAGATTGCCTCTGTTAGCCTGCTGCAGTCAACAGAGAGTGCCTCAAGCACCTGAGGGCTGGCCACACTGGAAACCAATCCCACCTCCTTCAACACGGCCTCAGCCTGCTCTTCCTGAGACTCCAGGTCGTTGCACAGATCCTGCAGCGTGAGACACAAAACATTATAAGTGGTGATCATTCAGGAGAATCTCACTAGTATAGGAGCACCATGCTGTCCATCTCTGTCAACAGCTGCATACCTGTATCTGGGCTTCCACATTTGGACCTGAAGCATTAGTCTCATTGATACGACTCTGGATGTTCTCTACCGCTGTCTGACAATCCTCTACCTTCTCGGCTAGATGCTTCTTCACAGCGATTAGCTCCTCAAAGACATCTGTGCAGTCGGTAAACAGTTCCTTCACCTGCTCCAGTCTCTTTCTCAGCTGGGTTTCCATTACCTACACGGAACAGAGGAATGATGAGAAGAGAAGCACGGTACAGGGGAAATAATAATTCTTTAAAAAAGTTTACGCGTGAATAACTACATAAAATGAAATGGTGTTGTAAAAGTCTCTGTTTCATCTCACCTGTAGCTCCAGTGGAGCTTCCTGACTTTGCAGCATCTCCTGGATCTCAATAGACTTCTTGTGAAAATGAGTGATGTTCTCCTCATTGGCCTGGATTTCATCCTGAACACAACAAAATACACAAATGTACAGACAAAAAAAAAAATCACAAAAAGTGAAACTGGAATTATTTCAAATTAACAGATACTTAAAATCGATTAGAAAAATGATTGAAGAACAGTTAAAAATATCAGGTTTTACTTCAGTACCTTCATGGTGAGTACTTGTTGCTCATTGTAGAAAGCATGGCTCTCTGCAAACAGGGCGAGTTTGGCCCCGGCCCAGCTGTCCACCTCTCCTCCCAGCATCAGCTGCTTCTCCCACAGCTCCAGGCCCACTCGTAGGTTATCCATGTAGGCATCTGTCTTCTCTGTCACCTGCAGGGGCACCAAAAGATCACTAAAATTTAGTTAAGGCGAGCAATATAGAAATATATAAATAGAAATATTCCAACCACGATCCAACTACGACTTTAGTTTCTCTGTTCAACTTTGAGTTGTACTTCTAATATTTGTCACAGACAGAGCTGTTCTGGAGACACGAAACACTGGATCAATGTCAGACTGACACCCAGTGAAAATGCTGCCATTTACTGAGGATGTTAAAAAATCCAACAAGCTTGTGAAGGTATAATTTTTAACTCAGATACTAAGATGTCAGTGTCAGTGAGTCTGATCAGTCTCCTCCAGCATGCTTAATGTACAGTTTTAGTAGAACTCCTCTGTTTGTTTACAAGAACAACATCTGTAAGTGTCAGTGCATAGATGCATACGTCCAGCCAGCTGTCCATCAGCGTGTCAGCCTCTGCTTCAAATGGAGATTCACTGCAGTCTGGAAACTTCTTCAGTTCAGTCTGCAGCTGTTTGCAAACACTTCTCATCTCTTCCATCGGCCCCGCAAGACCAGCCAGCTCCTCCTTAATATCACAGACCTGAACAAATGTACACGTGTTAACATACAGCACTTGTAAGTGCGCACCGAGCACACCAATCTGATATTTAGAAAGTGTCTGCCATCTGCTGGTTCATTCCTTTTAGTGCATACAGTAACAAATGCCCTTAAGCTGTTTTAGGAAACCAATACAAGAGTCAGAATATATTGAAAGACAATGCAAATACACCTACCTTTGCCATACTCCTCTGTAGGTTGTCTTTCCCCATGTAGGATGCCTTATCGCTGATTGCCTGCTCTGCTTTCTGGATGGTGCTGCTCAGGAGACTCCGGCAGGTCTGGAACTTCTTCAGAAGCTCCAGCAGTGTGCTGTACTGCTTCCTTCTGCAAGAGTGAGAAAATACCAAGGAAGATTTGAGCATTCGGATTGCAGTGTATAGAGAAACATAATAAAAGTTTACTTGAACTTAAATGCATTCATTTCTAGCAGTTGAGGACAGCATATAAGTCAGTGTTGCTCATTAATGGCTTAAAGAATAAATAAATAAATAAAATTTTATTTATATAGCACCTTTCTAGACAGAGTCTTAATTTAAGGTTCTTGTGCCGACGTTACCTGTCAGAAAAAGCCTGCTGAGTCTCCTTCCACTGAGCTTCCAGCTCCTGAAGGAGATTTTCTCCTCCTCCCTGCTTCTCTTGGACTTCACGGAGGCTCTGAAGCTCACAGTTCTGAACCTGCAGCTGGCCTTCTAAGTCCAAGAGGGCACGAAGCCTGGAAAGTGCAACAAATTCAGATTTTAATTCTGCAAATATATTGCAAAATCTAAACGGTACATTCTGGGACTACATGTAGTTTCCCATTTTCACATATCAAAACTGCTTCAGGATAGCAGAAGCACTATCGCACTAAAGGGACAAACCTGTGCTGCAACGCAGGCATGGTGGGCTCTTTGAGGCCTTGCGCTTCAATCGTATCCTGCAGCTTCTTCATCTCCCCCAGCATCGTCCTCTTCCTCAGGCCCAGGGTTTTGCTTTGGGTCTCCTTCTGAAGGACCTTCTGCTGGCTGACCAGTCCACTGTCACTCTCGTCCAGCCTTCTCACCAGGACATTCACCATATCGAGGCAGGAGGCTGGGATACCATCCCTTGTGACTGTGAGCCGAGCTCCCTGCAAGAGTAGATCCAGCTGAGGTGCCTTCTCTTTCAAACTGTCTATGCTCTGCCTTATCAGAGTCAACTTGGAGCGGCATTCCTGCAGCACCACAGCGTCACTACAGGGTGGACCTGGGATACTTGAGATATCCTCATCCACAGTGCGCAGCGACATAAGAAATCGGTCGAGGGCACGGGCAGCTGCTTCGCTCTTCCGGACTTGCTGCCGGAGTTGATCCAAGCTGGTTTTGTGAGCCTCAAACTCACGGGACAGAGGGAAGCGTTCTCTGGGATCCAAGTCGCTGGATTCAGGGTCCAGACGGGACAACTGGTCCAGTTCACTCTGTATGTTGTCATCCAGTTCCTTTAGCAAAAAACACACAAGGTGTAGTGTGAGGTGAGATGCCTATAGAAGTGAGATCTTACATTACATCTTTTTTTTCTTTTTCTTTTTTTTTTAAAAAAACCATTCTTATATCTCTAAGAATTTGCATTTATTGGATTTATCTTATAAAGGCCAGCATCACTGATGTCTAATATCTATCTGTACTGTGGTGTTTAGGAGTTGATGATACAGGGGACTAGGAAATCCAACACATAATAAATATTAAACACCAAATTGTACGATTTATGCTAAATCAGTAGCTTGTTTATGTGTACAAGATGCATTCAGCTTGTTTTCAATGATCCAGTTATTGACCAGTATGTTTTTTCCAGCCATGTGAAATTTTAAAATGTGCTGACCTCTGCAAAGACTTCTTTGACTATATGAATCCAGGCTTCATATAGGTGTTAACACATGTGCTTAGACAATATTTGTGTGTCAGACTGACAAAATTAAACAAAACAAAATTGTGTATGGCTAACAGCAGACCTTTATATCTTTCAGAATGTTAGTGTTGGCCAGTGTGAAGCCAGTGATGTCTTTGGGCTGTCTCAGATAACGGTCCAGGCGGTCGGTGAAGTCCACCATGTGATTCTCAGTGGAGTCAATCTGCCTGAGTGCAGAGCCCAGCGAGCTGCCTCTCCTCTGAAGGTTGGACTGCTGAGTGCGCCACTGCTCCTGCAGCTCTGCTTTCTCCTGCTCCAGAGAAGTGTTTCCACTCAGCTGGGAACACTGAGAGCACTGGTTTGCATACTCAGACCAAAGACACTCAGTCTCTTGTCTCAAGAACTAGGAAGAAAGGAATTTAACTCAAGTTTACTGGCCGGTTGTGGGGATTGAGTCATTTTGCTCAAAGGTTCTTATAGCATGTCATTTATATTTCAGTCCCGTTTGTTTCTGATAGAGTGGTATTTATAACATCATTGTACCTGTATTTCCTGGAGCCGTGTATGCAGGCCTTTCAGAGAGACTGAGTCAGAGGGGACGTCCTTGATGCTCTGTTCATTTTTAGCTAGTTGGGCTTGCAGAGCCCTCTTAGCATTCTCATATCTGGAGAGTTAAACCAAAAATAACTAAATTTAAGGATTAAATATAAAACCATCCAACCTGTTTTTTGATTTGTACGTTGCCTTTGATTATAAAACACAAGACAGCTAAATTTCACCTTTCTAAAGCTTCCTTTTTGGTTACTTCCTCCTCCAAAGACATCTGCTTTTCAGTCTCCCTTCTCTCCACAGCAACTGTCTTCACTGTCACCTGGGTCACCTGGAAAAAAGCAACAGGATGTTAACGATTATTTCAGACACATCTGCACACGCCCAGTATCGGCTTCAGGATTTAAATTCAAAGACTGGTCTGTATTTCTTCTTGCTTAAAATGTGTTAAAGGAGCTGTGACTGTTTAAATCTATAGAGAGAATCTTTTTAATAAGAATTTTTATTAATAGTGAATCATACCTCAGCTAAGGCCTGAGGTTTGTCACTTGGTTTGGTAGGCTCCTTCTGTGTGTTGGAATCCTCAGTGAAGGCAACAGGAATCCTACAGAATTGAAATTGATTTAAACTTCATACTATATTTTGAATAAATGTAAATGTAACTTAATACAATATCTGCAACATAAATCATGCACAACCAAACGTTTTACTCAGTATTAAGAATTAAATAAGGAATAAAAACGGTTGTTTTGAATATTGCATGCCAAGTCGTTGCTGTTTTGAAACCTCTATGGAAAGCCTCACCTAGATTCAGGGAGTGGTGTGTCTTGATCTCCACTGAACTGATGCTGGATGGCAGCCAGCCTCTTTTCACACTCCCTCAGCTGCGTCTGAGCCAAGCGGTGAGCATCCTCCGGGCTTAGGGTGTCACACAACTCTTTCAGTGCCTGCAGGTGCTGTTCTGCTTCAGCAAAGTCTGCTGAGAAGCAAGCCTGTTGAATGATTTTAATGTGAAAACAGTAAGCACAAAGGCATTGCAGAGCTGCTTTGACTTCAGGCGATCCATTGAGCCAAATCTTCTTTTTTTGTTAAGCTTTTTATTTATTTTCTTGTGTTTTTATTATATTTATACAACTATAAATTAGTTATATGTGTGACCTGCTTATTAGCATCCTATATCATAAAAGAAGGTTTGGCAGATACATTGCACCACTTGAGCAAGACCCCAGATGGCAGCCGGCAACAGATGGGCTGCACAAATTCATAAAAGAATGCTGTTTTAAGCTTACAGAGAAGATGTGATTTCATCTTCATTAGCACATATTTTCATTTAATTCATTGTTTTAAGGTCCTGATAATGATGGTGTTGTTTGTCGTTTTCAGCTTAAGATAATAAAAAGTGTCTGAAACTGTAAACATACCCAAACAAAACTAGCTAAAACAGCACTCTCTTAGAAACCAGCTGGAATAAAGTATTGCTATTACCCTTCCCACTGAAAGCTTCCTTGAAGGCATACAAAGAAGATGGAAAAGACAAAGTTAGACAAGCAGAGCAGAGAAAACTGGCTGAATACCCATCCTTTGAAGCACCCCTGCCAAGAGTTCAGCTTTGGTCATTTAGCTACCTGAGCTTGGTTTTCTAAGCTGGTGCTTAAGTGCATCTCACACCGAAGGACTGCTGCATTAAAGTCTTTCCTTGTTACTTCAAACTGTAATTGTTCCAAAAAGCCTGAGATCTCAGCTCTGAGGGCCTGGGAGATAATATATACAATGAATGTATATATATATATATGAAAAAGGAAACATGATAGAATATAGTATTGACTAAAAGGTTAATAATGTTGAATTGTTTACATCTGTGTCAGTTTGCTAACATTCCTTTAAAAACAGGCTTCAAAGGCATAAAATAATTGCCAGTTTTAGTTTGTGGTTTAAATATGCATATGCAATTAACTGAGAGATGTCTTTAAAAAAACTAGTGAACATTTGACTATTCATACAAATCAAAATCCCCACCTCCCACTGTGTCCTGACAGATTGGGTGAAGAACTCCATATCTCTGAGCTGTGAGGGGGTACAAAAGGCCTCCATGCCATTAGCTGCTCGCAAGAACTCCTCCAGCAACTCTGGATCAAGTGTCCTCAGAGTTTTCTGTGTTTAAACACAAAATAGTTACATTATGATTCCTCTACAGAAACTGTATTTCATGTTGTTGGATGTTTTTTTAAGGCAAAGTAACTACTTTCTATTTAAGACATCAAACAATGTGGCTATAAATGTAGGGTAGGTAAACAGACTTGTAAATTCGCAAAAATTGTCAAATAAAACTTATCAATCATGAATATTCACTAAATATGAAATGTGCAGAAGTCATTGCCAATGGTTAAACTTACCTCCTTTACTGAAGCTTGCTCAGCTGATACACGCCTGTCTTTGAAGATGTTGATAGCTTCCAGGATGTGCGCCTGCAGGCAGTGTTTGGCCTCCTCAAAGCCATTTCTAGCTAAAGCCTGTGCCTTAGTGTAGGCCTCTGTGTAGGCCTGGGGAGGTGCTTGAGCCAGAGCAGGAGGTTTGATATTAAGATCTGGTGACTCAGCCTGGGTTTGAAGCAACACATCGATCTCAGAGACGAGAATAGTCTGGGAGTGTTGAATTTTCTGTTTCAAAGGAGACTGGGTTTCAGTCTTTGGTGGGTCAAGTGGTTGAGTCTGAGGTCTTGCCTGTGTGGGAGATTGAGTCTTGGACTGTGGCACTGTTTGGGCCGTGGGAGGCAATGACACCGGAAACTGAGGATGGTGCTGTGGGGATAACTGTACCTGAGATTTGGGTTGGAACACTGGTTGGACTTTGGGTTGGACTGGTGACTGAACTTTGGGCTGAGTTGGTGATTGAACTGTAGGTTGTAATTGAGGTTGGGCTTGCACCTTGGGTTGAGGGGGTGATTCAACATTAACTTTAGTTAGTGACTGAGCCTGTGGTGGCAATTGAGATTCGGGTTTGGGCTGTGGCAGTGATCCAGGTATGTGTTTAATTGGTGACTGAACTATTAGTTGAGGTGTCATTTCAACATCCTGTTTTGGCTGTAGAGGTCTGGGCTGTAGAGGTGAGTTACCTTTTAATTGAGTTTGTGACTGAATCGTTGGTTGTAGCTGAAGTTGGGGCTGATGCTTGGGCTGAGAAGTTGATTGCTGGGATTGAATATTAGATTGAGTCCCCTGAGTCCTGGCAAAGGGCTTTTCTTGAACTAATGGCTGTGCCTGGACGTGTGTTTGGGACTGGGCCTGCAAAGTTTGTTGCTGGGGCTGTGAAGGAAGCTGAGGATAGGCTGGATGTGATGGTTGTGACTGGAGAGATATCTGTGTTTGAATCTGAGATGGAGAGTGATGTTGAGCTTGGGGTTGATGCTGGACCTGTACATACTGCTGAGACTGAGGCTGCTGATAAGACTGAGATGGCACTTGCAGTGGTGCTTGAACCCAAGTCTGTTGCTGAACTTGGCCTTGTTGTGGCTGAACTAAGTTAGAAGCTCTCATCTGGGTGTGTTGATGCATGGAACTATGGGGCCCAATTTGCTGCTGTGTTTGAGTCCAGGGTTGGGGTTGAGCTTGAGGATGCATTTGCGGTTGAGTATATGATGGCCCCATATGAGAAACCCTATGGTGGGCAATCTGAGGCGTTTGCTGGGCCCACTGTGATAGAGTCTGAACTGTAGGATAAGCCTGAGAATGTGTTGCTTGGCCCATTTGCTGAGGATATGGTTGCGGGATAGGGTGACTCTGCTGGGGAAATGCTTGATTTTGTGTTTCTTGTTTATCTGTCCACTGCTGAGATGTGGACTGAGTTTGGGCATAACCCTGGGAGTATAACTGAGGTTGCACTGTAGCCTGTGGATGCTGGATAGACTGGGTGACTGAGGATATGACTTGAGTATAAGCTTGAAAGTGCCCCTGTGAAATATGGCCTTGTTGCTGGACCAGTGCCTGTGCATGTGTTGGATACTGAGTCATAGGATCAGTCAAAGAATGACCCTGAAGGTGGAGTATAGGTTGGGCTTGGGTTGGATGTTGAGTCAATGGTTGGGCCTGACTTAGCCTGGCCATTGGCTGAACATTAGTTGGAACATGGGCATGAGCATGGGCATGTGGGTAGGGCATTGACTTGGGATGGGTCTCAGACTGATCAGCATAGATTTGAACTTGGGTCTTAGGCTGAGGGTGTGTTTGAGGTTGGACCTTGGGCTGAGGGTGAATTTCATGATCATTCATTGATTTTGCATGGGTTTGGTCCATGTTTGTTGACTGAGTATGCATTGGAGGCTGAGCCTGGGTTGGTGGCTTGGGGGAAGGGGGCCGGACAGGGGCCCATGATTGTGGATGACTACGAAGCTGAATGTGAGATGGTACAGGAAGCTGAATTGGGCCTTGCAGTGGAGCCTGAACACTGGAAGGCTGTCTGATCTGAGCCCATATTGGGACTTGAGCTACAGATTCGTCATGGGGTAGTACCTGTGGCTGCTTAGATGGCTGAGGACCAGCTGGTTGAACCAGAGCCTGATCCTGTAGCTGGAGCTGTTGTTGGGTCTGTGGCTTGGTTGATGACTGTTTCTTCACAGAGTCATGGGACTGAGGAACACATGGTTGCTGTGTATCTGTAGTAATGTGGGACTGAACCATAGTATTGGTTTGTGATTGATTTGGGGCCTTTCTTTGTGGTTGAGGTTGACTCAAAGTTACAGCATGTGATTTATTTTTGGTATTTGATTCTTGTTGTGCTTGTTTTACAGTTTCTTGTGGTTGTTGTTTTTGCTGTTGTTTTTGCTGATGCTGCTCTTTTTGCTGTTGTTGATGTAGCAGTTTGTCTTGTTGCTGATGCTCTAGATTTTCAGTTTGCTGTGTTTGCTTCTGTTCCACTTTTTGTTGTTGTTGTGGCTGCTTAGTCAGTTTTGCATGGGCCTCATACTGTAGCCTGGTGGTTGCTACATTTTGGGAAATTACCTGAACTGATCCGACTGCTTGTGTCTGTCTAGTTTGAACTAGATCTTGAGTCAAATCCTGCTCTTGACTTGGAGTTTTCTGCTCTGGAAAAGCTGGTTTCTGAAGCCATGGCCGGTTCTTCATGCCTTGAGCTTTTCTGCTTTGGAGCGCTTGGGAACTTAGAACCTTTTTCTTTACAGCTGGTTCCTGAAGTGGAGTCTGGTCTTTGGATTCTGGTCTTTGTTTAACTTGTTGTTCAGCTTGTATATTAATTACCACATGCTGTTGAACTTGTTGCTGTTGTACCTGTTGTTGCTCCTGCTTGGGCTGACTTGGTTGTGGTTGCACTGGGAACAACTCCTGCTGCTGAACTTCTTGTAGAAGATACTCCTCCTTTATTTCTTCCTGTTCTTTCTGTCCCAGTTTAATTTCCACCTGTCTTCTAAGTCCCTCTTGGAGTAGGTCTTGCTGTGGCCCTTGATCTGGAGTCTCTGTTGTCTTTTGTGCAGTGGCCATTGGCCAGCCTTGAAACTGACTTTCTGGTGGCGACTTTCTTCTGGTCTGCTTCACAGCTTCTGCGTAGGTGTATGGCATTGGAGGAGAAGTCATCTTTTCTTCTTTGTAATCTTGTACCACTATCTTTGGCACAAAGGTTTTTGTATGCTTGGTGTCTAACTGTTTCAAATGTTGAAGCACTGCTTTATCTTGAATAAAGACTTTTGAAGGAGGTCCTGCTGGAGGACTTCTGCTTCTGTCTCGTCTGGCACCCAGGCTGCTTAGCATACCAACTGCTTCCTAAAAGTGACATCATGCATCTTAGAAATAAAGTACTTTCAATTATACTGTTTTGTCTGGTCAGAACATGTCTAACAAGGTTACTTCACAAAAAAAACCCAACTGGCCTGTGACTGAGCAACAGCAGCTCGCACTCGATCCTGCATAGCAGAGGCATGGAGGTAGTGGATGGGAGAGCTCTTCTGATTTGTTGATACGATCACCTGCAGGTCTTGCTCCTCTGTGACTACCTGACCTTCGAGCTGTAGACCACGGGAAATAGTGACCTGGAAAATAAAAATGTTAGTTTTAAATAATCATAAATGTTTCTTTATGAAAGGATTTAAAAGCCAACACTGCTATGCAGTGATTCATCTCACCCTGGCTTGTGAGGTCTGGACCTGTTTTTGTTGCCGATCGGTGGCCCTCAGCAGGTGGTAGAGCTCCCTGGCTTCAGTCTCCCAATGTAGAAGTTCAGCCAATCGACTGTCCAGCCCAGACACACTGTGTTGCAGCTCTACACAAACCTTTTCTGCCTCAGATAATGTCTGCATAACCTGGTGACAATTAAAGAAGATTAAAGATTAAAGATAGCAAAGGACAGATAGACTTACTTTGATTTTTTTTTTAAAAAGAACAGATATAATCATTTTAATCTTCATGACCACAATCATAATAGTTCTTTTAAAAGAAGAGAAATCGTTCATACTTCTGGTACTGCAAGCTTCAGTTTCTGTAACTGATCTGCTGGGCATTCTGGGGCAGAAGCCAAAGCATCCAGATCCATGTCTTTAATCTTCCTCATTATAAACTGAAGAGCAGAAATTGAGCAATAATTTAGAAAGATTTAATTTGGTCATTTAAATCAAAAATAATCATTAGAGCTGAAAAAGTGCAATGACTTGCTAGTGATGCCGTTGGTCCTACCTGTAATCTTTTCCTGTAGGTGCGTAAAGGACCCGCCATAACGTCCAGAGGCTCTTTGAGAATCAGTGTGCCCTCTCTGATCAAAGCTCTGATTTCCTCTGGGTTTATATGGGTAACTTCAATTGGCTCACCAATGTTTTCCTGGAAAAAACACAAATAAACATGTTAAATAACAAAGATAATTTATTAATAATTCAATGATGTAAACATTAGCAGCAGAATTTCATAAAATTCTTGTTTACTGTATGTTAATCTACTGTGTAATTATGAAATTAACATAAGTGAAAAGAGATGGAAACTTCAAACTGTGTTGTGTCCACAGTAGATTAACATACAGTAAACAAGAACTTTATGAAATTGACAACACTTGTTCAACGTGCAACTCCAGATATAAGAATGACATTGCACTGTACTCAAAGACTATAATTCCAGCTACTTGCATACAATAGGTAAAGGTGGAGCACTGTTTTTAAACTTTGAGTCACTCCCTAGGAATCATTGTTTCAATAGAACAATCGCATTTAAATTCCAAACGCATGAGACATTAGGCTGCTACAATCACTGCTGCCTCTAGTCGCATAATGCCAAATAAAAAGAAGAAACTAGGCCAACGCTTTAGAAGAACAAAGCTATACCCTCAGATAAAAACACCCTCTGTAAAAAATAAAAGCACAGATAAAAAGTTGATTTTAGAGTGCCATATGGTGGGCACTTTATCAAAAAAAATAATTTTAAGTAAATTCATGTCAGGAAAATATTCTGATTAATTCTCTAACAAAAAAATAGCTTGTGTGATTGAGTGTTCAAACATTTCCAAATTCTTTGTCATTAAGGTGTTTTAGAATCTAAGCACACAAATCGGGTTTTCCTTGATCTTTGACTCACCAAAGTGTTTTTCTTGACAAACTCAGCCCACTGCATGTTGACTTTTCGAAGCTCCTCTGCCAGGCTCCTGCAGGTCTGAGGATCTGTTGACTCAATCAGGAAGTTCCCCACTTCATTCAGGTGGGCCTGATGAGATCCCCACTCAGCCATGGATGCGGAGGTCAGCTTAATAGAAATTTTTGTAAATAAAATGGCAAATACTAAAATATATCATCTATAAGGATAATGTAGACATTATTTTATTTAGATGTTATTATTGCAGACTTTTTACTTGACTTGTTATTCCAAGTCATAACAGACTGATCCCCTATTACAAAGCAAGTTATACTAGCTTGTTTATGACATATTTATTATCATAGAGCAATACAGTTATAATACTTTAATGAGTTAATCATACCTCAGGTCTGTGGCTGTGTGTTGCAGAGCACTGTTCAAGCCAAGCCTGCAGGGAACTAAGGGAGTCGCTGTACGAGTCCCAGGCAGACAGAACCCGTCCCATTGTGCTTTTCACTGTGGTCACGTCCTCTAAAACAACAGCAGTGTCCTCCTCCAGCTGCTTCACCTGCTGACTGACATGCTGATAATCTGAAGCTATGGAGCAAAGAAATAATATGAACTAAAATAATACACTTTTACTCTAATGGGGAATCAAAAACATTAATATAAATGAAGAAATACAAAATAGCTGTTACAGAGTATCACAGTACTTACCAAGGGCAGATTTGCTTGAATATTTCTCGGAAATCTGCTTCAGCTTACGAATAGCTGTTTCCAACATGGAAGGCAGCTCTTGTGTGTATACGAGTTCCTGAGTTTAAAAAAATGAATACAAATTAATACTGTCAGTCAACACTAACATCCATGCCCTTTACACAGTAGAAGGAACATTTTTGGATAAACTAGTGAAGAAGTTAGAGAAAAACTCTGAATAAAATTCACCACTAGAACCAGAGGGAAAACCCTGATAAAAAAACTATTTACAATAGCCCATTTTGGACATCTTCACTGTATATCACAGACTGTATATACAAGATGGACACACCCAACATGACACATCCATTGGTTTCCAAAGTTCACTGATGCTTTCTTGACATGTCAAAACCAAATTTGAGACACCGATGGGCACGTCCCATGTTCAGTAGTGATTTGCGAATCACATCGCCTGCAATAAAACACACCCTACCCTAATTTATGATTATAGTATTCATTATGACTTCATACTACCACTTGAGATCACAACTGAAGTATTTACCGAGGTTGTAGAGCATAGGTATCAAGGGCCATTTTCCTATGAACCTCCATTGTTTGCGAACACAGAAGGCGCCCCCTGCTAGCCTTTAGATAAAATGTATATTTAAGGCACTTCCTCACTGGCTTCACACCTGGAAGCTTTGTCCGTCTTATATATAGTGTGTCTTGTATATTAAGATACTATGTGCAGAATCTGTTTGTCTTAGCTGCATCCTGGTTAGAATTTCTATTATGTGGCCTTACATAGATATATAGATATTGTCCAAATTTATAATTATACCCCAAGAAAGATTAGTAACTTCAACAACAGAAATTACTGTACTGCTCAGATAAACATATACATATATATACAAAGAAAGAACAAAAAGGTGTTAAGAAGCATCGACACACCCCCAAGTATTAAATTGTGTTTTGAAAATACAAAGACTAAACAAAGATTACTCACATGCCACTCTTGCAGCAACACCCTGACTGCCTCTGAGGAGATATAAGGTCTCTTCCAGACACGAAGCTTGGTCCTGATCTGCCCCAACAGATCCAAAACAGTGTGGCGATGCTCTCTGTACTCTAGCTTGATCCCATGATACTTGGCAGTCACTCTGACGCTGGTAAATCTGATGAAGATGCCAACAGAACGTTAAATAGAAACTAAAAAATAAAACCACATCAACTTCAGAAAGTAAATTATCACTTTATAAGATGCTTTTCTCAGTTTAAGCAGTGATCTTGATTACATCCAGTCCCAGGTCAGGACAGCACAAGTCCTTCTATGACTTTCAGCTTAAACTAAGAAATTCATTCATATACTCTTCAAAAGTATATCCAGTTTGTGCATGCATACATTACACAGGCCACTGGAGAAAGTACCCTCACCTCCTCTTGAGCTCATCCATCTTGTCAGTAGGAATCATCATGTTTCCGTACTCATCTATGTTCTGGAAGGACTGGAAGGTCTTCACGTGCTGTGGCATCTCCTCCAGGCAAGCCTACAGCAACAACGAGCAGAGACAGCATGCACATATATATTTATATGCTTGCAAACATTTACATTTCACTGTCTACAAAGAGCCGGGGAAACCAGTTTTTGCTAAGATCAGCAACATTGTTTCCCAGTACATCTTAAAGTTGGAAATGATTACTTTGAGCAGTTCGTGTTTCTCCCTCGCTTCATCAGCAGCACGGCCGTGGTCTTGAGGGTTGCCATCTTCCTCAGCCAAAGCCTCCTCTGTTCTCAAAAGCCAGCGGGCTACTGTGTCCAAGGGGGTTGGAAGACTCATATCTAAAGCAACTTTGTACTCACGGAGCTAGATGAACACACAGAGAAAAGGAAGTCACAAGTAAAGTAAATGTCTTCGAATTGCAGTGAACAAATACACAAATATGTACAAATATACAAGCATTTACAGACAAATATAACACATCAGCCGTAAAGTAACAGATTAGGGTGTTTAAGAGTCTGTGTTGCTATGGTGCTGTAGTGTTATATTAGTACAGTACAGTATTATGACTATAGATCATATTTATACATTTATAAGGTTCTCTAGTCTGATTAAAACATAAAAAAAACTAACCTTTTCTGTGAGACCATCCCACGCCTCTCTAAGAGTCCGTTGCTCATCGCTCAGTTTTGGGGTTCGTCTCATGGCCGTCAACAAAGGCATGATGGGCCGTCGTTGCTCATTAAAGGACACCAGAAAGGTCTGAAATACCTGAGGGAAGGAAAATACTTTTTTAGTGACAAATTTATAATGTGAAGTCAGTTTATAACATTAAACGCTGTGCCAAAATGTAGACAGGGATAGCTCAGTAGGTAGAGTGGTGGCCCCATGATCGGAAGGTCGGGGGTTCGATTCCCCTGAACAGCTTCCCTGAGGTACCCCTGAGCAAGGTACCGTCCCTACACACTGCTCCCCGGGCGCCCAGTGGCTGCCCACTGCTTCACTGAGTGAATGGGTTAAATGCAGAGAGGGATTTTCCCCATGGGGACCAATAAAGTACACTTTCTTCTTCTTCTAGACGTTTCATAATTTTATTACAATATGATGTAAACGAACACATGACAAAGAAAAAAAAGATAAAAAGTCCTTGGCTCACAAAAGGAATTATTAATGCTTGCAAAAAGAAAAACAATCTGTATAAACAGTTCATCAAAGTAAAAACAAAAGAAGTGGAACAAAGATATAAAGCATATAGAAATATATTGACTGATATTATAAGAACGAGCAAACAACTTTATTATAGAAGAAGATTATATGAAAATAAAAACAATATAAAAGGAACTTGGGATGTGTTAAACAACTTAATTAAACAAGGATCTTCTGGAACATCATATCCTGAATATTTTACTGATGCAAATGGTGAAAATCACAACATGAGTAATATTGTCGATGGGTTCAATAAATTCTTCATAAATGTTGGCCCTGAACTAGCAGCAGACATCCCGTGTCATAAAAATGAAAATATCAGTAATATAAAATCAAATCCTTTTTCACTGTTCCTCTCAGCTACAAATGAGCAAGAAGTAATAAATATCACATTAAAATGTAAAAGTAAGTCTTCAATGGATTATCATGACATAAATATGTCTGTAGTTAAACAGGTTATTCTGAATATTGCTAGTCCCTTAACATATATCTGTAATTTATCATTTCAGTCTGGTTGTTTTCCAAAAAAAATGAAAATTGCGAAAGTAATACCACTATATAAAAGTAATGACAAACACAGTTTTACCAATTATAGGCCTATTTCTCTACTGCCTCAATTCTCAAAAATTCTAGAAAAACTTTTTAATTCAAGATTAGAAAAATTCCTTGAAAAACATCAACTAATAAATGTTGGTCAGTATGGTTTCAGAACGCAAAGAACCACTTCAATGGCGATAATTGAGGCAGTAGAAGAAATTACTGATACACTGGATAAAAATAAATATGCAGTTGGTATTTTTGTTGATCTCAAAAAGGCCTTTGACACTCAATATTATTGGATAAATTGGAAAGATATGGTATTCGAGGGAAAGCTGGTAACTGGTTAAAAAGTTACCTAACGGGTCGGGAACAATATGTTAGCATAGGGCATTACCACTCAGAGAAACTTGGTATTGCATGTGGTGTTCCCCAAGGGTCAGTGTTGGGACCAAAACTTTTCAATGTATACATAAATGATATTTTTGATGTTTCTCAAGTACTTAAACTCATACTGTTCGCAGATGACACCAACATATTTTTCAGTAGCGATGATTATACTGATCTTGTAATGACCGTAAACAGGGAGCTAAAATTAATAAAAAAAATGGATGGATATAAATAAATTATCATTAAATATAAATAAAACTAAAGCAATGTTTTTTGGTAATTTAAAATATAATGTAGAATTACCAATTATCATTGAAGGTGTACCAATTGATAATGTGAGTGAAAACAAATTTTTGGGAGTCGTAATTGATAACAAAATTTCATGGAAACCCCACGTCAGACACATAAAAACCAAAATTTCCAGAAGCCTCGCAGTTTTGAACAAAGTGAAACCATACCTTGATAAAGATGCACTTCGTACTCTGTACTGTACCCTGGTTCTTCCATATCTTACATATTGTGTGGAAGTGTGGGGAAACACATATAAAAATACAACTAATCCATTAGTCACAGTACAGAAACGAGCACTGCGTATTATTCACAAGGCTGGTTATCTAGATCATACTCACAAACTCTTTCTTCAGGCAAAGTTACTTAAATTCCAGGATCTGGTTAATTACAATACATCCATAATTTTGTATAAAGCTTTTACTAAACTTTTACCGGCAAATTTACAAACTAGATTTGAAATTCGAGAAAAGGTTTATAATGTGAGAGGCTTTGGAGAATTCAAATTACCCAGAACTCGAACAACCCGTAAAGGTTTTTGTGTGTCTGTATGTGGTGTGAAAATCTGGAACAGTCTAAGTTTACAATTGAAACAATGCAAAAATATTCATAGATTTAAATTTCTCTACAAACAGTTGGTCTGGTCACAGTATACTCAATGATGCTTTTAGTGTGCTCTGTAATGTCTGTTCTCTTACCATTGCTGGTATGGATTCCAAAAAAAAAAAAAAAAAAGTGTGCGTATGTATGTACATATATGTACATGTGTGTGTAGATATATATGTATGTATATGTATGTGTGTTTGTTACTTGTAGTTATTACTAGAGATGGCACGATACCACTTTTTTATGTCCGATACCGATACCGATATCATAAATTTGGATATCTGCCGATACCGATATGAATCCGATATAGTGTGTTTTTTAATCAATAAAACTGTTTTTTAATATCTTGCTGCATTTTGTATAAGTTCATACTCAAGTTTAAATAAACAACGACACTAAAGCTATTCTGTTATACCTGTATGTAAAAAATACACTGCACCCAAAATATTTCACAGTTCAGCAACACTGATCAATCTAATAAACTTAAACCTGCTCCATCCTCCCTATTCTGGTATTTTAAAGAGCGCTTAGCAGAAATATTAAGCAACCTAACTAATAGGGTTGCAAACTCCCAGCAAAAAAAAAACAAAAAAAAACACATAGGGAACCACCCCCCAACCTCCACCTCATGATGCTTAATCGACGTAATCAACTTTAATTTGATGCAGTGTGGAAAAAAATGCACAGAAATCAATTATTTTTCAAGAATAATTAAATAGATTCAACATCTTTCTTCAACAGAACTGCAGACTGCACAGATGGTATCTTCCCAAAGGAAAAAGTACTATAGCTTACTAGGGTATATTAGACTTAACAGTTACTATACACAGTAATTGACTTCTATATATTTTACATCAGATTAAAACTTTGGGTGTAAGATTCGGATAATTATTTATTAAAAGCTAGACATTTTAAATAAGAATAAGAAAGAAAAGTATGCCTTTGTGCCCCCTTTTCCCTGTTCATGCCCTATCGGCCCCCCTGGCTAAACTTTGCTAGATCCGCCCCTGCACAGTTACCAGCTGTCAGCTACGTAGAAAAAGATCTTGGTGTAGAAAGTAATATTAAATAAATTCTAACAACAGCTTATCAAGCTTAAACGTGCTGCTGTTGTTCAGCTGCTGGTTTCCTCTTTCTGGCGCAAAGTGGGCCAAAAACAAAGAAGAGAGACGGACTCGCCACAGAAAAGCCGAACAGCTGATCATTAATCAGTTTCACGATTGAAGTAGCAGCAAGAAGAGGCAGTAGCTCCATATATTGGTTGTTAAGCTGACCGTGGGAATGCTTTACAAACATTCAGAGATGAACTTACACACGTGCTTTACTTCTCTCTGGGATAACTTCCTCTGAGATGAAATGCTGGTTTGGTAGTGAGGCTACAAATACACACAGCCGCTCTATCACGTGAGCACACTGCTCCGACGTGCTGCGGTTATGAGCTGAGTTACGCCGTGTCGCAAGTTTTGTGAGGTGCTTTTTTGATATTTAATGGATCGGATTACATTTTTTTATTTCTCTCCGATATCCGATACAGTAATTTATGTCAGTATCGGACCGATACCGATACGTAATATCGGATCGGTCCATCTCTAGTTATTACTGCCTGTTACCTGTGGTAATGCAATTTATAATTTATATATTCTGTATTCAGTTATGAAGGCTCTAATTGTTGTTTGCGAGCTGCCGTTTAGATGCTTGTATGTGCCCGGGGCTGTTGATGGGTCTGTATGCAATGATGGGCGTAGCTGCGGGAAGTTTGTTTTTTTTGTTGATGAGTGAGTATAGGGGTGGGATTTAATAAGTTTTCTTCGTCCCACTCCTTTTTCAGGCAATTTTTGTTTTTTGTTTTGTGCATTTTATGTTCAATATAGGTATTTGTTGTGCCTGAAAATGAACAAATAAATGAATGAATGAATGAATGATGTCAGCCTATTACGGTGCTACTGTGACAGTGTAGGGCATTGTAATGAAAAAATAAAAAGTGTGTTGTATAACTCTTTCCCTCTGATATATTAGATCAATATGGTTTCTTGAAAGTGAAGTTGAATCTCAACTATGCTCTTGGGCGCTAACAATGAAGGTTAAAGTCAAATGCTTAGGAATGATCAGGACCCTGACCCGAGTTTCACCAAAAGAAAATCAGCTCGAGCTGTTATTGGCATCTACAATCACACAAAATTTGAAAATGATTCTTGAAAAATGTGAACACTAGCCTGTGTTCACAGTTTGTTTCGTATGTTTATCTGGTAACAAACAGATAAACAAATGAAACTGATAGCATACTCCTTCCCTTCAGGGGGAGAACTAAAGAGAGAGAAAAAAATTACAACTGCTTAACACTGTTGTGCAAAACAGGATCAGGTTGTTGGGAAGAAGAATTAAAATGTTTTATTAACCAAATTCAGTTTTAACTAAGATCTGTGTTATACAGACAGTGCTTATTGTGCCTGTAATTACATCATAGGCCTGTTAAAATAATATCGGGGCCTCTGAATGTGCCAGACATTTACCTAATTTGTGCACTGATACTTAAAAATGCAACACATCCTGATGAGCTCTTGCTAGAAACATACATTATATCTTTCTGAGTAGCTTTCTCCTTCTGTGGAGTCCCATCCCTCCAGCAGCTCATCATAGGCCTGAACCAGCCAGCATGTCATTTCCTGTGCCTTACGGTCAGGTGTCACCTGGAAAGACACAATAAAAATTGAGTGGGTGAGGATGATCAAGTGATTCCAGAATTAAGTTTTACGTGATAATAATGTGGTCATAATGTGAGTGTAATGTAAAGTAAAAAGCAACACCAATCACCAGACACGTTACAGAAAGCTGAATGATAGCGCTAACTAAGTTGATTTTAAGCAGCGCACATACATAAGTTTGTTTTGGCTCCTTGGTTGTTCTTTGAAAATTCATATGAATATAGCAACATGTCACTTTGAAGGAGGCTGCCACCTTTACTGTTCACCTCTTCTCCTGTAAAAGCAGATCACCATCCTGTCATGCAGATCCTGTGGTGTGTAGTGTCTAGGGAACATAGCGTAGTACTGCTAAATTTGATTTGTTTCACTTATATACGCTTAAAGTTTAGTATTGTTAATGCATTTTCAGCTTTCTTTGTGAAATTCCAACAAACTAACTCACTCATATTCCTACAATCTCCCACTCCCACAGCAGAATCAAAAAGCAAAACACAATAGTTAAAAATAGAAAATATCTTAAGATGTCAAATGTCTACAGCAGCTACACTTTAACGTGGTGATATCCTGTCAGAAACCAAAGCTGACAGGTATTTTTATCTGATCTATCATGAGGCGATTCCAGTACTGCTGCACCACCCCATGAGCGCTTTATTCTTCTCATGGGAGGCAAGAGAAAAACACCCTTGCTGTGGCTTTGGATCCTTTCCCAGAGAACAGGGCAAACTCGTTCAGTGTTGCATGATCAGTCCTGCCTTTAACCACCATGTGATTCGAAGGTAACTTTGGCTCGGAGCAGCTTAGTTTTAAACAGCAGTGTGTTAAGCATCCTCAGAATAAACAACTCCCCTGACGTGTCGTTACTAGATATAAACATCAGCAATAAAATCCATCGTTACTTGCGGGTACTACAAAGGGATTGTGCAGCTGATTGACATTGTGCTGTGATGATTGATTGTGATGATTGGGTGTACCTGGCGGAGAGGTGAAGCAGAAATAGCAGGGGTGTAGTGGATAGGCAGGTTGATAGGAGAAGGACTTTTAGAAGGAGTCAAATATTGTGTCTAAGGAGGAAAAGGGGAAGGGGAAAGGAGAGGAAATACGAGGAGAGAAGGGAAAAGACAAGAGAGAAGTGGTCTTCTCAAACACATCAAATACATTTAGCTGACCTCAACTGAATGCACACACGATATTTGATTTCAGTGTAAGAAGAACAGAAAGTCTTATTTATTCTTAACAGTTATAACTGCATTAACCACGTGTGTTCTGGCTGATTTACAATAAAGCATGGAATGAAACATGAACAGATATATAAGAGTTACATTCTGTAGCAGCGTTTGCAGGGCATAAGGTGGCAGAGTGGTATCATAGATGAGCACATGATAGTGTGCCATTCAGAACAATACATTAATTGTTTGAATGGAAAACACACAAGCTGAACAAGGGGAACCAGCCACTGATGACCAGATTACTGTTTGAACATGTCTGTAATTATGTCCACAAATAAGGAAAACCTTTAACTGCACCGATTATTTTGAACAGCTGCCAAAGAAAAAGAGCACAGAAGCCTGATTTAGACTTAGATCTAGGTTTAGATATCTGGGATTAAAAATACCCAGTTTTGTTGAAATAAACACTACATGTAAACTTTTACTTATTTGCATTCTATACTTAAAGCTAGTTGTAGTTTGGGCTTGCTTTGCGCTGAACTAATGCAGTTATAATGCAATTCAAATATATATATATAGAGTGAATTCTGCACCACTGGTTTAGATTGAGATCAGCATTACCACATGTTGACTTGGCACACAAAAGTAGGACTAGATTAGTAAAGGAGAAGTCTAAACTCTACCTGAACTGATTCTTAGACTTAAGGACTACACTAACAACTTTTCTGCAAATGTTTCTGCAGCGTAACCTGATGCCCTGTGTCGAATATAATAAACTCATACAGACCTGCATTTCTTCTTCTGGCACTGGCAGGTCCCTGGAGTACTGAAGGAACTGAGCCACATAAGTCATGATGGACTTCTCATCGGGGTCCCGAACGTCCACATCTGCATCAACATCAGAGTGCTCCATGATCAGCTCCACATTGCAACACTACTTTGACATGTTTAGACTAACATCTGAGTGTGTTCTTGAAGCAGGTGGAGTTTAATACTGGAAGCTGAGGAATGGAGGTGTAACTCTTCTGTCTTAGAAACATGAAAGTCTGCTATTAAAGTAACAGGCAGAGCAGATGAAACAAATGAGGGTTTTATGTAAGGCTGAAGCAAACAAGCAGCAAGTGAGTCAGCAGACCATCAGATCATCTTGCCTTTAGGCAAGCTGGGTATGGCTACACTCTGCATGCAGTTGCAAACGTGTAAACAGCAACACATTCTTTGCTGCTAGATATCTATGTGAGAAAAATATTTAATAAATCTGATCATGAAAAGAGTGTTTGTAGCAGGCGAAAAGGAGCAGAGAAATAAGCAACTGAGTGACCCAAAGGGAAAAAGCATAGCTTTCCTTTAAAACTGATTAAGAAATCCTGTGCAACACATTGCCAAAGTGTGTGTCACTACTGATGATAAAACCATCATTGAGCAATCAATACTGGATATTTTCCCATACTTGGAGTTCTGGGTTGTTGTTTTTAACAAACTTATAACAATACATGTTTTTTATAATTATTGTGATTTCCTAAGTTTTATTTTTTAAAAAAAAAGTAATATATACGTAAAAATGCAATTAAACTTTTTTGGTTTAGCAACTTATTACAACTGTCGGGTGTAATGCAATGGCTTAATGTAATCAGATTACATTTTTCAGTAATGTTGTAACGTAGTGCATAACTGTGCTGAATTCAGTAATTACATTATAGCTATGATTGTGTCACCGCCTGTGTTAAAAGGTTCATCAGTTACAAACTGATTTGCCAGAACAAGACTATCATACGTAGCCAGCATGTTATTTATATAGTGCCAAATCACAACAACAGTCATTTCAAGGCATTTTATATTGAAAGGTAAAGACCTTACAATAATATCTTCATTGTCAAAAACCCAGAATAATGTTAAAGCTGAGCACATGCTGACCCCAGCCAACAGGCCGGACCCCGGATTTCAACAGCTGACAAAGACAGTGATCAGCAGTCAGGCTGCAGCTTCTGTTTCTACAGCAGAATCAGTACGGTTCCCTTAATGTCTCCCTCGGACTGGGATTCAGCTGTGTTGTCAGTTTTCTGTTTATATTTAAAGACTAAAAGAAAGAACGTTTGTGTGTCTTCATTAGGATTTGTGTTGGTAGCCTATAGGTTTATATGCCTTTTGCTGGTAATTATGTGCAGATTTCAGGTCAATTTACTGACTAAGGCAAAAGTAAAGTAAAAAAATAGTTAAAAGTAGCGTAATGAATTACTTTCTCTGGGGAGTAACGTATTTTTATTACTTTTAAGAAAAGTAATGAGTGATAGAAAGTGCTTAAAGACACACAACAAAGCATTGAATGCATAGGAGAATGTGCTTGTATAAGTGTGTTCTATAAGTAGCACTCTTGTTGCCATTTCGTATCTGTTGTCATAAAGTGCATTTTGAACTAATCGAGTTCTTCCCCTCACCATCAGGCTCCAGCAGTCGGGGGATCCTCAGCTCTTTCTCTGCAATACGGAAGGCTTCCTCCAGGTTCTGTTTGTTGCTTCTCGTTCTGGCCTTGGATAGGTCCACCAGGTCAGGCCGCAGAGCATACAGGATAGCCAGGAAAACCACTCCACTCCTCCAGCTAGCCTTGAAGTCTTTTACGTTTACTGAACAGCCAGCTCTGAAGGAAAGAAATTATTTTATTACTTTTGTAATAAATGCACTTCATAATACTTCCATGTCATAAAGTATAGACTGGCACGAGTTCAAGTTCAGCAGTTCAAGTTCAGCAAAGTAACAAAAGATTAAATCAAACAAGAAACAGCAAGATTAAAAGATAAAATGCAACCAAAGATCAGAAAATACATTTTTATACAAGAAATGTGTTCACAAACATTTATTTCATTTAAAAAAATACATATTTACGACCTATTTACAATAAAAATGTGTGAAAATGTATTTACATTGATATTATTCATCATCTCCAGTCCTATGTGACTCCTTCTGTCTGAGTCTTCGCGTATGGAACCCACAGTACTGGGTCAAGGAAGACTTTAATGTATAAAATATACAGTAAATGTGTTCAGTTTTTTCATGCAGTCTTTATGCTGTTACATAGCCATTGCTCTTTCAAGGCAAAAGCACCAGGATTCTGTAATATTTTGAGCATTTAGAAATAAATACAGAGACTGGATATGTAACAACGAATCAATGTCCCACTCTTCACATAGTAAAGTCCTGATCTGGATTTGGTCTTCAGCCCAGACCTGGAAATGAGTAATAATTCCCAAATGAGGATACATCACTCACACATCATACACTTGGCTCACAGATGATAAGGGGCTATGATCTACCAATATATGTGACTCTATTGTGTTAGTAGACCTTTCTGCACTGAATCATACTTCTTATTAATCTCTGGCTCAATTCCACAGCATGTCTTTGTCCTGTCTTCCTCCCCTCACCCCAACCGGTCGTGGCATATGGCCGACCCTCCCTAAGCCTGGTTCTGCTGTAGGTTGCTTCCTGTTAAAAGGGAGTTTTTCCTTCCCACTGTCACCAAAGTGCTTGCTCATAGGGGGTTGTTGGGTTTTTCTCTCTGTCTATTATTGTAGGGTCTACCTCACAATATAAAGCGCCTTGAGGCAACTGTTGTTGTGATTTAGCGTTGTATAAATAAAACTGATTCAAATTGAATTACATCAGTGTAACCCATAATTTCACTACACATGTACGGTGACAATAAATGTGTATTCTATTTTAAAAACGCTGCAAAATACATTAAGACGCCTGTTTGCCAAATATTACCATTCCCTTGATCAAGTGCTTACTTGTGGCACTGCTCCCGGACCCACAGCAACAGTGCTTTCTTGGCAGAGACTCTAAAACGATGATGTAGTGGTGAGCCTCTGGGAGGAACTGGACTGCTGCTAGCCGAGTGGCTTGAGAAGGTGGAGCGCGTGTCAAGACTGGCCAAAGACTCCATAGAGGACTGACGGGAGTCAAAGGTGAGGGAGCTCGCCAGCTCTTCGATCTAAAATAACCAAACGCCAGTTTGAGTTTTACACGATAGATTTACATTTGGCATTTAGCATGAGGAAATAAAAACCTCATCAAAACCAAAGTAATAAGCAATGCACAACAAAATGGACAACAACAGAAAAGGGGAAGAAAAACAATCTTACATGATACTGAAGAATGATAGTCCATATAAGGCCCAGGATGATGGATGGTTTTCCATCAATAATGTCAGGAATGTGTATGTTAACTAGCTTTATCTGGGGAAAAGGAAAACTGTTTAGAGTTTTTCACAGATATTAGAATCAAAATCTAAACATGAAAGTCTGATGGGGAAAAAAAGTGTTTGTGTAATCTTTAATTTATTTTTGTTCAATACCAACAATACAGTTTTCCGAATAAAGTTGGTGGTAATATTAAGCCCCTTTAAAAGATTGTTTACCGATTTCTTCTTAAGAAAGGAGAGAGCCTTCTCGATGTTGCTCCTGTGCTGAAACATTCCCCTGCCTCTCTCCCGACTCTGAAAACCACAAAGAGGTGAATCACTCAGATCACAAAAGTTCTTAGCTGTTGGTTGGAAAGCATGAAGCATTAAGGTAAAACTGGACTTACGATGTGCAAGCCACTCATCACCTCCAGCAGGTCCAGCAGTTTGGAGCCATCACGGAAATCATTGAAGAGATCTACAACCATGCACGGTGGCCTCCTCTGTCACAAATATACATTTTGTTTATGTTATTTTACAGCAAGTTTCTAGCCAAGTATCTTCCAAATCACCTCTTACTCAGAGAAAGTTATGTATGAAAATATGTTGGTAACACAGAAATCACAGGAATTTGGAAATTATTTCAGGGATGATGCTTCTTAGAAATTATGTAAAATGTTGATGACAAAAATTTACAAAATGGGCAGTGACGTGTGCAGATAACACATGTAACTGGTGGAGACCAGTTTTGTAATTTTGCGTGACTATATAACTTTATAACATGACGCAGTTTTCGAGGCATTAAAGCCAAACAAATTAGTTAAAGTTTAAAGAAAAGACAGCTGTTTGTTGATTTCTTAGAAGCTGACATTTTGAGCATGGGGACGTTTCTCTAGATAATGATGTGTACTGTATTTGCATAGTCATAGTCATTATTATTGATAAAATCTTACAGATACACTTAACAGGTTTAATAAAGAAACAATGAATGTCATTAATAGCAAACACTGTACAGTGGATCTGGCAAGTATTCACAGGATTCCACATTTTTTCATGTTCCAGTCTTATTCCAAACTGTAAGAAATTCATTTTTCACCTTGAAATTGTACAGAATACTTCATAGTGACAAAGAGAGTTTGTTTTAAATTCTTGCAAAGGTATTACAAATAAAAACCAAAGAAGGGGTTAGATCTGGATTCTTGATGGGGCACTCAAGGTCATTCACAGAGATTCCCAAAGCCACTCCTTTGACATCTTGGCTTATGTGCTTAGGGTTGCTGTCCTGTTGGAAGAACTTTTGCCACAGTCTGAGGTCCAGAGCGCTCTGGAGCAGGTTATGAGCTAGGATGTCTCTGCACATTTCTTCATTTATCCCTCAACTCTGACTGGGTTTCTAGTTCCAGCTCCAAACAACATCCCAACAGTATGATGGGTCCACCACCATGTTTGACTGTAGGAATGGTATTGGTCAGGTGATGAGTGCTGACTGCTTTCCTCCAGACATGACGTTTGGCATTCAGGCCAGTTAGCTCATTCTTTATTTCATTAGACCACAGAATTTAGTTTCTCATGGTTTGGTGGTTCCAAACTTGGAGCCCACTGTGCTCACTGGAACCTTCAGTGCTGCCAAAATTTTTCTTCCCCAGATCTGTGGCTCAATACAATCCTGTCTGGGAGAACTATAGAGAATTCCTTGAACTTCAGGGCTTGGTTTGTATTTTGACATGCACTGTCATGCATTCTAAATCATGTCCACTGACTTCATCAACTGCATTTACCACACGTGGACTCCAGTCAAGTTGTAGAAACATCTGACAGATAATCAGTGGAAGCAGGTCAACTTAGAGCGTCACGGCAAAGCTATGAATACTTATGTACATGCTATAGTTGTTTGTTTTGTTTGTTTTTTAATTGCAATAATTTTAAGCAAACCTTTTACTTTGTCATTATGGGGTATTGTGTGTTAAAGGCTTTAACATTAAAAATAAGTCAAGGGCTGTCAGTACGTTCCAGATGTGCAGATCCACACTGGCAACACGTTTAGGCAAGTGAGATAATGTTATGTTCTAAATTGTGTGACAGTGTTCAGTATGAATGTGATATAACAGCACACAATAAACTGTACAACTGTGTTTACTTACAACGATGTCAATAAAAACATCCAGGATTTCATGGATTACTGACTACCTGACAGGCTGCAGTATTTTCCTAGCTACAGTAAACCAGATGACTGATTGAATGTCATACATAATTCTAATTTCCATTCCCAAACCAATGCCCTGTGTCATGTTGATCAAGTCATAATTGACTTGCTAATAACTGACTTTCTATTATGTACTCCGATCCCGGCATAAAAGGTCACTTTTGAATTTCTAGGAGGACACAAAAGTTTCTGCACCAAATATTATTCACACGTGATACACATGTGCATGGTTGTAATGTGAGGTATAATGTGACCAGCCCCAAAAGGATCAACAACTATTTCCACCATTTAGCTTACTGGCAAAGTTCCCACCATGCCGGACCTTTGGTTGGGTGGATTAGGTGGGTGTGTTTGGTGGGCCGTCTGTTGCTGTCTGTCTGTGTGCTGTGAACCTTGCTCCTTAATGCTATATTTGTGTATGCAGCCACCACTCTACTGTCCTCCGCTGTGATATTTACAGCTGACCTTCACTATGAAGCAGAAAGAGTCTGTCTCTGCTGAGTCATGTCAGGGGACAGAACCTTTACACAATGCATGTGTTTGACAGCTTTCCTATAACATCTCGCTTCCTTGAAAAGTTTCAGAAGATGCTTACAGTGGAAGTATAATGATTTGATTTTAGCAACTCTTGGACAACTTTTGTCCATGGTGGATCTTTGTCATGAATAAGCTGAAAGTTTACTGAAAGCGAGCCATTTTACTGCTACTTGTGCTTTTCTTTCCATGACAGTTGAAGGGTGCAGTACTGACAAGGTCACTTTGCTGTCAGGAACGTGCGCTTCATATATTATCCATGCAGTATGGAAAAATATGTCTTTTCAAAGGAAATGCACATGACTAAAACTAGCTGCATGGTACTACGTAAAACACAAATACTAATATAAAGGAATCATAATCTTTAAAAGTCATTAGTGAGAACAATATTCAGGACTTTTCATGTTTTCTGCTTCTTCTTTTAGTCTGACAAAGCTAATTATGTGAGAGTGACCAATGGACTCACTGTGTATAAAGTTTTGGGAAAGCATTTTATGTTTGCATGTTACAGTAGACAAATTCTTCAACACGCTGCAGTAGTTTTATGCATGGTTTCTTTCTATTGTGTGCTTGTATCCAGCACACAGTAGAAAGTAAGTTCATCCTTCACACATACTGTTCACACATTTAGGCCTCACCTTTGCCAGCTGAGCATTGACCCAGTTGGTGAAGGTCCTCTTCTGAATCTGTTCTTGTTCCACTGTAGGAAAGGAAGAATCACTGCATTAACTTAGACATTTAAACAACAAATCACAAAAGCATCATATCTTGGGAAAGGGAGCCATAATGCTCCCCACGAACTGTTTAGACTGAGAGAAAATGAGAGTTGGCACAGTTCCTTGGACTGCTAATATCATAGGTCTCTTTGGTTAAGAGAGCATGGGTCAGGTAGAAAGAAAGTTTAAGGCTTTTCAAAAGAAAGTTTTTTGAAAACTCCAGGATCTATATTGTGTTGTTTACTATAGGTTTCTTCAAGCCATGACCACAGGTTTATAGACAGACAGTTAGTTGTTGTCTTGAAGGAGATTAGTCAAATCTGCATAGAAAATAAGTAGGTGCAACGAGAAGCTTATGCTTAGCATCCAAGTGAAACTGAAGGACATGGTATCTTCTCAGCTATAATCCTTTAGAGCACTCTAAGTCTCACTAATTAACACACTGTATCTCTTTTTCTCCAGTTTGTAACAAGTAATTCAGTGTTACACAAACGTATCATACATAGTTCATGTTGTGGTCAAATGTTTTCATCACCTCATCATGGACATGAATGTCATGGTAACTTTGAGCTTTTAATGATTTTGTTTGAATTGTTCTTTTTCCATGGTGGAATGACTGTACATCATACATCTTTATTGACTTTTATAAACCATGAATTGCATGCACAAGCTTGAATTTGTTTTGGATTTTCCCCACCGGGTCCATGCAGGGTCACAAATATTCAGATAACAACACTAATAATTGGTTACATTTACACCTAGATTGCAAACGTTTGGTTACCATCAACAAGATTCGGACATAACTGATTCTTAGCAGAACTGGCATGTTATTTAAAATGGTTGAGTTCCTGATGTGGAACAGGCTTTTAAGCATAGTGCATAAATTTTCAATACAGTTGAGGTTGGGGCTTTCCACTATTCCAGAAGTATGATGGTGCCATTTCTAAACAACTACAAAGAGCTTAACTCACAAGACCCAAACAGTCATTCTCAGGTAAGAAGAAATTAGTTAGGATTTTCAGAAACAACCCAAGACCCGTTAAGGCTTAAGCCTGCCATGAAGTGGAAAGTGCTAGAACTTCAGTATTCCTGTGACAGTGAAGGCAAGTTTTATATCACCATAAACTGAGAAGGTGTTGACCAAGAAAGAAAGCCCTGTTTTAAAATCAACACCATCAAGTTTGACTGAAATTTAGAGCTGCCCAATGTACCAGAACCAGCTGGTTCTGGTACATTGCACACAATCAATTGCATGATGAGAGGCCTACCTCCAAAGCCTTTTGTTTCACCTCATATCAATAGCGAAACAGTTGAAACTTGAAGACAACTGGGCAGTGACAGCAGGACATTGATTGCAAAAACACATCAGAACTGGTTTTGGAATGGATAAAGCAGGTTAACATTACACTTTTGAAATGGTCCCAACCTTGAACATTTCTGCACTATGCTTGAAAACCTGTTCAATATCAGAAAACCAACCAATTTAATTGAACCCTGCCAATTCTACCAAGAAGAGTGGACAGATATCTAGCCTGAATTATGCCAGAAGCCTGTTTATGGCTAGCAAGAGGATCTGGTTAAGGTGTAGCTTGCTAGGAGACATTTATCCAAATATTACTTGAGCTGTTTGTGTACTCCAGACTCTGTATGTATACAGACTCCTGTGAACCTCTGTGGATTCAACAAAAAACACACAAAATAAATTTAAAGCTGTCATTACAGTCATTAAAGATGTATGCTGCACAATCATTCCACCATGGAAAAGCAGCAGTTCAAAGAAATCAAATTAATCAAAGCATCAAACTTATGACATTCATGCCCATCATGAGTGTATGAAAACATCTGACCACAACTGAAGGTCCCCCATGAAACAACATAACCGTAAAGGGGGGGGGGGGGGGGGGGGGGGGGGCATAGCAGCCTAAACAGTTTTATCTGAGCCAACCTTGGGGTTTAAACAATCTGCTTTATTCAGCAGAATGAAAAACATTAGCAGTGTGCAATTCATCTAAACAGTAGATTCTAGAAGTTCACCTATTGCGAAATTAACAAGCATTTGCAACTATAAGACTGCTGCATCCTAAAAGCTGTTTATTTCTTTAGGGTACACCCAGATTGCTATGGGAACACTTTTGGCAGTATTATAAACACAAGTATTTGGTTTGTGTGTTGCCTGAACAAGCCACAAACCTCGAAAAATGACTCATCACAAAATGTGTTGCAAAAACTTTTGGGGATTCCTAAAAACATAATCAAGAATCTCACATATACTGTGATCTAAGAATACTGAGTAGTATTTACATTTAACGGAAGAGTATTATATTTTGTATGAATTCCCTTTGTTTTCTTTGTTCTTTTTAAACATACTTTATGAAGTTTGTAGTGCAGTTTGTGGGGGTCAACTTGAAAGAAAGGCAGATATGAAATATAAAATTGAGATCAGAGGTCAAATGTGAGATGATATTTGGATGCATCCCCATTAACCAGTATTATTTCCAAAATGTGGCCAATAAAAACAAAAGCATTGTTTTTATAATATAATTTATTTCCTATATGCCTATACATATAGAAAATGAAATATATACAAACAATGGCAGAAAGAAACAATGCACTGACCAGTTCAGCAACACCAAAAGGCCCCAAAGACCACAGAAGGCAACTAAAGGTTAAACAGCTTCACAACATCCAATCAAGAACAACCAAATGAGAGGAGGACGTCTACAAGGGACACCTTAATGAAGAGAAATGTTGAGGATTTAGAGCAAGGTGCAAACCACTGAATACAGTCAAGACCAAGAAGGCCACGTTAGACTTTGCCATAAAACATTTAAAAGGTTTGGCACAGTTCTGTGAAAGATGAAACCATAGTTGTACCAGAAGGATGGCAAAAGTATTGAGAATGAGAGGAACAGCTCATGATCCAAAGCATACCACATTATCTGTTTAACATGGATGTTTTTGTACCTCTTCAGACTTTGAAATTTGCCTAATTCAGTCTTCTTGCTATTGTTCCTTGTCTTACATTTTCACATACAAACAGCATTTCGGAAACTTTATGAAGGGTTTTACTTGACAACAGTGATGTATTTATTTCCCTGGTGGATAATTAGCTAGCTGAGCTTTCCCAGCTAGCAGTTACAAGATTTTAAGAAAACTTGACCTCTGCCTTTGAGCTTGAGATTCAAACTTGTCTGAGAGTTTTAGTAGATGCACCTATGGTATCAGTTTCAACATGCTACGTTGCCTGGTTCTCAACCTATTGCAGTCATAAAAATGCCTGCAATAGGGGGAATACCTTTTCACAGCACTGTATATTGTATTTGACTGGCTGACAAACTTGATTACTGCTCCTAGAGGAGGGGCTTTCTCCTGCTGTAAGAGCCTGCTATCATGTGCTTTCCTCAATCGAAAGCTTCTTGTTCCCTCAGGGTTAATGTGTCTGCAATTTTGACTACTGAGAGCAGGGCCTCCTCTATCTGCTCTGCATGTGGCAAATAGTGTTTTTAAGGACTACTGCATAATGCACAATGTGGTGCATTTCTGCAGTTTTTCAGCCATTTCTAAAGGGATACTGGATAATCAGTCAGTTGTCAGTTTATGAAACAAGTCTCTGATTTAAATTAAGGGACTTGACTGGGGTTTAACAATGGCGCCTGATAAGCTGCCACACCCACCAAGACCATCAGGAGAGTACAATAAGGATTACGTAAATAGTTTTTTTTAAAAATAAGATTTCCTATAAATATTTCATGATTTTATGAGCAATTTGTTATGAATTTGTTAAGAATTAATTGTGCTTTATTTCAGCTGCCAGATAACAGGTGAGGAAAATGCTTTATAGTTTATAATGTTTTTTATGTAGTTAAAATGGGCTTTCAAACCTTCCTTACCTGGAAGGCAATTTTTTTAAGTACATGTAAAAAGGGAGCAAAAGTGTCAGAGTTATCGTTTGAAAATGTGTTTATCACAGATGTTACTTCAGTCCTTCAGGCTAAAAAGCCACTCCAAATAAGGGATTTGAAAGGTTGCTTCCTAAATTGCTAATTTTAGGCCTTCTGGACAGCTTTCATAACCAGCAACTGTACAAATGCAAAGCACTGATAGAAAATGTTACCAACAGAATATCACCGCCCCAAAATTAACATATACAGTAACTAGTAAAATTAGCAGTAACTACCATAAAATCATCAGGTTGGCTTCTTATTTCGGTTTCAGCTCAGCAAACTTTTTCTTTTTCATTTTCTTTTCTTTTTTTTGCCTTTTCAAGATGTTAACATTAGCCATCTGCCTTCATGGCTTTGTTGTAGTTTCAGCTACTACAAGTACAATGTTGCTCAGACATTAAATAAAGGTTTAACCTCTGAATAGCAGCCAAGCTTCGGTTTTGTGTTTAATGCGTAATTACATTCTACAGCAGTAGCTCTTCTAAAACGAGACTACTGTAGGTTTTATAAGATCTAAAACTTGCCCCAGTCCTGAGAAGAGAGCGAAGCCTATATATGAATTTGAATACATACATATGCATACTGTATAGGTGAGTTACTATTTACTTCCTACTCAAGACTGGTTTCTTATATTCTGCAGATACTGGACTATATCTGTAAATCTCCTGGTATAGTTTCTATAAGCAGTCAAACTAGGTTTAAGAGTTCCACATTCAAACGCTGCCTACAGTACAGTGTCTTCACACTAAACTCTGCAGTCACTTTCATTCCACACCAATCAACTTCACTACTAGAAAGACAAATGAAAGCAACTTACCCACAATGTGAGAAGTCATGCTGATTGAGCAGGTAGTGTAGTACTAGTAGTATTAGTAAACTCTGATGTTAAACATCTGTTTAAATCAAATGCATTTTTCCCTTACATGCTTTACCAAACCGATTCAACATTCAACACACCCATTGCTGCAGCAGAAGAGATTATATGAAATATGATATGAAATCCTATTGAAAACAATTCTTGTTTAAACCGTCTACAATTCTTGCCTGCAGGGATGCAGGTGAGTTTAGCTGGGCTCCACCTCTTTTAAATGTGACTCACCGAAATTTCATTCCTGCCCAAACACGACCTGGAACAAGCTAGTTCTCCTGCAGCATCCTAAGTACTTTATGCTGCACAGGCTGGAAAACCTGACTCAAATTCAAGCAAACCAAGCAAAATGGAAGACGAATTTTGGAAGACTAAGTTAATGCAACCCCAACCCCAGTTAGGTAACTGAAATTTAGCCAGTAGGTTACACAGTGCAGCTAAGCAAAAACGAAAGAAAAAAGAGTCACTCATTGACATAAATATGGTGTTAGCAATAGTGTAAATGTGCATGTCAAAATAAACCCAAAACTGCACCCTATTCTATTTGGCAATGCATAAAAAGATGATTAATGTTGTACCGACAACATATTAAAAAGGTATTTAAAGTGACATCACATGTTCTCCCTAAAACAGCCAGTGGGTATATCCACGATGCAGAACACATTGTGCTCAAGTCCCTGCACCCTATGCAAGAAAATATCCTCCCAGACTCAGTTAACAAGTGTTGAATACACCCAACAATCACACATAGCTTGAGCTATTTTTAGTGACATTCTTTTATCATTACACCTTCAAATATACACAAAAAATGACTTTCACACTCTTATTTTACAAGATGGCTTGTCATGGGGGCGTTGGGCTTACATCATTCCTTCTGGACATGGTGTAGCAGCTGGAAACTACATAACTGGAAAAACATTTACAAGGCTTAAAAAAACACAGTGTTCTAAATGTGGGGAGCAAATGAGCTAAAAATAGCTCTGTGAGGAATGAAGTCAGATTGGACCCAATAAGTTAGGAGAGGCAAAAGAACTGAGGTAGGTACAGAGAAAGAACCACATATGAGCATGTTGAAAAGTCCAAAGATCAAGAGTCAAGGAAGATGTAGAGAAAAAAGATCCGAGAGTCACTCATTTTAAAAAATATAAGCTGCAAGAAAGAGAATAAGGAGAGTGGTGGATCAGGACTGAGAGAGGCTATTAAAAAAGGTGAAATAAGGACAGAAAGATTAAGAAAAGTTATGGAAAAATATGAACAACAAGTGTCTTTTTAGATATGTATTACTATACAGAACAAATATGGTTTTGCAAGTCTTGACAGATGTGTGGTTAAAGTGGGCTATTAATTTTTGTGCTGCAGTCTAGCATTGCTTCCAGCTGATGTCATGGAGATACTCTCTCAAAAAAATCACAATATGTAACCTTGTAATCGTGCCAGCATGCTCATAACGCAACACACATCCTTTTTTCATGCTCACGCCTGTTAAGCACTCAAGCAAATGTCAGTAAGTCTTGGTTCTTCAGTAAATGGAATATCCCCAAACGGCTCACATATCACCAAATACACAAACTGCATTTCTGGCACCTGTCAGGTAGAAAATAAAGCATAGCTACATATATGTGTGGTGAAAATTCTAGCTAGTTACAATTGCATTATTGAAAATGGAAGAGGAGATGGAAGAGGTCCTGGGTTCAAATCCTGGATAAACCCCCAAGTTTGCTGGTTTGAGGGATCTGACACATTAATCAGACAGACGCCACTGGGGTCAGAGCTAAAATAGCCTGTTCTTAAATTCTTAAACAAGACTGACCAGGAGGTCGCTGTTGCATTGATAAACCCCGTCTACCAGGAATCTGCAAGACAACACAGGGAGACAAACAGGGCAAAACAACAGGGACTGTCCAATGCACAGGGCCATGACAAGGACAATGGAATGGGAGATAAGGACTTCCTCAGCAAGTGATGTTTGATAAACCTTTGGATGCTTAATAATTCTGGGTCAGTCTAAGCAGGCATCCCTCTCCCCACCCATCTCCCCCAGCTTCTCTCTTCCAGGGTTTCCCTGCCTTGGACATTTCCAAAAGACCTCCTCTAGGAGATACGCCAGAGTCATCCTATTCAGATGCCCAAACCACCTCAACCTCAGAGAGAAAAGACACGGAATAAAGAGCTACAGGCTGGACTTGAACCTGGGGCACTCCTCTCCAGCCACCGAGCTAAAATGGTACTCTGTTCTTGGAATTTTTTTTATCTGATTTTTAAATCTGAAATATGTACATGAAATTATCTGTTTTTCATTTCATGTTGTAAAATGTTTTCACATGGTAATAGGTTTGTGTTATTCAAAGGTAATGGACACTAAGTGCAACCTAAATTGATTGGTTTACAGTCCAGTGAAGTCAAACTCTGGTGCTAATGGTTCCCGTAATGTTAGGTCCAAGGCAGCATTGATAAATTCACATTAAAAATGATGATGCTCTGTCACTTGCCAAGTTCACCTCTGGACTTTTGTTTTCTAAACTGGCAAAGGTCAGACAATGGTCAGCTATGGTAGCTTCTATAATATTTGTTAAGATATCACAGAATGCAGTTGGGCAAATAAGGCTTTGATCACACAAAGAAAACATCTACCTAAGCTTGAAGTACACATTTTTATGTGCCTTATTTGTAAATAAGACATTTCCCAGCTCAGCCACTTCACTTGTTCTTCGGCCCATCCTCCTACCATAAATTGGTAAATGTATATAATAACTTTTTTGTGTTTTGTTCTTTTTTATTCTACAACTTACGTCACAAGCAGATGACTCATTGTTACATTTTTTAAAATCATAAACCAGAGATGAAAAACTTTAAAATGAAGTGGCTCACCAATTGAAAACCAACTTGTAACGACAGTCTCAGTGCAATACTTTGCTTAAGACGTTCATGAATGCCCCGAGATACAGTGAGTTGATGTGCGCGCAGTGTTTATTGCATGCCTGCACCACCCTCCTGCTCTTTCCCTTCAGAAGACTCTTTGTAACATGACTCATGTCTCAAAGTGAACAGCGGATCACTTTCCGTAGATTAAACCAAGCATGACCTCAAAAAGAGTGGTAAAAGTGAAACAAGATGTTGCCCACAGTGGACTGACTGTGACAAGGTCATCAAACTGCTCCCTTGAGTGAGACTGAGGCCAAACAGTTATTATGTTGCCACAGTGACTGAAATCAGGAGGGTTTTTTTTCTTTTTACTCTTGCATGACCTCAGACCAGAAACAATGAGCACTTACTCATTTTAGGTAAGAAGCACCACAGTAGTTCCAACAGCCTAAAGCTAGGATTTTTTTTTGAAAAACGCTTTACTCTTGTTCTTGTAGAAAATATTTCATTGTTCAGTCAGAAACATTACACTGTAATCTGTACTGGAAATGAGACTGACCCTGCAGCAGCATGTGAACATTGTCAATATCCAGGGGGATGGTCCCCTGCTCCAACAAAGCATCTCTGGAGTAGAAGTCTGACGACATATTCTCATCCACAGACTCCCGGCAGCATGGCACTGCTCTAAAAAATACAGAGGAAAAAGAAAAGCATCAATATTAGTGCCTAAAAGAACTAAAGACTGAACTATAAAGATCTAAGACTAAAAGATCACACTTTTTCCAGCTGGTGCCAGTCTGAGGAAGCTTGTACCTTACCTTTATAGCCAAAAGTTTCTATATCTAATATACATGTGACCGAAATATTTATAAACAATAAAAAAAATTAAGTCTTATGTATCAGTTGCCACTTTTTGTTGAAACAGTTAATGATAACAGAATGGGGCAGGTCGGACGATTCGTCCCTTTCAGTTAGGTGTAAATCCATTGAGTCATTTATAATACACAAGCAAGGCTGATCAAATAATCATTAAAAAGTAAAAGAGCACCGTTTCCTCACAGCAAGAAGGTCCTGGGTTCAAATCCAGTGGAGTGGCTTATTCTCCCTGTTTCTGTGTGGGTTCTCTCTGGCTTCCTCCCACAGTCCAAAGACATGCTGTTAGTGCGGTTAGGTTAACTGGTGATTCTAAATTGACTATTTGTTGAATATATATATGAATGAGTGTCTGACCAGGGTACGCCCTGTCCATCTGACTTTAGCCCTCCCACAACCCTGAACTGGACAAGTGGATGGATGGATGGATGGACCAAGTTGGAAGAAACAACTGTGTGTTGTTATAAATTGTGTCTCAATCAGTCTGATTGCTGCAAATATACCAATACTCTGTCACTTGCGTGTAGTGCTACATAGTGATTGCAATACCGCTGCCATAAGACATGACAGAAAGGACCACTGATCAGCTACCATGAAAGACTCTCCACCTCTCCTGAGTAATCTGCAGACTTCTCAAGGTAAAGGGATGATTTAGACAGAGAACAACATGTGGAGTTTCACAATGCAGTCTTTTATAAATGAGACCCCAGGACATCTGTTGGATTACTGTGGATACTCAACTTCCATCCATCCAATCGCTAATACAGCACATAATCGCAGATGGGCTGGAGGCTATCCCCGCTGCCATACAGCAAGAGGCAGGGTACACCATAGAGAGGTTGTAATGATGTTCTCAATCATTTCCAGTCATGTTCGGATAAACAGGCCCGCAAACATCTGTGCATTCAAGCGCTTCTGTTTCAGCAAAAGCGTGTGTGCTTCTTGTTGCTTGAGGCTAATTATTAATGTGCTGTAACTGGTGTACGAGCATGCACCCAAACCCATTCAGACACAGCAGACCTTTAATATTTTGGGATGTGGATACATGTATCCAATAAACATGAATTAGTGGTACAATTATATTTAAGATTGGTTATTATAATAATTATTACTATTTCCAGTATTATAACCATTGCATCAACACAAATAATGATAATGGTGCAGCCAGGAGGTTTGTGTGAACAGAATTATATTGTTCCTGTCTGCTGCTGTGTATGTCCACAAAACATTTGTTTTATGACCAACAGACTGGCAGTGAGCATGTCTGAAATACAGTCAAAGAGGAGTTTATCATCTTTTAAAGTGCAATGAAACACTGTCAGTATAAACTGAGTGCAGCGTGAAGTGCTGGGCCGTGTTCTGTCTTGTTCATTCCCCCTCTAGGATATGAACAAGCGGACTGAGAGAAATGTATGACATTTAGACATCTTTACAGAGTAGCCTGCCTAAACAAATCAAGCAGTGAAAAATAAAAAAGCCCTTTGATTTGATTGTTTTTCTCTGCAGATAAACACGACTGACGTGATGGTCCAGGAGAGCGGACAGGTGAGCGAGACTAAAATGCAACAGTGTGAAATAGTGCCAACACTCACCAATATGTCAGAGCAAATGTCAGATGTGTCAGAGCCAGATCAGCTCAAATACAAGGAGCTCACGTACTGTGACCTGCATGTGTTGCCAGAAGAATGTGATTTCACTCAAACTGGCAACGTGAAACATTGGAGCCACTTGGCAATATTTCTTGTATGCTGTTTCCTATGTGGCATGTTTTCCTCCCAGAATCGTTAATGGCCAAACAAATATGAATCCTTAACAAGCCAGAAGAAGTCAAACTTATGGTTAATTCCTAAAAAAAACTAATCAAGTCAATAAAGACTCTGGTTGTACACAGAAACACATTAGCTCTGACAAACTCTATTAAAAGGGCTATTTGCAAATATGACACTACCAGTGCTATAAAGTGTGTTGGCAGTAGATATGGGTGTTGAGGAATTTAATTTAAAGCTGAATCCAGTAAATCCTTAGTAACTGGAGAATATCGGTGCAGATAAAGTTAATAAAAACAAAAAAGCAAGAAAAGTATTTTTATACTCTTGACAAGCTGTTGTGATGTCAGTGCATGAGATGACTCCTTACTGGTTACTTGACATTCTGACAAGTGCAAAATACCAGCAAACTATTTAAAGCACCATAACTAATAATAACATCAAATTAAATCATTTGACAAGCTAGCATTAAACAAATATTTGCCCAAGGTTACTCGCAGCTGCACAAGCAATAAGAAGCAAGCAGCACATGCGGTTTCTAAAAACACACTGAACCACTAACATCCATTGTTAATGTGACCCCACAGAACCATGCTCTGATAATGCTACCCTGCCAAGCATGTGTGCATATGTGGACTGCTATAGCACAGCATTTGAGCTATCCCAAGGCTTCGTGTCAGCTGCAAAACGATAGATCAAGGGAGGCGAGAGACCGAGAGAGCGGTATATAAAATATATACAAATATTTACTGCAAGAGATTACAAGAGATAGTAACTAATGGGAAAATGTCAGGGGTTTCTTACACAGGCATAATTTAAAAGAAAGGAATACAGCTTTTACTGCTGTGTGTTTTTCACTGTCTGGATCTAATAAATACAAAATGCATGAAGTTGTTTACATGTCTATTGAGATTTCAGGGCAACAACAATAGAGTGCTACACTCATGCATGACTCATAGTTAAGCAATCAAATCACACCATCCATTAAAGTTGCATCACAAAGTGAATTTTACTAGCTGTCATTACTGAGTAAAGAGGTAAGCCTATAGCGGGCAAAGGCACATTATCAGAGAGAGTCACAAGTCCCACTGCTCAGCTCTAATTGTAGCAATGAGACAAAGGGCAGCAAAACACATTGCACGGTGCTGTGGAAAAAGCACAGGGAGGGGTCACATCACAAAGCCAAAGCACTGGCATTACATGCTTGTTGCATGTATTTATCCAGATTAATAATCGCATAATTAGTTAAAGTGGCCGTCTGTGAGAAAGCTGAAGGGCATGAAGTAGTAGAGAGGTATTAAGTCTCCCCAGAGCGCCACAACAAAAGTGATTTAACAGTCCAGTTTATTCATGTCAGACTTACAAGTGCAACCTTAAATAAAAGCTTTACCCAAGAAAAACACAAGCAGTAAGTATCAGTAGTAAGTGTATATGTTGTGCTAGAGTATCCAACATGTATCAATCAGTAAATTTAAAAAAAACATAGTTTTAGTTAAGGATAAAGCGTGCAAAATATCCTTCATTTGATGAATGAGCAAAATGAGCACTTTGTCTTACAGATAACTGTGCCCTATTCAGGACTGAGAAAAGAGGCTGTCTTCAACCTCAGAGGAAGCACAAAAAATGCAACAAAAAGTATTCTTGACTGTGGTGCAGATGAAAGTAACACATTAAATAACCTAAACCTGAAACGGAATCATTTTGTCACTGGAGTTTGTACAAGCCTGTGTTACACTGAAAGCCTTTCTTCCGCTCTGTTTTCACGCTGTGTCCAGACTTTCAAACAGTAAAAAAAATTGACCATATTTACCAAAATCTTTCAAAAAATCTGTACCAATTTGTTCAGATTTCATGTCACCCCTGCACACATTCCCCATATATTTACAAGGTATTCATATTAATTTTTAAAGCTGAGGGATAATGGATTAGTCATTGACAATATATGCTAGAAAATGTTAGCCTTCAGCTCCCACAGCTTTATGCCAACTGAAAATATCTTGGATGTGAGAGTTGAACCATGAGCTAAGGACTGGTTAAGACTAAACAAAATTACCATTCAAGAAACAAGAAGCTGTTAAACCTGACTTCAGTTAGCATAAATTAAATGAAAGAAAATTAAAATCTATGAAGATACCAAAACAAAATCATTTCTGTGTGCAAGGCTAATACCTTCCTCTGGCTCCAGGATCCTACTTCTGTGTCAGTCTGACAGTACTGCTCTGACTAACCACAACAAGCTGGAACGGAACTAAACTGACATGAACCACAGACAAATCAGTGATATCCAGTTTGTACAGTAATTGTAAACAAACACCTGGGAAAACCACATCTTCCACATTCCCTCACTAGAGATTTGACTCTAAAGGGAACTCTCCCTGCCACTAGCTTTTATCTCAGTATAAATGCCGTGACTGTCTCTGAAACAACACCCTACTCTCACTGCATTTCTTTAAATGCTTTCCAGCAGGTCTTTGTGCTCTTTGTGAGAGCCCAAGGAACAAATCAACAGCGACAGTGTTGCCGAACCTGTCACACAGAGCTTTCACAGACACACCCTGGGTGATCAGATGTTAGAAAAGGGGAGAGGTAATCTATGCTTTCATTCGACTAAGAACACACCACTGATGACAATATGGGGCAAATATCTTGAAGGCGGACCTACAGTGCAATATATTTTGACACGCATGCACAGTATCACAAGGTTCATACAACACGGAGGTCTTGATTGAATGAGGTTAGTAAGGTAGTTTCTCTTAGATAGAAGATTTCTATCGAGTATCATTATCTATGACTCCACTAAGGAATGGAAAACAAACACACTGAACTCTAACAAGCTAACAGGGAAAACACAAAACTCCTGTTATTTATTAATGTTCTGCTAGGGCAGAAAAATGGTATCACATAATTATTCTTCTAAATAGCTCAAGTTGAAGTGAAGGAAATAGGGTTGCAGATTTTTTATAGAAACAAAACTAAATGTTATACTACCCTACATACCACTGTAGGGATTTTTAATCCAGGGTGCTTAACAAAATGATTCTCAGCTCAACTTCAGTTATCCTACCACCTACAAGTGGGCTGAGTTAGAGCTGCTCACATGTTTTAGCAGAAAGGAAATGTGAATTTATATGACAACGTTGTTGTAAAAGCATCCTAACCAAAAGCAATATCTCTGGATTTATATCTTAAATACAGAACAAACAGTCCAAATTTATAGCGTGATTCTTGGTATAAATACAAATCTTATAGTGATCTTTGGTAACAGGCAATTTTTCACACAGACAGATAAACATGAGGTACAAAGAAGAGGTGGCTCAGTTAAAGTGATGACTGAGAGAGACACTGTGTCTGAAAGAATCCTTCAAGTCAAACTACTGAGAAAAGTCACATCTGCTAACTGGGTGATAAGGCCTTTAAATGATGTATAAACTGCAACTCATAACAGTCCTGGGTTGATACATATTCACTTTACATCAGTCACTTAAACATAGAATAACTTTAGTTAGCAACAGGAATTCGTTATTCTTACTAAACTGATGCATTGAATTGTTACTAGACAGGCTACAGTTCAGAACTGCTTATATATATACATCTATATAAATAAGATATATAGATGTATATATGCAAATGTAAGAAAAGAAATCCCAACCACTGTACATTAACTTGTCCTATCACTGTTGTCTATAAGTGCTACTAAGTGAGCTGGCTCTCACTGCAGGAATGTGAGATAGTGTCACTGTTATGAAGCTGTTGGATCCCAAAAATAGCAGCAAGGAACATGTGTGTACAGCTGAACTGAGATCAGATCAGTTGAGACATATAATGAGTCCTTGAGGAAGACTAGAGGACTTTTTAATAAGGCAGATAAGAAGCCATGGGTCTGCAGGTTTAGGAAGAATATAATGAGAAGACACTCTCCTCACACACACTTAGGAATTGCATCGGGTGACAGCAATACCATTACTAATTACACTCAGGGTCAATTACAGCCGCATTTTGTAAACTTCACCACCTAAACTGCAGTCAGTAGTCAACACATTCTTTACAGCTGCACGTACAGCTGGTTCGTCGACATTTCATAGAGATTTACAGAAAAAATGTTAAAAGTTGGTTGTACTTACATACAGTAAAAAGTTGTGTTTTGGGGTAAAGATGGAGGTCCAGGGACTATTGAACTGCAATGTGGGAGAGCAGATCTGGTTCTGTTGTAGTATGTGGAAATGAAACCTGAAGCACTGTTTGACAGATCTGGAAGTTTGCAGCGCTCCACTGGACTGTCACCCGAGAAGTCAGAGCCATGCCGGGGCCAAGTAGGAAACTCTGTGGGGCACTAAAAATAGAAACCAGCCAGGGTTCAGCTCACCCACCTCCCTCCAGTTTGGCTCTGATGGCTGTCACCTGGGTTAAAGGTCCGGCTTCAACATGTACATATATGCTCATGCGCATGCAGAACTGACAGATCCTTTCTGAGGTGTAGCCATGCATGACCATACAGTGTAAACGAAAGAAGGAACATATTTGAGCTAAAAGTTACATAAACCTAGCAAAATACGAGCTATATAGCACTATAGGAGACTAATGGTATGATAATGATATGATAAGTTTTTATTATACATCACAGATCCAGTAATTATTTAATAAAATTTATGGAAATACACATGAAAATGAAACATTCTTTTTATTTAAAGGAACATTTGACTGTTCACATATTCACATTCAGCTCAGTGAGTAAGAAACACCACATTTTCCACTGATGTACTGGGATATGGTGATATTGCGTGATCTCTTTGTGATCTACTAGCTGATAAAATGTGATTTTCCTCATGCATTTTTATAGTAAGTATACACACCTTAGAAGTTAAGTTCTTCGTTTGGTATTACAGTTTTGTTTACTGATCTTTATGTTTTGAGTATTTTCGAGTCTTTTCTTAGTTTTATTGCTTAATTTGTTTCCTCTGTGTTTCCTGTCTAATCCTCCCCTAGGTTTATTAATGTATCTGCGTTTCTCACACCCTGTTTTATTTTGATAGTTACTTGTCTCTACTGTCTTGTGTTTAGTTTTACTTCCTCTCCTGTCTCATTGTCTTGATTGTCTGCACTTGCTTCTTGTTTTCCCCAGCTGTGCCCACTTCCTGTTATTGCCCTTCTGTGTATATATAGAGCTGTCTTCTTCTCAGTCCTTTGTCTCAGTGGCTGTTAATCTGTTCTCATGTGTTTGCTGGACTGAATTAGTCTTTTGTTTTGTGCACTGCTTCAACAGCCTTATGAAAGATGCATTCTGAGTTTAACTCTAACCTTTTTCCATGCCCTGCTTTTGAGTACAAATTCTGTAATTCATGAGTCCAATTTAAACACATTATGATTCATTTTAATCATCAGATATGAGTTAAATGTTTTAGAGTGTTAGTGTTAGTGAGACTGGCTCACAGGTCTAGAAATACAGCTAAGGTCCACTCATCTGACATTTGCAAAAGATTGAACTGGATATTTTAACAGATGTACTGCAATACCAACATCTTTCCCCAATCAAGTCATAGTTTTTATGGATACAATATTTTCATGTAGTTTCAGCTAATCATACAATGAGAAAATAATTTCAAAGGATTCATCTGCCAAAGAATTGTATATCACTGTAAAATGGCATAACTCAGTGAATGATTTGCATTCAAATCATTGAAAAATATTAATATTATATGTGAGCACCAGAGGTCAGCACAACATCATCTTATTCCTGTCAGGGCTTCTGACGTCTACAGCCAAACCCACACGATTTCATACTTTTAAGTAAAGTCTTAATGTTTACATTGATTGATTGATTGCATGGATTTGAGTATCGATTACTGGGAAAGCATTAAGGACATGGATGGGCTGCTTTTATTACCCTTCAGTTTACCTACATAACCAAACAATCCATGGAAATAAACAACATACTTAAATAACTGCCCATGATAGTCTGTTGATCTGTTTGTTGCTTTAGATATTTAGCACTACTGCCACTTATTACCTTTAGGTCATTCCTGGAGATAGGACTTTTGTTATCTTGAGGAATCTCCTGAGTAAACTGGACAGAAAATGTTAATAAAGATATTATCTTTCTTTTAGAAACTTACACAATTATTGGATATCACAAACAAGAGCAAAGCTGAGTGATATGCCAGACCTAGGATTTTACTTTTTATTTAGGATTACTCATTTATCTTTATTCTGCTCATTTTTACAAAAAGCAATTATATTTTTATTTTCATGTAAATTTCCCAATTAAACACTGTTGAATTCAAACATTGGCAAGAAATCCTAATAATGCTACCATAATAATAATAATAATAATAATAATAATAGCTGTGACACTATCAAAAGCTGCAGAACAACATACGTGGGCTGAACTACTGGCTGTAATAATATCTCATTGGGTTTTTACATGTTTGCACTTACAGAAGCTTCCTTTCTCACTTGCACAAACACTCACATGCATGCTGGCTTCAGTCTCTCTGCACTAACCCTTATATAAGACACTAGCCTTTGAATTTGATTTGGTTTCTGCTTATTTCCTAGTTATTTTAGTCAGGACTGATTAATAAAGAAGATGAGCATCCTTGTAATTAAATGACAAGAAAATGAAGCTGGAAACTTTCAGTATATAATAATTACATAAAAGCTGGATTTTGGAAATCTAGGCTTTACTCCCTTTGTACTGAATCACAATTAACCTCCACCAAAGTTATCCAATTACATGCATCCTGTTATTCTACATCCTGCACATTGTTCAGTAAGGCTAATTCTTCATGACAGCAAGGAGAACAGAGAGTCTGTGAACCTGTCCCTGACTCATCTTCCACAATATTCTCTCTAATCTAACTTTAATTGCTTGGCCTTAACTTTCAAGTCGACTTCTACAGATTCATTTCCTGAACTACTTGAGCACAGTTCTGCGCCACTGGCTTCACATGCCGCTCGTAGGGGTACCTGACGGTGGTAATTTCTTGATGAGGCAATTCATCCCCTTCTACATGTCTCCACATCTTTCTTCTCCTCCTCCTGTCACTGACTCCTGGGAGGGCTGACGTATCCTTTCCGTCATAATTGAGTGAACCGTGTGGTAGAAGCTGTAGACTTGGCCAGGTTGCTCTCTAGAGTGGTGTGATGAGTGTCACTAGCAACAAAAATGGACAACCACCCCCAAAACAAAACACATGACACAAAAAAAATGAGAATGAGACAGTAGCAGGGTAAGGCGGAGGACAGCTGTGGAGGAGCTTATGGGTGAAATAATTGCAGTCGGCATGTGAGAACAGGAGCAGGGTCTGTACCTGGAGCCAGCTAATTGAGCCTGAATGAGTAAGTGTAGACACAGGTAGGAACTGCATTTGAGTTTTGTTCCCCCTTTTCCGTGTGAACGACTATGAACAAAAGGGCAGACGCCTCCCTAATCAAGCTAATGGAGTGGGAACAAGCTGGTGGCTGAATTCGATGGGCAGTGACAGGTAGAAGGGCCTTTGGGGGATTTACAGAGTCAGGAGGAGAAGAGGCAGACCGAGGTGAGGTTTTCAGCTGCTGGTTGGCAGGACGAGGGGCCGATATAAAGCCTCGGCTTGTACTGCCAGATCCATTAGCAGATGGTTCAGGTCAAAGGAACCATCAGTGACAAGTACTGTGGTTCATGTTATTCATTCAGTCCAGCCAAAAAATCATTTCACATCCGAGTATTAAAAAGTGAGAGTAGCTGCTCATTAAACAGTAAAAAACTAAAACAGATGCTTCAACGTCTGCTTGAAACCAGACTGCAACTGCGATTTACAGCTGAGATGACCCTTCAAAGGAGACAGCCACAGTGGTGAGTGCATGCAGGATTATTTTCCGAGGTTTAACTTCGAGGATTGTAGCTCTTAACTGTGTTCAGTCAAAATAGCAGGACTGTTTTTAGTCCTGAACGATAACCAGGAATGTCAGAGATTTACAGATTTGCAGTTTAACAGTTTATTGGTGACAAGTCCAGAAAATAATAAATGATTCTACAAATAACTTAATTTGTCTAACTCTGTAGTTTTTAACATGTTGTGTGCTTTTGGCAGACAATGTATCAAATGAGAGGAATTACAAAATTATCAAAAGTGAAAAATTCTATTTTTAAGGATTAAAACTCCAATAATTTTTTGACCAGTACTGGACCATACTTCTATTATAGAGGAATGCAGGTGATTTAATAAAAAACAGAGACCTGACCGTTGCCTAACACTCTACAATACAGCTGTTATGGGCTTCATTCCTAAAACATTTGCATAAAAAAACCCAATACTACAAAGTGATAACTAAAGGGGTATCATCTCAGCTAAAGCACACTGAGAATAAACTCATTTAAAGTCAAGTGCTAAAGAAAATGACTTGACTGGAAAGTTCAGGGTTTTATTACATTTTTGAGGTGGAATGTCAGCAGAGACACGATGTAGCGCTCTTTTCCTGCTTTTATTTGCTCTTTGAGTCTCCTGAACGTGTCCTGGTTGAGGCACAGAGGAATGGAATGGTTATTCTGAATATTACCAAGGTAGGAAATACATTTAAGGCCATTTAAAAACAACATTGGACAAGGTGGTCAACAAACTGTACTTAAGATTACAGATTTACAGTAAACACCTATGATTCCATTTTAATTGATTTTATGACAAGCTTACAAATAACTGACACCAAAAAAAAAGTGCAGTGGGACAGCTTCACATCGATATGCAGAGGCCAGAATGCTCTCACTCTAAAGAAATGTGTTCATGCATTTAGGGAGTCAGCCTCCTCGCTTGCATCAAGTATGCCCTCACAAATCCTATTTAAAGTCTTCTTTAAATCACTCCTCCTTCTTTACGTCCACAAATCCTTCTCTTCCTCAGGAAGCCTGCTGTGGTTCTGTGTTGCTTTTTGCTCGGGATCTCTCTACAGTCCGACAACATCAGCTGTGTGTCAACCATCAACCTGCGGCGTTTCATTGGCTGCGCAGTCCGGGAGTTCACCTTCCTGGCCAGGAAGCCCGGCTGTGGGAGTCTGCACATCACCACTGATGCCTGCTGGGGGCGCTGTGAGACCTGGGAGGTGAGGACAAGGGCCACTGTACCAGGCACAGACACACAGGGAGGATAAGGGGGACTGAAAGAATATGATTATAGTGCGAGGTGATATAACTCACAACTTTACTCAAAATTAAATTATCAGCATAGATAAAAAAAAGATGAACAACATGGTTTAGTAGACAGTTAAACACAGAGAGAGGCAGAGACAGATGAAGTGAATACTGTAGATACAGAGATGGAGAGATGGGTGATCCCGCCCTGGAGAAAATTTGTTTTCGCTTTCTCCCAAGGTCAGCTGCAAGTGCAAGCAGGGATTGAGCTGCTACAGTTAGATGTCCAAGGGAAAAAATACATGCAGTGTTTGCAATACCCTACCAAGATCTAATTATTGCCACATAGTAATGAGTGGCTGTCTGAAGTGAAACACTTGCATAAGAATGAATAAAGACAGAAGACTTTTGGAGTGCTAAAATTGAGTTAACATTCTGCAGGAATGGGAAGCAGCGTGGAATCCAGAGATTGAAGTGACAGCAGAGGTTTCCTCCACAATGCCTCAAGAGCATGAGAGACACAATTGGATTTCACAAGTCACCATATACTATTATGAAAAAAAGACGCTGTGAAATCTCAAGTTTCATCTGGAACATTGCATTCAGTGACGGGAGGCATTAGGAAGCTCATGATTCTCTCTGCTTTATTACTGCAGCGTAGCGGAGCTTTGTGTTGTTCTACTCTTTGGATCGCCTCAGGGAAGAGCCTCATCTTTTTCTCTGTTCTCCCCCACAGGGAGGTCAGGGCACAGCAGAGGGAGCTGATGTATTGCTTTAGGGAGAGTCTGAGGACAGACACCAGGAGGTCGGGGGTTAAATCTGTGCAGGCCACGGAACCGTAAACAGCTGCAAAAGATTTGCATTAATTTGAGCATTCTTTGGAAAATAGAATCAAGATAAACTTTTGTCATTTTATAAAGTATTTGAGGAACACTGAAGGTGTTTAATGTAATGTGATGATGTGTCACAAATGTCCCATCAAAGACAGCTTGGAATATAAAAGCTAACGGGAGCAGCTTTCTTTGGCAAGCTGAAAGAATTATCATTAATATGAAATGATAAAGTAGGCCATAACTGTAAAGAAAGCCCAGCCTCCTTATTCATGGATTTTGTCAACGTCTTAAAATACAACAACAACACAGGTATGGAGCAAAAAGAACTAGACTGCATTTGTATGAGGCGCACAAAGACTTTAAGTTACACTTACTGCAAAAACAAAGTACAAAGCCACACATAACCTTCACCAGAATGAGACACATCAGTAAATCACAGCAGCACTCAGTGATAGTTTGGCTTCCCTTTAAAAACAGGTGCACTGATTAAGTCTGCATGTTAATTGAAGGACAGGATTGGGCCACTGGTCCAATCAGTCATGGTGGAATGCAGGACCAAGAACCAGCAATGAGGACGAAAGGCAGGATGTGGAACGTATGCAGCCACTAATCGGGAACATGGGTTTGCATGCACTAATTAGCATACAAAACACTCAGATATGTTAGTCACAAGGAAGGAAGAAGGAGCGTAACAACCACGACAGTTGGAAACACATTATTTGTTATTCAGTTGAGAATGAGAACAGAAAAGCCTACATAAATACATGGGTGCTGCAATATACCAGTATTTGTGTGTGTGTATATATATATAGTATGCATATGATAATGATAATAGACTTTTATACATACCTTTCAAGACACACAAGGACACTTTACAAGCGGTTAAATACCATAATCACAGTGTGCACAGTGTGTGTCTGCCTGTATATAGATTCTGTCAGTGTGTCATGTTCACGTCTTGGTCCTCGTCTGAGTGTTTGTTAATTCCTGTTTTATTTGAAAGTTCTCAGCAATAAACCTGCTTTTTTTTTTTTAGCGTTTGGCTCCAACCCTGCCTGCCATACAGTGAACCCTGACAGTATTACAACAAAGTGATAAATAAATTTAAAACAAAATAAATTTATTTTTGGTTTTTTCAGAAGCCAATCCTGGAGCCTCCCTTCATTGAGTCCTATCAGCGGGTTTGTACTTACAATGAGACTCGGCTGGAGACTGTGAAACTACCAAACTGTCAGCCCAATGTAGATCCAACATACACCTACCCTGTGGCCTTAAGATGTGACTGTGGAGTCTGTCTGACCAGCACTACTGAATGCATAACTTCTGTGTGAAGTCTGAACAGGCAGAAATATTTTATGTACACTTTTGGTAATAATTACACGCAATACTGCTTTAACTGGAATGTGTCACTACGCCAGGAAATGTTGTTAGAATGCTCTTAGTTTGGATACTACATATCCAAGAAAAACCTGAGATATATCACTACTGAAATATGTTACCAGCTTCACTTGGCATTTTTTCTTAGGAGCAAAGCAATCACTGTAAACCTTGCAATGTTGTAATTGACATAAGTAAAAAACAATTTTTTATCTGCCTTTAATGGATGAATAATGAAATGATCACTTATTAGCTTTTAATCAACCTGAGCTTTTAGCCCAAGGGTCTGCTGGAGAGGTAAGGGCTTACTAAGTGTCCTTATTCATTTGATTTTCCATGAGAACTGGGTGTATTAATAATCTCTGAGTGCTCTCGTGTGTTTTGGAGTGCAGGACCATCACTCTTTCCACAATAAAAGCATGTTTTCTTTCCTCCTCTGTTTCTTGTCATTTGGGTTTGTAGAACTTCATGTTTATGCTTAAATTGCTGCAAATCTGGCTTTTGATACAGACATTACCACCAGGGCAGAGAGCTGTGTAAAAAAAATAAAAATAAAATAAAAATATTAAACTTTTATACAAAGCAAATAAACAAACCAATTTTATAATTTTAGAAACAGTTTTAAATTCTCATCCTCATAAGAAACTTCAATATAACATTCTTTGGTCTGTCTCACAAAAACTTTATAAACAAACATGGTTTTTATAAAGAATGAAAACACTAAGCATGTTCAAAAATGCTAAACTAGTGTAAGATGTATATAAAAATACAAAAACTTGCTGAAAATAATGTTGAAATTGAAAGAATTATGTTGTTTTTTAAGAAAATGTATTCTTACTTAGAAACTGATGCTAGAAACCATGTTTCTGGGTGTCCCACTTCAGATGTAGTGCTGCCTCAGGGGCAAGAATCAGCTACTCAGCATTGGTTTTCAGTGCTATCCTCTGAGTACATAGATGTTTTAATAATGTTACACAGGGAAGATGTAATGATGAAACCTTCATGTGGTTCTTTTTAGAATCACATATGACATTCCAGCCATTTTTTTTTAAATGATGGGGGTCACCTTTGCCCAAGCAGACCCTCAAAAAGTGAAGTGGCTTATCACAAAGGTTAGTTATTTAAAACATTCATTATCATTAAAATTTTATATTTAATTTTATATTCATTACTGCATTAATATATATTACACTCTTTCTGTTAGTCAGGAGACTGAGACTGAGGAGTCTTGTTAGAAGAATAAAACCTGTGACCTTCAGCCATCGAGTCACCTGTTATTGTAACTGACACTGTGTCACTTAGTGCAAAGATAATCTTTGCTTTCTATTGATTGTGCTCAGTTGTTAGAAGCTGCACTGGTCTTTTCTTACACATTTTAGTAACCTTAACAGAAACCAACAAAAACTAACAAATGGCCTTTCTTAGCTAAGGTCAGCGTCGCTGAAAATCCTTGACCATGATTGATTTTTGTTGCTTTTTACAGCCTTAAAATCACATATGGGCAAACTTAGGTAATCAGTTGAGAGCATTGCCCTATGTGTGGAAATAACCACACCTCAACATGTCCACAAGGGAACATGTCAAGAGATGACTGTCGTGTCTACTTCACTTGTTAAAGCTCTTGCAATTACTATACTACTACTACAATAATAATAATAATAGCTTATTTCCCAACATGCTGTGACAGACTGTGACAGGGTGTGCTCTGCTCTCGTCTAATCACAGCTGGGATAGGTGTGCAATGTACAGCAGATAATGGCAAATATTATGTAATACATACAAAATTCTTTGCAGCCTGTCGCTTTGAGAAATGCTGTTTCTACGAGCCCACTGCAGAGCTCTATAGTGCCATTCATAAAATGAAGAAAATCTATAAACAAAAGCAGTTTGAGTGAGTGCTGAAGAGGCTTTTAAGGGTGTACATTAAATGGAGAGGTTAAAAGGAGACACTAGAGAGGGTAGCTGTCTGTGCTGCTGACTCTCCTGAGACCTCTGTTATCTTCAACAGCCCTGGCAGGAGAGTCACTGTAACGACTCCCGCTGTCCTAATCATTTCTGACATTAGCACTTCCTACTCTGGCAGGCAGGAGGTGGTGGGGGGCCTGCAGCATCACTTGGTGGGAGGACCATATAGCTGTGAGGGAACACAAAGGAAGACCTTTTAAAATGGTAAACATGACAGAATTTTTTCCATTAATAGCAGATAAATGTGTTGTTTTTTGTTGTTGTTGTTGTTGTATACTGTACTACCTCAGTACAATTTTTGCTCAGACCACACCTACAGAGCAGGACAGAGAGTGCACTCACACTACTGTAAGTTGATGTACACCACCTGAGCACGTCTCACCCTTAAAGCTACGGTGTTACTGTTTTCCATGCCTGTGTACAGTCAGTATATAGTTCTCATAAGTTCTGTCCACTAATTTTGCCTGTAGTGAAGAACTAATACATTTCCTCAGTGTCACCTGCCTCCTGTGCAAGTCAGAGGGCCGTATGTCACCGTGCACCAAAACAAGCCCCCAAAAACATGTCACAAAAATAGGATCCCAAACTCTTTTGTGCTCATCTTATTGAAGTGTGTGTGATAACAAGAAAGACTCAGGGGAGATGACACATCCATTTCATCTTGTAATGTCACGGTCTGCGTGGCAGTCTGTGGGGATGAGGAAAATAGGACCTAAAACGCAGGACTCTGCGATGCCACAGTGCACTTTATTTACAGTGAAACCGACAGGCAGTGTTGGTCAAGTTACTTGAAAAAAGTAATCAGTAACTAATTACTGATTACTTCCCCAAAAAAGTAATCCCGTTACTTTACTGATTACTTATTTTCAAAAGTAATTAATTACTTAGTTACTTAGTTACTTTTTAAAAACACGATTTACAACCTGAAGAGGTGATAAAGCGATAGATCTTTCAGCCCAATTCTACTTTTTCTGCATAATCCATCATACAAAATGTAATCAAATGGAAAAGTCTCTTTTTAAAACTTGTTTTATCAGTTTTAATCTTTTAACTTTATGCATCAAGCAAAAATTTAATTATATGCAACATTCTCTGACTGGAAGAAATTAGTTTAACATTTAAACCTATTTTCTGCACATTCCAGCACATAAAATAAAATATTTTTTGGGTTTTCCACTCACTCTTTCAAATAGATGCAAGTAAAACACAGCAGAAAATAAATAAAGTCAAAGACTAAGCGGTCCTTTTGCTCTATTTTCACCTGTAAAGCAGGACTGGGGTAGGCGGAGCTTTACCCTGGTGCAGGTGTGCCGCGGTCAGTTGAAGAATCCGCGAGTTTCTCTGTGAATTTCCCATTACGTCGTTGCGCACTCGGTGCTTGCTTAGAAGTTTAGAGGTTTTTTTCGCTGTAAAAAGTTTTCTTCCCACGCACAATGCTAATGGACGCTAATGTTTTTGTCACTTTTTATGGAATCAAACTCAAAGTAAGGTCAGTACTTCCACGCTTTAAACGCTGCACGCTCATACTCTCTCCGCACTCGATATATGATCCATTGTTGATCTGCACGCAGCTGTTGTCACCAACGTTGTCACTGTCATGAGACATTCTCGCAAAAAAATCACGGTTTTAGTAACGCAGTAACGCAGCGTTCCTACGGGAAAGTAACGGTAATCTAATTACCGATTTTGCAATAGTAATCCCTTACTTTACTTGTTACTTGAAAAAAGTAATCAGATTACAGTAACGCGTTACGCGTTACTGCCCATCTCTGCCAACAGGTAAGTCCAACAATTCACTCAAAAGTGCAATTTGCCAATAGTGCTCGTCCCTTGCTCCCAGTGCGTCCCGTGCTGTAGCTCCGTTAGTGTGTGTGCTCCCCAACTCGCTTCTTCGCTCGACTCTCCTGGAGGAAGAAGGAAAATCCACAATTAGCCACACGCTAGCCGAATACCAAGAACACACGTCTCGCACAGGCTATACCAATTAGGAGTAATAATCCCACGTCGACTGTCGCCCAGGTTAAATACCTCTGTCTAGCCGGGGGGGATGATAAGATAAGATAAGATAAGATAAGATAAGATAAGATAAGATAAGATAAGATAAGATAGAACTTTATTAATCCCTCGGGTGGGTTCCTCTGGGAAATTCGACTTCCAAGAAATTACCAACAGCTGAGCAGGTAATCAGCTGCAGGTGGGCGGGCAACAGCGAGGGACTCCCGATGACGACAGTCGCCAGGTCACGCCTTTCCCACGGCGCGTACTTCCATAAAACAGCCCCGAGGAGAGAGGGGGAGAAGCAAACACACACACACACGCCCTACATACCAATGTGGACAGAGAACAGTAGACGACACAGACTCCAAATAATAATAATAATCACAACAACAACAACAGTCCCCACTGCTCACGGACCCCCGAGTCCTCCAGAGCCGGGTCCGTGACAACTAAGAAACTTGAAGAAGAGCAGTGGAGTAAAATTTGGGGTGGGCAGCCAGGGGAGTGAAGGATGATCGGCTAGCTAACATGCAGACGGTAGCTGGGTGTTTCTCTGGCTGCATGACTCTTTGCTAATTCATAAAAAGTTACACCCAGTAGCAAGAAAGTGCAGGAACAAACTAGCATAAGCATTTGGGGGCACCTTCTATGTTATATTCATAGGTCTTTTTCATTTTTCAGTAATGTGTGTTGCTCCAGTAAGAGTCAGTGTATTTTATCTCTTAAGTGAAGTCGTTAGAAGTCAAAGGAGCTTGCAAAGAAAAGCGTCTGGACTTCTTTAAGTTGCTTGAAGACGTTTCACCTCTCATCCGAGAAGCTTCTTCAGTTCTGGAACTGAAGAAGCTTCTCGGATGAGAGGTGAAACGTCTCACCGATGACCTGGATGACTGAGAACCTTCACAGACTCACTTGTTAGAAATGTCATCTAGCAGAACATATAAATTTATTTTGGATAAATGATGGAAAAAGCTAATTAAATAACTTGGTTCTAGAAGTCTAAATCGCTTGAATAGCTTTTAGATGTTTTCAGCCATTCAAAGAAAATGAACAACGTGAAATGACAAGATTATCAAACTAGAGAGCGGACTACAGACAATTCTCAAAACAGCACACTTTAAAAAGAATCTATTTTTGTTGTGCTCTATGATCAAAAAACTGTTTTTGCATAACATAATAAAATTAAACCCCCTTACACACACTGAATTAGTACTCAAAGGCATTTGA